GAAAGGGCTTTCAATTCATCACCTAAATATCATGCATGTCATCATGTGTCAACACTGGCTCTAGTGCCCTGCATTGCTGGTGTAGGTCTTCTTCTGGTATGGTGAAGAGTTTTGGAATATCAAACAACATCCCAAATATACTGATGTGTTCCTTAAGCTGCATGAAATGTTCTTCAACTGACTGTATTGCACAATCTAGCACCTGGTTAAAGAATTCAACTTTGAATTGTTGTTTGAGGTCTCTTATGGGATTATCCCGTGCCTCGTAATCAAAATGTCATCTTCTTTGGTGACTCTTATATTCTTGAATGGGTGGGAAAATAACTTCAGTGTGAAGTTCCTCTGACAACTTCTGTGCACTCTTCAGAACGTTTTGAAATCCCTCATCTGACTGGTAAGACTAAAGATATGACTTTGTTTTGTCCAGTTGTTCCATTGCTCCAGATATATCAAGGTCAACACCTTGGAGTCTCTTGCTTACAACATTTATTTCAAACAGTATGTTATGCCACAACACTAAGCCACACAGAAATTTGAAGTGATGTATGTTTCTGGGGATTCCATTTCCCTCTGCCACTGTTCTCCCACGAACAGTTCCTGTCATAGCAGTATCCTCCATAATGGCAACTATGCCATCATCTATCTTCCCAATTTGGTGTTTGATAGGCTTTATCGCCTCCACTTGACTTTCCCATCATGTGGCACTCAGTGGTTTCAGTGTCAGAGAGGATGTTCCCAGATGTTGCTTCAAAATTTGCCATTGATGAGAAAAATACATAGATGCTTTGAATTACATTAAAAAATTCAGCAGCCTCTCTAGAAGCTGATGCTGCATCACTGACCACCAAGTTCAATGATGAGAACTGCAGGGGACAAAAAAAGCTCGAGGGTTTAACTCTCAGATCCATGTCTACACTCCTCTATTCTTTCCTCTCAGGTTGGCACCATTATCGTAGCCGTGACCTCTCATGTTAGCTATCACAATTCCCGTAACTTCCAGCGTTTTAAGAAGCACATTTGTCATACCAGCTCCTGTAGTATCATCAATGTCAATACATTCTAGAAAATGCTCTCTGACCGTCACCATTGCAGGGACATTTTCACTAGGTTCTGTTATTGTTACAAAACGCACCATTAAAGTAATTTGTTCCGTATGGCTGATGTCAGGTGTGCAGTCCAGGATAACGGAGTAATATCTTGCTGACTTCAGATCTGCCACAATTTTCTGTTGGACTTTTGTTGCCAGTAACTGTATGATCTCATTTCGAATTGTTTTTCCAAGGTAGTCGTGTGTGTACATTTCTTGGGTGGTGACTCTTCTTAGATGCTCCCGGAGTACAGCATCAAATTCAGCCATTAGCTCCACAATTTTAAGGAAGTTTCCATTGTTTGGTACATACAGCTGATCTGAAGTGCCACACAGTGCTAGGTTTTGGTAGCAAGCAGTCTCACAATGGCAATGAGCCTTTTCAGAACATTTTGCCTGTATAGACTCTGATGCAATCTTCTCTTGATGCTGATCATCTATGGTGGCCTTTAACCTTAGTCTCATCTCAAGTTCTTTCCACCTAATGAATGCTCTCTGGTGATTTGCTGGCTTCTCATGGCATGCCAGATTTCCAGCCAGATTTTTCCAGTCCTTTGTTCCTGTAGAACCCAATGTGGCTGGAACATTAGACTGGCAGAGTTTGCAACAAAAACAGTATGCAGCATTCTGGGTTTTTGAGTACATAGGCCATGGCCTCTCCACTTTGTCACCATTGGGGATTTCACGCCAGTAATGCTTTGGATGGAAACGTCTATTTTCATTGTCTTTGGGGAACATGAAGTTTTTCACTTGCTGTGGCCCAGGCAGTACAAGGAAGTCCCTCAGGCTACTGCTCAAGTGGGTCCACAGTCCTGGATCATCTAGACTTAAGGAACTAACCTCAGCAGCAGCTGTTTCTTGTGCCTCCACCACACTCTTCTCTGATCTACACTTTTCTTCAGGAATGTGCATGGTTACATCCATTTCAGATGGAGATATGGATGCTGCAGTAGCTGCCAGGTCACCTGCACTTTGACTAAATGGAAGATCAGGCATCTCCTCACCACTCACATCCTCACTGGGGCCGGAAGGCTCACCGTGAACATTTGTGTCTGTGTATCTCAGGAGAGTTCCTTCCTGCTTAGATAGAAAAGCTTCCTTTGCTTTCTTTTTCTGAATGCTGCCTCAGAGGGGCTTTTTTTTCTTTCACTCATGACTGCTGTTCTGTGCCATCTATAGTGGCTCTCAACACTCAGTTGAAGGGGACAAATAAGCAGGCTGGTAGCAGGGCCTGAGGGAGGGAAGATATCAGTGACTTAAGGGCCTAACTGGCTCCTACTACTGCAGTTGACTGCCTGTTCTCCTCAAGTGGGTTCAGGGAAGCAGCAGGAAACAGGAAGCTTCCTGAGAAGCTGGTGTTAATCAGTCCAGGCTCCTGGGGGTGCTAGAGAGGTACATAAAAGGCTCCTCCTCCTTTCTCTCCCTGCAGCTCCGGCTGCTTTCTGTTATTCCCTCTCACTTTTCTCCTGCCTGCCTGTTATGTCTCTTGTGCTCTCCTTCCTCCAGCACAGCACTCCACCATCTCTGTGTATTTAGAGTGGAGAGAATACATGTGCACCAGCAGCAGACACAATTTTCTACACTCTGGGTCGTAGTGGCGCCCCCCCACAGTTTGGCACCTGAGGCAGCCACCTCAGTTTGCCTCGTGGTAAGGCCAGCCCAGTGGGTAGGTGAAGTTCTGTGCTGTGCAAAGTGCAGGTCAGACTAGATCAGTGTTTTCCAACTGGTGTGCTGTGGCACACACTGGTGTGCCATCAGGCCTGAACAGGTGTGCTGCAGAATTTTTTTTAAAACTATATGTGGAGTGGGGATAGGACAGGGGGAAAGAAAGTGGGGGAAGCCATCTTCTGATTGTCTGCCTCATTGCCCCACCTCCTCCAGGGGCAGAGCAACCAATGGGAGCTCAATCTCCCTCTCCTCCCCACTCCCCTTTTGTGAGCAACTGGTCGGTTCCTCTGTCTCTCCCTATCCCTCCTGCAGCCCCTCTCCTCCCCCAGGATTGGGAGGGGGAAGAATCTCAGGAGAGGAAGGGGGACTGAACTTGGGGGTGGGGGCAGAACTGGTGTGTGTGGGGGGGGGGCAGAATTGGGGTGAGGTGGGGGCTGGACAGGCTGGGGGGCAAAGATGGGCGTGTTGACCACCAAACTCAATAAGTTACAGAGGCAATGCATGCGTCTGGGGGACAGAGTTCTGCCTTCCATTTGGCCCTCCTCCCTTTCCAAGCCCCGTGCCCCTCTAGGGGGTGTGGCCTGGCCAGAGCCCCTTGTGGGGGCACCGAGGAACATTTGGGGATCGGGGGGGGCACGAGCAGTGATGACAGCTGCTGTGTGTGTCCAGGTCAGTTTCTCCACCTGGGCTGGGTAATGAGTAATGCGCCCTCCAGGCTCAGATACACAGTCCTCTGTGCCGCAAACCACTGGGTGCCGGTGGCCATGGGGACTGTGTAGGACGGCATGGCCAAGCCCAGCCCAGCGTGCTCATGGCCATGAGTGGAGCAGCCTCCACTGTGCCAACTAGGGACTGATCACATGGCTGGGCCCTGTAGCGGCAGCACCCCCTAGGACACAGTCCCACCTGCACCCTGAGCTACATCCTCTCTGCACACAGCCCCTAGCTACCCCCCGCCTACATCCTGAGCTACATCCTCTCTGCCCACAGCCCCTAGCTACCCCCTGCCTACACCCTTCTCTGCACACAGCCCCTACAGACTGTGAATGGCAAAGGTAGTAAACAGCTTAAACCAAGGTGATAAGGAGGCCAGTTCATTTGGAGACAATATGATGGTGTGCCTCAAAATAATTAAAATTCTGAAGGTGTGCCGTGGCAGAGAAGTGGTTGGGAACCACTGGTATGTAACACTACCCTTCATGTATTATTCTTCAGACAACTTGTATATATCTTTATAAACTGCTATGTTCTAGATCCTGTTGTAATTCAGTGGCTTTGTGCCCTACCACTGGCAGATTGCCATAAACCTCACAACCCATCATAGAGGGACCCTGCAGTGGCAGCGAGATAGGATAGTGGCTCCTCAGCCATCTTCCTTCCCCGTTGCCAACAAAGGGATATGGTCAGAGCTTCCCTGTGTCCCATTACTCCTCAGTTGTTGCATTGTGGAGGGAGATCTGTAGCTCCAGCATAGTGAGAATGTAATTTGTAATTTCTAGGCTCTAGAAATATGAGACCATGCAGAACTGTGTCCCGTTGTCAAAAGTGGGCCAACATTAGGATAACCATATGTGGTCCAGTGTGTTCTATGTGAGATCAACAGCTATCATTTGCTTTGAAATACAAGTTGGGCCTGAAAACACGACAGCTTCCAGCATGTGATCTCCACTGTGATATTGTTCAGATTAAGATGAAGCATTGCATACTGGGACCACCAGTCTCTGTGGACTACCCAGCTGACCTCCATTTTATACAAATAGCATTTATGGCAAGTCGTCACTTGAGCCCACACTTAGGCAAAGCTGGGCACATCTGGTCTAAAGGGATTAAGAATCAAAATAGATAGAAGGCCAAAAGTGGAATGGGAGGTTGCGGAAATCCATCCATGAGGGCTCCTTCACCAAAGGATGCAAGGATGTGGTTGGGTCCATATGTCAAATTAGGATACAAGACTGAATTCCTGCCTGGAGTAAGATCACCAGTGAAGTTAAACCAAGGATGAATATGGCCTTCTAAGTATTAAGGCTGGACTACTGTAATGTCTCTTCTTGATGAGTAACAAAATCTGCTTCAGAATGTGATAAATGCTTGAAAGGCTGTGACTGACACTGAGTTCAATATGTTTAAACAATGTTTACTGTCTATATTGCCGTATTTTATTTTTTTAATGTAAGGGACTAAGGAAAAATGAACACCTTTTGTATTGCACTCAACCAATCTTCTTGTCCTTTCCTTTTTCTTACAGAAAAGCCAGTTCTCCAGAGCAGGCATTCTTTAGATGGTTCCAAATTGATGGAAAAAGTTGAATCTGCACAACCGCTGTGGATTACATTAGCACTACAAAAGCAAAAGGGATTTCGTGAGCAGCAAGCTACCAGAGAGGAGAGGAGACAAGCCAGAGAGGCAAAGCAGGCTGAGAAGCTCGCTAAAGATAATGTAAAATAATAAACAAAGAAGCTTCCGAAAACTTTTTTTAAAAAAAACACTGATCTCTTGATTTAGTTGTATTTGAATTCCTGTTCAGTTTGTGAAATTTTATAAAAAGCTAAAGTGTCAGTCAGTAAAATCAGGTGGTAAGTCTGGGGTTTAACTTTGCACAAATGAAGAACGTTGCAAACCAATTTTCAGTACAAAATGCTGTACACTGTTATTGAATTTCAATCTGATCTCCAGCCCTTCATGAATTTCACTAACATTTTGCATGTTTTTATCATCAGTTACGTATGAAAGATGTGCACATAAAAGCATCATTGTTCATTTGGGGGTGCTGTCACTACAGGCCATCATCTATATCAGGGGTTCTCGTTTTTCTTTCTAAGGTTCCCCCCCACCCCAACATGCTATAAGAACTCCACCATCCACCTGTGCGTCAACTGTTTTTCTTCATATAAAAGCCAAGGCTGGCATTAGGGGGTAGCAAGCAGGGCAGTTGTCTAGGGCCGCATGCCATAGGGAGCGCTGCCAAGCTAAGTTGCTCAGGCTTCGGCTTCAGCCCTGGGTGGGGGTGCTTTGGCTTTCTGTCCCGGGCCCCAGTGTGTCTAATGTTGGCCCTGCGTGGTGGACCCCCTGAAACCTGCTCATAGCCCCGCCCCAGGGGCCTCGGATACCTGGTTGAGAACTGCTGATCTATATGACCACTCCCCAGGAAAGCCAGTGAGAGCCCTGCATCTGCTTCTGAGGGTAGTGTTTGGTACTAAAACTTCTCTAGGCTGTGCACCAGAAAGAGGAGTGTACGTAGCACGGTTCTTCAGAGCTCAAGCAAATATATGTTAGGAGGGTAAGGCATCGTATTTGGGATAGCATCAAGTATGAGATCTCTTATTTGTATATAATAGACCAGGGGTTCTCAACATTTTTCTTTCTGAGGCTCACCCCCCCCATGCTATAAAAACTCCACGGCCTGCCTGTGCCACAACAACTGGTTTTCTGCATATAAAACCCAGGGCTGGCATTAGGAGGTAGCAAGCGGGGTATGAAGCAGGGAAATTACCTAGGGCCCCACACCACAGGGGCCCCCTTGAAGCTCAGTTGCTCAGGCTTTGGCTTCAGCCCCGCATGATAGGGCTTCGGCTTTCTGCTCTGGGCCCCAGCGAGTCTAACACTGGTCCTGTTTGGTGGCTCCTGTGAAACCTGCTTGAGGCCCCCTAGGGGGGCCCCGGGCCCTTGGTTGAGAACGACTGGAGTAGACAATACATAATGGATTGGTTCTGATCTAACAAACACTTTTCCTTTTCCATCCTAGGCTGCTGTAAGCAATCCGTCAGATGATAAAGGCAGCAATAGCAGCAAAGCAAGTGTACTACAAAAACCTACACTTCAGGAAGATGAGAAGAAAATTGAGATGGCTATGTCAAGACTAGAACGCAGAGAGCAGTTCAAAAAGTCCAATACCCTTCCTACTTCTGTGACAGGTACAGTGATAGATTTAGGTTTTCAATAGTGCTCACTTTCTTTTAGTGGTAACATTGTAGAGCTCTCAGGAGGGAACTAGATTCTTTTTTGGTTTACACATCATCATCAGAATTGTAAACTAAGTTCCAGCTGCAGCATCTTTATTATTTCAGCAAGGAGGAACCCAGCTTGTCTGTCAGATCCCTGGTTAAGTCTGATGGGCTGGCAATTAAGTAAGATCCTTTTTCTACTTTTAAAATGACCACTGGAAGGCCCATGAGAGACTATAAGTGTGGAATTCACAATGTAATTTTGACAGATGCTTCCAGATTAGCACTTCTGTTTCAAGATTTGGTTTATAGGGCTGAGACTAGGGTTGCCAGCCATCTGCAGCGGGGCTAAGGCAGGCTCTCTTAGCTAAGACCCAAAGCCCCCTCCTGCAGCCCAAATCCCCAGTGCCACCCCGGAGCCCGCACCCCCAACCGGAGCCTTCCTGCCCTTCCACCCCTTGCCCCAGCCTGGTGAAAATGAGTGCGTGAGCAAGGGTGAGGGAGAGCAAGTGATGGAGGGAGGGGGGATGGAGTGAGCACGGGCAGGGCCTCAGGGATGGGGCAGAGCATTTTGTTTTCCGTAAATAAAGCTGGCAACCCTAGATGAGACTGGTACTGTATGTATGTCCATAAAGCAAAGAGGCCATAATATTCCAAGGTTTTGTTTAGTTATGAACTTTGCCAGATCCAGACACAGGGCTGGCCTTAGGAAAAATGGCACTCTGGGTGAACTTGGTGTCCCTGGCCCCTGTGGGTGTGGTGCCCCCCCATGGGCTCCCCACACTCCTTAACCCCTGCAGTGTGCCCCCTTTGCCCTTACTGCCTGCTCCCCCTTTTGCACCCCTAATCCTTACATCCCCTTCACTCCCACGATCTGCCCCCCTTCTGTGCCCTAACCCCTACACTGTGCCACCTTCACCCCTAATCCCTGCACTCCCTCCTTAGCCCTAACCCCTTCACTGTGTGCCCCCTCACCCCAGCCCCTGTACTCCCTTCATTCTTACCCCCTGCACCTCCCTCCTGCACCCCTAACCCCTACTTCTCTTGAAGTAACTGGCAAAACATTACAGGGAAAGCACTTTCTAAATTTACAGAATAGTGTGAAGTGGAAAAGGGTGTGATGGGTGTCTTAGACATCTGTATTTTAATAATGTGCTTCTCCAGCTATGTTAGGGCTATAATCAATAGGGCTTTTCAAATATTTCTCCACACAGCATACTTGTTCCTTGCGTGTTTCACTGTTAAATCCTGTCTATGCAATGAAGAGACCAAATTAGCTGATACAAACAATTGTGCTGTGCTGATCAGGGCAACAGTGCAGGGACCAGGATTTATTTTACCAACTGATACAGGACCCATGTATGTTTTGCTGTTGATCACAGTATTCTATAATACACAGATATAAATTAAAGCTAAATTGAAATGGGATTCCTTATTCACATATACATGAAAAACATTTTTACTAGTACTACTACAAATAATAGATAATGTTTAAAATTTAAGGTACTATAATATTCATAATAAAATAAGGATTAGTATGAAGTATTGCTAATGCTCTTTGGTTAGAACTCCTGACATAGCCTTCCTATGACTTACTCTTTGGAGACAAATGTGCTGAGAGAATGTTGCTAAACGTTACGTAGTATCTGATTTATGTATTCTCAGTAGAAGTCGGTCTGAATCTGTATATTCTGTACTACTAGGTGCTAAGGGTTATGGTTTATAGTTGGCTGAAAAGTGATGAAGTAATCCAGTTAGTGTTGTCTAATGCCTCACAGATCAATAATAATGAATACTGTAACATTATTAACCACTCAGCCAATATATACCAATGACTATATCTTGATAGCAGAAGAATTCAGTGAAACACATTTACCTCTGAACTGCCCACCAACTATATGCTAGACTTTTTCCTAATTAGATCATCATTGGAAGCTAGTTATAATTTTTCTGGCCCTCTTAACTCAGCCTCACCGCCCTAAAAACTGAGTTTCACAGGAAAAATTACTTTTGCAATTCATAATGTAGAGATTTTCAAACAGGGTCTGAATGTCTTCAGAAATATGTAACAATGCCTGTGCTGACACCTCTTGTTTTGATCAAAATTCATTGTGCCTCAAGCATGTATTGAACTAGATTTCATCTTGGTCACTATTTACCTCTGAGATCAAATAGCGATATTGGAAGAACAAATATAACAGGCATCATATCTGCTTATTATGAATATAGATGTGTTTGATGAAGGTTATGACCATGCAGTCATTTAATATAAAGGCCTACACTGGAACTTGGCAAATCTACCGTCCCTTATGACATTATGCATGTTAAAGATATCTTTAAAGAACTGAAAAATATTTGAAAACCAAGATACTTCAGCCTTGCACTGAAAGCAGCTACAACAGGGGCTGTTTGGAAAGTGATATTTCAAACACTCTACATAGAGAAGCAACCATCTTTCCAAATTCTCTGCTACCAGCTGTTGTGCAGGCTTATAGAATTCCTACTGCCAAAAAAATGGGTCAGATAGTTTTTAAACTAATCAGTGTTTCTCTAAAATTCTGTGGGAAACAGGCTGCTTTTTAAAGTTTTGGGGGTTTTCCCCCACACCCTGCCCCACCAGTTACAGATTCTTTTTTAAAATCTGTTACAAAAGTTGGGCAGACTCAGGCCCATAGATAGGGGATAGCTGTCCACACAAAGTGCCTCCACATCTGATACTTATTCCAGCGGTGCTAATCTAGAGGTGGTTCCTTTAGGTCAGGGTTGAACAGGATAGGGCTGCTTGCACTATACCTGAGCCATGAAAATAAAGACAGGGGTTATAGAGTTATCTTTTAGTGTGGGAGCATAATGTAGTAAAATCTCATTTTGTGGGCAAGTTAGCAACAGAAAGGTAAGGGAGGGGCCATCTGGTTTGTAAAAAAAAAATCTACAGAATCATAATTCCAATAGTGTCATACTTCGCAGCGGGGTGAAGAGAGAGAGACGACATGCTACATCCCAGCTCCTCCGGTTGGTGGAAATTTTAATAATACAATGTTGTTAGAAATGGGTTGGAGTTGGGTATATGTCAAAAGTTCTTTCTCCTGCAAACACAGTGGTACCAAACCTAGAACAATTAAATTACATATATATGTATATACATACACACACACACGAAAATGTTTAAAAATCAATGTTTGTTTTTAAATGATACTTTAACAGTGATTCATTGCTTACATAAAGAGAGATACTGATCTTTCACTGATCCTAATGAAGTTAGCCTTGACATGTAAGAATGAAACCATTTGTTAATCAGTGTCATCTCAGTCTAGGGCTTCACTGCTAGACACGTGACACTGATCCTCATCTGCACAACACACTCACATCTCTGTACAAGGCAGACTTCTGGCCAAACATCTGCAGGATGGTGAGCATCTGGTCTTTGACACAAGCATTTAGTTAGTAGAAGGATTGTTCGGGGACCACATAGTATTTCACACATAACTGGCATGATCAGTCCATTCTCCAAGACTCATTTATGTCCCGTTGGGAAGGGTAGTTTCTGGATGTCCTAGAGCCATTCTACTGCATGGAATTTTCCCTCTTGACTCTTGTCAGTGGCAGTTTTTCTCCTTTTTCTCCATCCGCTTTTGGAAAACATTCAGCTATGTAGCTGTGCATGTGCGATAATGCTGGCCTTCAAATGGTAAACTCGGCATATGAACATCTTTAGTGCCTTTGAATAAGATAATTTGGTCTTTTCAGCCAAACTTCCAGTATTGTCACATCCTGAAAGGGCATGGAAATTTCACAGTGTGGCAGCTTTTAATGGTCCAAGGGATAGGAACACATTTCTGAGGGACATACAGCAATTGTTCCCTAGCCCCAGCCACAAAAACAATCTTGCAGAAATCTTGGGTAGCATTTCACAGAGAGCACTAAAACATCTGTGTCTTGTGCAAAAATCCAGAGTTTAGTAGTACCTCTGTGCCACTGACGGCATTCAAGATAATTTTAGTATCGGCCTCCTCACAGGAACTAGGAAGAAACTGCACTGAACGGAAAGAGGTAGCAGCTTCATTATGCCATGCAACAATGAAATTCTTCAAGCAATTCTCCATGGTACCAGGATTGATGTGGAAGAACTCGGAGTAGTTTGTTGTAATCAATGGAGGAGCCAATGCTGTGCCTAAGCTGCTTGAGGAATTTACTATTGGTTCTGGAATGAATTGTTAAAGCAACAGCCAATTGTAGTGGTAGATTATGCACATACCACAACGTTGTTGTGTGCATATTGGAAACCTGCCTTTCACTCAAGCACTCATCCATGAGGCTTTGCGATAAAATGGCAGCTTTGTGCTCCACTTGCTTACCTTCATGCTTGCTAGTGCTCAAGTCAGTGCAACCATCAATGCACCACTTAAAAATGAAGTACAGGTCATGTGGTATTTTTTCAGGTTTGGCGTCAGCTATGGATCCTTGAAACTCCTATGTACTGCAGGACAAAATGCTTTTGTTTAAAAAAAAATTTTAGTAGCTGCACCTGGAGTCTTCATACTATTGTTGACATCAGTGATTTCACTTCTCACACCACACCTTTTGTAGCTTTTAAGGACATACGCAGTGATTCATTTCTGCGGATAGGATTGCTAAAAACTATGTCCCTATCCCACAGTTCAATAACTGCTTTATAAGCCTTTCTGCTAAGCATATGTTCCTCTTCACTTTCATTTAAAGCATATATTTCTCTGTACTTCGCCTCTGCATTGACCATCTCTACCACTTTCCATCCATTAGAGCCTGAGGCAATTTATGAACTCCAGCTGAGTCACACACTTTGCAGTAGTAAAATCAGTATTTGTTTGTATTGTTTTTTTCTTGATACAACACATTAGATACATTTTCGGTGCAGTCCTCGATGGGATAAGCAGTGGTGTATGCATGCGTATCCTTTGGGTCAATGCACCAACTTAACTTTCCATGCAACATTCTCACAAAGAGCGACTGCTTCATACAGTGTCTTATGTTGAAACTGTGCTTCATGGAGGCCTCCATGCTTTCAGTTTAGGGCAGAAGGTGGTGGTCTTCTCAATATAAGTACAAGGCAAGTCTTGTCCACACCCAGCACTTGTCCCAGCATCTTCAACTTTTTTCTGATGGTCGATGTACCTCCGCTCCAGCCTTGCCAAATTCAGTTTAGTGGGTGCTCTTCTTATAGCAGGTAAGGTGCCACTGAATGTTGTGTTTTAACCAGGTCCTCTTCAGTGGTATTCTCCAAAGTGGTGTTCTTCAGCTACTAGTTGGTACTCTTCACCTCCCCATTGATACCTAAAAATGATCAAGTCTTTTGTAATAAATTACTTTGATTCTAATTACGTAATGTAATGCATGTTATGTAACTACGTGCATGCAGTTTTCAGATGAATTCCAGTGATTTCTGGCTTGATGCTGATGTCTTAACCAGTGCCTCATTACAAGTCTTTTGGCCTGATAATCAATACTGAAATGTTTCTTTATCGCCAATGACAACAAATCAACTTGAAGCACTCCTTCCACTTTTAGTAATCTGTAAACATGAAAAAAATTAATCAGGTATTCTCAGCATTAACTGATAATACAACACTGTCAGTTGAAGCCACAATTTAATTTTGTGAGGGCTGCATATCTGACATACCTCCATTAAAGTATAATTTTTTTTAAAAAAGTTGATTTTTAAACATTTTCTCAAACATATTTACATAATTGTTCTAGGTTTGTCATGTCTGATACCCTTGTATTCATGGGAGACAGGGCTTTTGGTTGATACCCATTTCCAGTGATGCTGGATTATAAACATTTCCACCACCCAGAATACTGGGAAATGGAGCAGGCAACGAGTCCTCTCTGCCACACTGCAGAGGGTGACGTAATTGAAATTATGATTCTGTAGATTTTTTTTTGACTCAACTGACTGCTCCCTTACCTTTCTATCATTAACTTGCCCATGGAATTACACATACTCCCAGCCCATTGAATTTAACAGGCTTTGATCAAGGAAATTTATTCTAAAATTTCTAGTCATAAAATAATTGGGGGTAAAGCAGAGATTGTCCCTGTATTACAGAATAATAGACTTGCAAAAAGTCTATTTAAGGGTTTTTCTATAGCATCCATCAGTATAGTATTTAATAATGCTGTCATCTGATCCCTGCATTATACTTTATGCGGTTCTGCTCTGAAAAGTGACTCTGTAAAAGACAATTTCTTATTCAACAGATACGCCACTTGTATATAATCAGAGATATCAGTTTGTTTTAGTGATAAATGGTTTTGGTACTTGTCAAGCTTGCAGACAAGTAGCTATGGGAAGGGGAGCTAGATTCTACTCCTACTTAAACAGTAACATCAGAATTGATAGCTCTGCAGTTTCTACTTAGTTACATTTTTCTGTGTAAATGTATTGACCTTGATTTGCCCAGGTGTCTCAGAGGGCACAATTTGGAGACAGTGGGTTGCATATGTGTAAGAGAGCAGAACTGTGCCTGGAGAAACTTGGTTATTGATTATACGTAAGGAGGAAAAAATCTAGCTTGTCAGGGTGGGGAGGTTCCAGGATTGACAACAAAATTAAAAACAGCATTTTTACTTATAATCAGAGCAAATTTGCTCTGAAAACCATTGAGACTATAAAAAATAGCGTCCTACCATTCCATGTTCGCTGAGTCACTTTTCAGCGTAAAACCACGTTCAAGTGTGTGGGTTAGTCCAATATTAAATGACCAATTTTCTTCATCTATAAATCTGAGCCAAATTAATTTGGTTTTCAACATATATAGAAAGTTAAAAAAAGGAAGACTGAACTATAGTTTTAAAAAACCAACAAGGAGTCCGGTGGCACCTTAAAGATAAAGTTTTAAAGATACAGTATCTGTACATTTTGTGAACACATTCACAGTAAAGTTCATAGTTCTCTATTATTCTACAGTGTAGCATGTTTCATCTGTTTTATTTTTTTCTCTCCCAAATCAATAAACAGTGGAGATTTCAGATTCTGTTCCATCAACTCCATTAGCAAAAGAGGTTACCAAGAGATTCTCTACTCCTGATGCTAACCCTGTGTCAACAGAACCAGCCTGGCTGGCCCTAGCCAAGAGGAAAGCAAAAGCCTGGAGTGACTGTCCACAGATCATTAAGTAAACTAACCTTTTTGCTCTTTACTTTTGTTTCTTAGTTGTTTTCTCCTTTTTATTGATTCAGCTTTTTACACAGGACAAAAGAAACTGAACAAAATTTAAATGCATTCCGTGAAGGATTTAAAACTGAACTGATCACCATTTTGCTCTAGGTACTATAGTGTGTGCTCACATCATAGATCCCTTTGCTTTGAAAAACTAGGTAGAGAGTGGGCCCAGGCATACAGTTCAGATCCAATTTCTCAAAATTCAGCGCTACTCAAATGTGAGATTTTGGTTTTGCCCGGTATAAAAAGAGGGGACAGAACTTCAGATCAAAAGCTCTTTCAAATTTTGTGAGCATTTGAGTCTGAGGTTTTGGATCTCTCTTCTCCATGCAGACAAAGAAAAGGTTCTGGCCACTCTGATATAAAAAATGAATGTAAAATGCCTGTTCCCTCCTCTTAGCCCCAGTGGTCGCTTTTGAACTTTGTTTGATGCAGTTTATTTGCAATTTGAAAACCTCTCCCCATCCAAGGCATTTTGGGAGACTTCTTCCCACCTGTGAATGAAGTGATAGCAAGTGATGGTAGCATCCAATTACTGAGGCACTATTGTCTTTCATGCTGGGGACTCAACACAATTGCTGTACCTCCCTCCTCAAAAAAAGTAAATAATTTGCCTATCATTCTAGTTAACATTCATATGGCAACCAAACAAAAAGTGATGGAGCAGGGATACAAAAAGTGTTTCCCCCGTTCACTCAGAGGCAAAGTCCATCCATGTGCTCAGAGCACTTGCAATCTAAGACCCTATTCCTACAAATAACTGGGTCCATGAGTTGCTTTACATACCTAATGAGTCTCCTTGAGTTTAAAGGGACTGTTGACAGGTGTAAAGTTATTCATGTGTAAATGTTTGCAGGACTGTGGCCTAAAAATCAGAAAACCAAGGCTCTGGGATCCTCATGACACGGTAGTAACTTAAACTTATTTAAAATTCAGTTTCCTGAACAGAGAATAAAACGGGTTTGGAATGCTAATTCTTGCTAAGGTTGTTCCCTGAGTGACTTCAGACAACCCAGCTGTAAAATTGAGTAAAAAATTTACTTACATGGGGAGTCGGAGGAATCAGTTGTTGCAGCTGAATTTTTTTTAAATTAGTCTTTAAAATGTAATAAAAAATGTTAGCATCCTTAAATTTTCTACCCAGGAAGTTATGCTTTTTTTTTTTTTTAAATGGCTTTTTACACATAGTAACTACACCAACAAAAAGCAAGCGTCATCTTCCTTAAAAAAATTCCTGTGTTTTCAATGAACTTTGCATATTGTTGCAAATCCCCCTCTGTTTAAAAATATATGTTTTCTTTTGAGCCATAAGAGCATTTTAAGAGGAGGCAATTTCAATGAGAGAGGAAAAATTGCATTACTACAGCATAATGTATCTGATAACTTCATATTATTACTTTTCTTTAGCCACATTGCTATACATCGCATGAGGAGGGGAGCAAACTGTAAATAGAGCAGAAAACAATGAGCCTTGTACTATCATCCTTGTTCTAAGAACTGAAAAAAGCTAGTCAGCAAAAGTTGTTATTGAATAGACTGCATCCTATGTAGGAAACAAAGGTTCAGCAGCACACTTAAAATAGCACAAACACAGACATTAGATTCAATAGAGGTGCAGCTGGAAATAGGTTTTCTCTTGTGGCTCTTGCGCAATCAGTGTTCCACTCTTTCATATTTAAACTAGAACCTTTAAAAACTCTCTCCTTGCTTCTAACATATTAAGTATTTAAAATTTTTATACACAGAGGAACAAGTGAGCTCTCTGGTACCTGCACACAACTCCTATGGACTTCAATGAGAGGTCTGTGGTTATCTGAAGGGGGGGATTGGGCCCATAATATGTGTGTGTTTAATTAGTCCCATAAAGTAGCACTACTTAATGTACATTTATATCTCATCTGGGTTTTGAAGTGTGCAATAGAGTTGTTCTTGTAATTATAAGTCTAAACTGCTTGAAATCAAACACCAGAATTTTGGATGCAGTTTTAGAAGGGGGGTGGGGGTACCAGGAAGGAGATGCAGGGGGTTGGTGGGAGCAGGCCAACCACAAAGGTAGAGAAAAAACAGTAGTCATGATCAAGGAACGTTTAATGATTTAAGGTGCTATTGTGCATGACAAAATGAACTGACCTACCAAAACAACATTAGGCATATTTATAGCACAGTTTGAATTGATTAAGGATGGTTGTAACCTAAAGATTCAAAGCAGAGTCTTTCCAAGTGTAGGGTATCTAGTATACTAAAAACTGCACTCAGTATGTACAGTACTTGCTTGGAAACACTTCTAAAAAGTCTACAAGTTGAACACTGACACTTCATGTAAAATCAACACTGAAATTTGCACTAAACACCTGTGAAGTGTTATTTTGCTTTAACTTTGTTGCGTCTTCTGAACAAATTGTCAGAATTCTGTAAAATAAAAAAATTGTTACTACTGAATTTATTCAAATCAGCAAAAATGTTTTAAGAACTGAATGAACCACTATGTAGAAGGTCTCAATTTTTTTGTAATTTATAAACACAAAATACCATTTCTTCTGAACAGGTTATATATGATTAACCTCTATGTTCATATAGTAATGTACAAAATGTATAATTGTGAGGTTTTTGTTTTCTGTACTTTTTTAATTTTTCAAATGTTTTACAGTGCAATTGTTTCTTATACAAACGTCATTTTAATTCCTATTAAATTATAATCCAGTCAAAATTATCAGATGATGTATGTATTCACTGTCTCCTTCTGTTAATGATATAGGTCAGGTTTATTTATAAATAGAACTTTTAGTGCTACAGGTGTCTTGCTATGTGTTTTTATCAACAATAAAACTGAGTAACAAGACCTATGAAGAAAGGATACATTAGTGTAATTTCTATTTTATTTTCATATTTTAACGTAAATGGTCCCATTATTGAAAAACGTTCTACTTAAATAAAAAAATGGTTCCTGAGTTTAAAATACAGCTTTTGTCATTGATAGACACTGGAAATTTAGATGCAACAAATACACATCACTGCTGCTGGTTACTTTGAACTGGGAAAAAATGACAATACAAAATTAATTTCAACATCTCCATTTTAATTGTTCATGCAGAAGCTTCAAAAGTCACTAAGCTAAATGGCTTCACAGCTGGACATATGTTGAACTGAGTCTTGAGTTTTTACTCAATGATCCAAGCTAATTAGTAAATGCTTAGTACAAAAACTGCTAAATTTTTTTAAATGGGTTATTGTATTCAAAGCCTAATGCATTAGAATACCATTGGTAAGTATTATTAATGTTTCAAACCTTTGTCAAGGTTGCTACAAAAGCAAGCTTACCTCCTCTCCTTCTAGCTTGTCAGGAAATTGAATGTTTAGCTGTAGTCAAGTCAGCCGTAGTACTGCTGAAAAGGATCTGGAGTCAAAGTGGATCACAGATTGAATGAGTCAACACAGTGATGCAGTTGCAATAAAGGCTAATATTCTGGGAGGTATTAACAGTAGAGTTGTACATAAGACGAGCGGTAACTATCCCACTCTACCCAGCACTGATGAGGCTTGACCTGTCCAGATCTAGGTGCCACACTTTAGGAAATATGCGGATGATTTACAGAGAATCCAGAGGACATCAACAAAAAAAAGATTTATAAAACCTGATTAAAAAACAACAACAAACCAACTGGGCATGTTGAGTTGAGCCACAGCAGGTGGCAGGCAACCCTTGGAGCACCAAGCAACTCCCTGCGGTCCTGGAGCGCTGAGCCCACAGGCAGTGGGGACCCACAGCTCCCAGCTGCTGTGAGCAGCAGCAGCAGCGGGGTGCTAGACCCCCCTATCCATTGTGTCAGGGTTATTTTTAGTAAAAGTCAGAGACAGGTCACAGATGTCCATGATTTTTGGTTATTGCCCATGACCTGTCGGTAATTTTTAGTAAAAGTCACTGAAAATCTTAGCCTTAACTGCAACTACAGCTACAGGAAAAAGGTGAAGACAGTACTTGTAGCAAGCTAAGAGCACCAAGGAACAGAGGTTCTGACTCTGGCCATGTGGCAGTAAGAGGAAACTGGACCTGCATGGCCTCTTAAAGCCTCAGATGTGTCACACAGTTGACGCATGACCCACATGCGGGTCAACCGACACTACTATGAACAGTTCTGGCTCCAGCACATGGCACGCATGCGCACCCCACGGTCGGAATCCAAACAGAGATCATTACTCGGAGAACTATTGAAATCTGACTTATGAACAGCAAACACAGCCTTTGTGCAGAATGCAGGGATATCCCGAGCACACAAGGTCTGCACAGCACTGCGTGATGCAAGTTCCTGTTGTGCATGTGCTGCTAAAGCCCTGAGTCTGGGCACCTCCTGCAGGGCTGAAGGCCCGAGCCCCAGCTCACCGCACTAACTCTAAAAAGAGCCACATGCAGTCATGAGGTGCAGTTTGGCCACACCTGGCTTAGATCAAAAATGTCTACACAGCTGTTTTTAGAGCAGTAATGAAAGCTCCGCTAGGCTGAGTCTGTCGACCCAGGCTCAGAGCTTGCTCCCACTTGCTCCAAAATGCTGCAGACATATCCATTGAAATATCCTGTATTTAAAGTCAAACATGGGCTTATAACAATCATGCAATTTTGGAATGGGTTCCAGTTTAAAGTTCATAATGTTGAAATCAACTATTTTTGGGCTAAGCATTTACTAATGGACTGTGTAAAACTGAAGATTCAGTTTATTCTTGCAAGTTAGGTTAGCTTCCCTAGATACCATAAAATGATTGAGACATGGTCTCCAAACTTTCCACTTCATGTCCCCCCTTACCTGTCTGCTCCCTCTCTTTCCCCCCTAACCCAGAGTGGGGGGGCGGAGAAGGAAGCTGCAGCTGGGGACCGAGGCTGGGCCACGCTCGTTCCCCCCCCCACCCATCAGGGCTGGCCCAAGTCCTGCTGCATCCCCTGAATGCATTTTAAAAACCTATATAGAATAGAATAATCGGCCTTGAAGGATTCCCCACAACAGGTAGCAAGCTCAAGTGGAAGGTGCTGGGAGGGGCAGAACACCTTGGTCTATGCATGTGAGTAGATACACAGAGACACAGTTATCTGTTTACAAAATATGTTAATACAGTCAATAAAAAGACCAAATTTCCCAACCAAATACTGGAAAACTTTAGACCAGACAGACAAGCTATTTTCACATTTTCATGCTAGACATGACATATGGCACAAAATTCAATATAAATTGCCAGAAACAGTTATATCAGAGCGAACACATTTATTTTTCCACCAAAATTCATCTTAAATCAGACAAGCGATGCTGAGATATCATTAAGTCAAGTGCCTTCTCTTGATTAGGAAAATCGCTTGACTTGGAAAACATGTTAGCTAGCACCAATGTCCACCTAATGCAGACACTAACATCTTAAAAATGTGTTCAGAGATCATGATTGGGGGGATGGGGGGGAGTTTAATGTTGACCATGACCACATAACGTTTTTTAAAAATATTACACACTGTTGCCACTAAGCACTCTCGTGTTTTTAACAGCACATAGGCACAATTTTAAAAGAAAACCACACATTTTTCCTACTCCAGGCATGAAAACAGGTACATTGACTCTGTGATAACAAACCTGCAGAAGCAAGTCTCAGAGCTCAGGGTCAACTGACTCGAGCTCCCATTACGGAGCTAAACAGAGCTCTTTTTAGCCGCACAGCATGAGTCCAAGTCAGCTGATCCAGGCTCTGAGACTCACTGCCACAGGTCTTTTATTGCAGCGTAGACATGCCTGTTGGTGCAAAATTATTAACTAAAATGTTTGCAAACATGATCAATTTTACAAAAGTAGAATGGGCTAAGAGCAGGACCGCACAGGCCTGGGTGCTTTAAAGTACAATTCAAGGATGTTCTTAACATCCAAGTGTAAACACTAGAGATGAGGCAGTTTAACACATCCTAGTAGTTCTTGTTTTTTCAGCAATGCACAAATCCAGGCAATAAACATAATCATTTCTACAGCCAACAACAAGCCTTGAGCCGCATACTACAGGGGAAGAGAATACTTCTCCTGGAAGTTTCTCGACACCTGCTACCAATCCATTTTTAGCATTCAGGACCCACACTGTACCATCTGTAGATGTTGCTGCCAGCAGCGTTTCACTCTCCAAGTCATGACTATGGAAAACAAAGGGAGTTGCATATACACTTGAAGTGGTTTCAAATTTCCACAGTAAATTACCTTCCATATTACAGCAGTAGATAAAGCAGTCATGGGAGCCAAAATATATTTCTTGCTTAATTAAACTTGAGATACATGGGGATGAAAAGACTGGTCCACTGGTGGAAAACTGCCAAACCTACAGAACAGTATTAAAAAATTAATCCATTATTGCAGGTTGTTCAGGTTATCAATGAGACATCATCTAATCTTCAGGGACAAGCTGTTAACAGAGAGGACAAATATACTGCATCATCTGGATTCTGGCATATGCTGTATATCATACATGGCTAGAAAATATTTGCAACATTCACAAGCTAAGCTCCACACATACATTCAGCAGGCAGGCATTCACATGGTAGTTTCCTATAATGCAGTGTTGTAGCCATGTTGGTCCCAGGATATTCCAGAGAAAAGGTGGGTGAAGTAATATTTTTACTGGACCAACTTCTATTGGTAAGAGACAAGCTTTCAAGCTTACAAAGAGATGAACTGAAGAAGAGATCTGAGTAAGCTCAAAAGCTTGTCTCTCTCACCAACAAAAGATATTATCTCAACCCCTTTTCTCTCTAGTTTCCTGTAAATTATTCACCTATGTGGAGGCTCTACTGAAAGGAGGCTAAACAGGCAACACAATAAGTACCTCAAGGCCATTACAGTATAGGTGTCCCTCCAGCAGGGCAAACCCCACATCCTCTCTCCATGCAGTCTATAGAGAATCTTTCCTCACTGTATTGGTGTAGTGCAACAAATCCCCATTGTGTGGGATTTCCAAGAATCACCTACATAAAGGTCCCTGCAAGCCAATGAAGAGGAGGAGGAGTCCTAGCATCACTGTTTTAGAACATCAGACACCCAAGGCTAGGAAAGCTATCCAGCTAGAGAGGGCTGCTGTCATGCCACCCTGAGAGGAGGATATGGCTTTGTCAAAGGGAGAACACTGGCTGTTGGTTACTTCTTGCAGCAGGCAGTGCTCCCCCCCTACTCCCACCCCACCCACCACAGTGATGAAGAACCATTATGCTGCCCTGACAACGAGGAATCACCTGCAAATATGGAGGAGGAGAAGCCATGTACCCCCAAGGCTGGGAGGATCACAGTTCCCAGGAGGAAACGTAGGATAGTGGTGGTTGGTGATGCTCTTCTGAGAGGGATGGAGGCACCCATCTGTCATCCTGACCATATGGGAGGTATGCTGCCTGCCAGGGGCCCATATCCGAGACATTACGGAAGGGATGTCAGGGATCATCCGGCCTTCTATTACCCCAAGCTACTCATCCATGTGGGAATCAATGGTACTGCAAGGTATGACCCTGAGCAGATAAAAAATGACTACAGGGCTCCGGCAGTAAGGGTGAAGGAGTTGGTGGCACAGGTGGTGTTCTCTTCGATCCTTCCAGCTAAAGGTAGGGGCCCTGGCAGAGACAGTTGCATCCTGGAGATGAATGCCTGGCTGCGAGGATGGTGTCACAGGAGGGCTTTGGCTTACTTGACCATGGGATGCTGTTCTGGGAAGAAGGACTGCTAAGCGGAGATTGGCTCTACCTATCGAGGAAGGAGAAGAACATATTTGGATACAGACTGGCTAATCTAGTGAGGAGGGGTTTAAAGTAGGTTTGATGTGCGCAGTTAAATTCAAAACATGGAAACTGGGAGAAGGGTCAAAATTGGGGGGGGGGGGTGGAGCATGAACCATTACAGAAGGGATAGGGGAGAGATGAGAGAACATAGTGGGGGAAATCAAATCAGTATCTTAGCTGCCTGTATACTAATGCGAGAAGTATGGGGAATAAGCAAGAAGAACTTGAAATGCTAGTTAACAAATACAACTATGGCAGAGTTGGCATGACAGAGTTGGTGGGATAATGCAAATGACGAATATTGGTATAGAAAGGTACAGCTTGCTCAGGAAGGACAGGCAGGGAAAAGAGGGAGGAGATGTTGCTTTATATATTAAAAATGTATACACTTGGACTGAGGTTCAGATGGAAATAGGAGACAGATTTGTTGAAAGTCTCTGAGTAAGGATAAAAAGGTAAAAAACCCAAGGGTGGGGTCATGGTAGGGGTCTACTACAGACCACCTAATCAGGAAGAAGTGGATGCGGCTTTTTTTAAACAACTAACAAAATAATCCAAAGAAAAGGACTTGATGGTAATGGGTGACTTCAACTACTCAGACATCTGTTGGGAAAATAATATGGCAGGGCACAGATTATCCAAGTTCTTGGAATGTACTGGAGACAATTTTTTATTTCAGAAGGTACAAAAAGCTATGGGGGCCAAGCTGTTCTAGATTTGCTTTTGACAATTAGGAAGGAACTGGTTGAGAATCTGAAAGAGGAAGGCAGCTTGGGTGAAAATGATCATGAAATGGTAGAGTTCATGAATTTAAGGAAAGGTAGGATGGAAAACAGCACAATAAAGATAATGGATTTCAAGAAGGCATACTTTAGCAAACTCAGGGAGTTGGTAGCTAGGATCCTATGGGAAGCAAGTCTAAAGAGAAAAATAGTTCAATGGTTTTTCAAAGAGACATTATTAAGGGCACAAAATCAAACTATCCCACTGCGTAGGAAAAATAGGAAGTATGGTAAGAGACCACCCTAACTTAACCAGGAAATCTTCAATGAGCTGAAAATCAAAAAAGAATCCTACAAAAAATGGAAACTAGGTCAAATTACAAAGGATGAATATAAACAAGTAACACAAGTACGTAGAGACAAAATTAGAAAGGCCAAGGCACAAAACAAGATTAAACTAGATAGAGATATATAGGATAACAAGAAAAAAGTCTACAAATACACTAGAAGTAAGACGAAGACCAAGGAGAGGGTAGGCCCGTTACTCAGGGAGGAAAAACAATAACAGAACATGGAAAAGGCAAAAGTGTTAAAAGACTTTTTTTCTTCCAATTTTCATCAAAAAGGTTAATAGCAATTCAACATCAAACGTGAAGAATGCCAGTGAAAATGAGGTATGATCAGAGGTAAAACAGGGAAAGAATAAAGTTAAAAATTACTGAGATAAATTAGATGTCTTCAAGTTACCAGGGCCTGATGAAATATATCCTAGAATATTCAAAGAGCTGACTGAGGAGATATCTGAGCCATTTGCAATTATCTTCAAAAAATCATGGAAGACAGGAGAGATTTCAGAGGAGTGGAAAAGGGCAAATACAGTGCCCACCTATAAAAAGGGAAATAAGGACAACCCAGGGAATTAGAGACCATTCATCTTAACTTCAGTGCTGGAAAGATAATGGAGAAAATAATTAAGCAATCAATTTGCAAACATCTAGAAGGTAATAAGGTAATAAGTAAGGCTACATTTTAGTGACAGGTATTTTTAGTAAAAATCATGGACGGGTCATGGGCAGTAAACAAAAATTCAAGGCCCTGTCACCTGTCCATGACTTGTACTATATATCCCTGATTAAATCTTGGGTGGGGAAGGTGGCCCAGGGGATGGTGCGGGTGCTCAGGAGGGGAGCAGCCTGGGTCCCCTGCTGGTGCAGGGGGGAGAGGGCAAGCAGCAGTGCACGATCCTCGCTGGTGCTGGGGGGGGGTGGTTGGCAGGGCTGGCAGGCTCCCTATCTGGCTCCTTGCAGCTCCACAGAAGCGGTGACATGTCCCTCCCTCAGTTCCTAGCTCTATGCGCTGCCCCACCCCCAAGCGCCGGCTCCACAGCTCCCATTGGCTGGGAACCATGGCCAATGGGAGCTGCGGGGGCAGTGCCTGCAGGTCCCAGAAAGTCATGGAAACCGTGACAAACTCACAGCCTTAGTAATAAGTAACAGTTAGCATGGATTTGTCAAGAACAAATTGTGCGAAACCAATCTAATAGCTTTCTTTGACAGGGTAACAGGCCTTGTGGATAACGGGGAAGCGGTAGATGTGGTATATCTTGTTCTCAAAGAGTAGTTATCAGCCGTCCACAGTCAAGCTGGAAAGGCATATTGAGTAGGGTCCCACAGGGATCAGTTCTCACTCCGGTTCTGTTCAATATCTTCATCAATTATTTAGATAATGGCATAGAGAGTACACTTAAAGTTTACTGATGATACCAAAGCTGGGAGGGGTTGCAAGTACTTTGGAGGATAGGATTAAAATTCTGAATGATCTGGACAAACTGGAGAAATGGTCTGAAGAAAACAGAATGACATGCAGTAAGGACAAACGCAAAGAACTCCACTTAGGAAGGAACAAATCAGTTGCACACATACAAAATGGGAAAGGACTCCCCAGCAAGGAATACTGTGGAAAGAGATCTGGGGGTCATAGTGGATCACAAGCTAAATATGAGTCAACAGTAAAGCAAACGTCATTCTGGGATGTATTGTAGGCATATTGTAAGCAAGACTAGAAGTAATTCTTCCATTCTACTCAGTGCTGATTAGGCCTCAACTGGAGTATAGTGTCCAGTTCTGGGTGCCACATTTCAGGAAAGATGTGGACAAACTGGAGAAAGTCCAGAGAAGAGCTACAAAAAATGATTAAAGGTCTAGAAAACATGACCTATGAGGGAAGATTGGGAAAAAAAAAAGGGTTTGTGTAGTCTGGAGAAGAAAAGACAGAGGGGACATAATTTTCAACTACATAAAAGATTGTTACAAGGAGGAGAGAGAAAAATTGTTCTCCTTAACCTCTGAGGACAGGACAAGAAGCAATGGGTTTAAATTGCAGCATGGGTAGTTTAGGTTGGACATTAGGAAAAACTTCCTGTCAGGGTGGTTAAGCACTGGAGTAAGTTGCCTAGGGAGGTTGTGGAATCGCCATCATTGGAGATTTTTAAGAGCAGGTTAGACAAATACCTTTCAGAGATGGTCTATAATACTTAGTCCTACCATGAGTGCAGGGGACTGAACTAGATGACCTCTCAAGGTCCCTTCCATCCTACGATTCTACCAGTGACAATTTTTACCAAGGACAACACTTTTGAGTTAAGTACGCTATGGCTGTACCCAGGCAAACAAACAGTTTCAACAGCAAAAATTAAACCAGAGGTGCAGATCTTGTACATGTCTGAGAAAACAAATCTTACCATCGCATCCAAGATTCTAAGAACAAGACCAAGCCACACAAACACTTACACAGATACCTCTGCCATGACACCAGCACTTTGATAAACATGTGAGTGAAACTTTAATTCCAGTCAGTACCTTTATAAAACAAACCTGGAAGAAAGGGATGGGACTTGAAAGCAAGAGTTGCTTTCAACCCTGCTGTATATGTCCCTGGCATCTAACAGAATTCAAACCAAAAATGTCACCATCCCTCTCACCCTCCCCTCCCAAATTAAATGATTAGAATTTGAACTGAGGTGCTCAAGATTTTTACCTGTGCATTAGAAATGGAGGGATGGCTGGGGAGAGACTGGGATACTGGGTTCTAGTTTCAACTCTGCCACTGACTTGCTGGATAGCCTTGGGCAACCTGCTTTACCTCTCTCTGTTAGAATTTACCTTTCTGTAAAATGGGTACATACTAATACTTGTTTTATCTGGCTGGCATAAGTAAGAGTTAATATATGTTAACCACTGAAATCCTCAGAACAGTTTATAAAACTGTGATTTATTACTAAAAGGTAAATCAAAGCAAGAGTTTGTGATGTAAGAAAGTACAATAATCGAATAGTGATAGTTTTTCACCTTTTCTCCTGAGTGGCTAAAACAGTGCACATTCCCATCCACACATCCAATGCACACATACTGCTCGCTGCAGTGGGGAGAGGAGAAGAGGGGTTTTCCACAGGAACTTTTCCAGATCTTATTCCCCGTATCCTGTGAATGACAAAGTACAAGACATGGCATTTAATGTGACTGTAGAAAGCTGCACAAAATCTGGGCAAATCTTCTCCCTAGTAACTGGGCTGGGCCCTGGGAATAGCCACAAGAAAAGAGAATTCAGTCCCCCAAGTGGCAGAGCAAGAGCAGACCTTCTCTCCAGAGATTACTCCAACTTAATACCTAGAACAGACTGTGACCCTCATGCCTCTATCCTATCCTCCTCCAGGGACAGATGAGAAAGGACCAGAAGATCCACGCAACTAGCTCCTAATAGCATAAAACTTGTTACTGCACATGGTGTTAACCCTAAACAGCGTATGAACAGCGGCAACCCATAAATCACAATCATCACTATAGCTCAGTAATATAGCTGGTACATTAACAGTTGTAATGTAGTGAATTATCTGAGCCAGTGCCTCTGCTACTCTGTGCCATTTCACTGTGTTAACACATACAGCTGACGAGAAAACTTGGATGAAAGCTTGTTGAAAGCTGCATGTGGAAGCTCAATTGTGGGGCTGATTGCTAGTGATGGCTGTTTCCTTTCCCTCTCTCGCTTCCCACACCCATACAGCGCTCAGCTCTGGACTATTGTTCCTTCAACAAGCCATGAAGCTGACTCCACAGCCTCTAGAAGTACAACTTCCCTGGAGTGGTGTACTGTATGGGAAGCCGGGTGAAGGAAGTGGAGAGCTCCACTGGGATTGGCCTCTGCAGGTGAGAGACGTGGAGTGGTGACAGTAGAAGGAATGGCGGGAATTAGTTTCTCCTTTATTCTCCTCAGGCTTCAAGAGATTTTGCAGATTTTTTTCTTTAGCTAGGGAGATGAAAGCTAGCAGGCACTTTCTCACAAGCCCCTAGTTCAGAAACACTGGTTCAATGGACAGAGCAACAGATGGGGAGTCAGGAAACATGATTTCCTTTCCAAATTTTGCCTTTCACTCAGCATGTGGCCCTGGGCCAGATTCACAAAGATTCACAGTATCTCTGGGCCAGATTCACAAAGACACACTTAGGCACCTTACTGCTCTTTAGATGTCCAAGGCCAACATTTAGGAAGCAATTCACAAAATGGCTGTTCAGCTGCCACCTATTCCTTTATGCACCCAAGTTTCTGCCAGCACCAATGCACAAAAATACCTAAATCCTGATGCTGCCCCCCAGCTAACAAGCTCCTTGGATCATTAAGCACTGGTGAGACTCTCAAACTAGGCATTCCTAAGAGCATGCTTAACTTGCACAAAGACAACCAGTATCTAGCAAATCAGGAATTTTTTTTTTAGGCGGGGTGCAGGGGGAGTAGAGTGACAGACCCATTAAAAACCCTGCTCTATTTGCCTGATTCTGAGCAGTGACTTGAACACACCAAACATGCCAAGTAAGTATCCTAACCACCTGGTTATAGAGTCTCTCTCTTGCTTCTCTCTTCCTCTCTATCCCAATGAATATTTAATTATTTATACAAAGTGGAACAGCTTCAGCATGAGAAATTGAGACCCAGCCCAGATTACCCAATAGCCCATTGGTTAGGGCACTCAGCTGGGATGTGAGTTCAAGTCCTGCTCCAAATCAGGAAAAGCAGGGATCTGAAACTCTCTCTCATATCGTAGGCAAGTACCCACTCTGCCATGGAGAGGGTAACTGTGTGTATGTCTTTCCCTCTCTCGTTTTTCACATGAAAGAGCTGACTTGGTTTAGGCAGCCAATTCCAGGAGAAGGTTCATGGCCGAGAATCCTGAGAAGAGACAGACACCTCCCTCTGGCCCAGAGTTAGGCTATGCCTGTGCTGCTACAGCCGTGCTGCTACAAGGCGCACAGTGTAGCCGCTATTTGTCGGCAGGAGAGAGCTTTCCTGCCAACAAAAAACTCCCACCCACAATGAATAGCATTAGCGTTGTCAGCAGGACAGCGCTCCTGCCAACAAAGTGCTGTTCACACCAGCGCTTGTTATTGACAAAACTTTTTTGGTCTTTTGGTGGGTGGGTGTGGGGTTTTTTTTGGTTTTTTAATACCTGTGAACAACAAAAGTTTTACCAAGTTTTACCAAGCCTTAGACACCGAAATACCTTTGAAAGGCAGTGCTCAGGCCACACCCCTCTCCTCAGCATCTCCTACTGGCTAAGTTAGGCAGACCCCGCTAGTCTCCATGAATCCCTTTCTTAGGCACCTGACTCTCCTCACACATTGTACAGGAAAACTAGACAACTACCTTAAGGCCGAGAATCCCACTGGGAGGTAGAGCATCTCTGAGTCAGGAGGTTCACAGAGTCCTTTTGTGAATCTAAGGCTTGGCTACACTTGTGAGTTAGAGTGCATTAAAGCAGCCCTGGGCACACTAGCTCACTACCTGTCCACACTGACAAGGCACGTAGAGTACTCTGACTCCACAGCAAGAGTGTTTCTGGTACTCCACCTCAGCGAGAAGATTAACGCTTGTTACGCCTTAGCTGGGGGTCAGTGCGAACGAGGTGTTGCATTACTGAGCTCTGATCAGCCTCTGGAAACGTCCCATAATCCCCTTAAGTCAAGTGGCCACTCTTGTCATTGTTTTGAACTTGCTGTAGGAATGCGGATATGCCCTCTGAAAGCTCCATTTCTGACAGGTGGCATGCTTATCTGCTCCGAGACAAAGCAACCATTACTGTGGAATGCTGTGTGTGTGAGAGAGAGAGGCAGATGGGGGGGGGGGGGAGGGGAGGTCTGCTGCTATCTGAACTTACAAGACCGCATGCTGACATGCTCTCAGCCCCCCCAAATCCCACTCTCTCTCCCCCCACATACACACAACACACTCCCTGTCACACTCCATTTCCTCCCCCCCCCCATTTGAAAAGCACATTGCAGCCACTTACATGCTGGGATAGCTACCAAAATGCACTCCTCTCTGTGGCCATTGTAAGAGCTGCTAATGTGGCCACCCCAGTGCGCTTGTAGCTGTCGGTGTGGACAGATTGCAGCGCTTTCCCTACTGCGCTCTATGAAGGCTGGTTTAACTCAAAATGCTCTACATCTGCAAGCGTAGCCATGCCTTAAGTCTTCATCTCTCTGCGCCTCAGATTCCCCATCTGCAAAAATCAAAATAATACTGCTCTCTTTTGAAACACAGTGAGATCCTGGGATGAAAAAGATTGTTATTAGAAAGTATGACTTTACAGTCCTTACTGATGCAAAACTTCTACTGACTTCAGAGCATGTTTTGGCTGAATAAGGATTCAAGATCTGGCCCAGAGATAGCAAGGAAGGTACATACTGGATTTACAGCCAATAAAAGTCCGCCTAGCGTAGCAACATACAGGTGATCTGGCAAGATGCTTAGATATGGAGACGAAAACACAGCTCCACCTTCACAGTGCAGCTTCCAGACACGCTCCTCCTTCTGTCAATCCAAGAAAAAAGTACATAAAAAGCTATACAATCTGATAACTTTCAGAGGAACAGCCGTGTTAGTCTGTATTCGCAAAAAGAAAAGGAGTACTTGTGGCACCTTAGAGACTAACCAATTTATTTGAGCAGTGAGCTGTAGCTCACGAAAGCTCATGCTCAAATAAATTGGTTAGTCTCTAAGGTGCCACAAGTACTCCTTTTCTTAATCTGATAACTGAGAGTTAAAGTTCATTATGCTATTTGCAAGGACTCAAATGTCAAAGTTTTATCAACAGCAAGTTTACTTGGAAAATACTAGTTATTAACTGAAGATTATAATTTGCCAGCAATCAAAGAGACCCATATAACTCAAGGCAGTTTCTTCTTTCATAGAGCTAAATATTGGAAACTCAGTTAAGAAATACGTAACACTCACCCACATCACTTTCCTTCTCTCAACACATTCTGGAGAAAGGGAAGAGATTCAGTCTCATCCACACCAAATTGTGGGGTTATTACAAGTTGCCAGCACTGGGAGCACACATTTTAGATTTGCCCTAATCACCCAGTTCCGTACTAGTGATAGAGGGTAATTTGCCATATAGTTCTGAACTGGCATTGGCAGTGCTGGGAGTGTAATGTAGGGAGGCCACAGACTGCCAACAGCACTTTTAATCACTGTCATTTAACTCTACTCCAAGCAGTCCTAATTAACTCAAGGCTAAAATGAAAGCAGTTGGCAGTCTGTCTACATTAGGGCTCCCAAGATTGCCAACACTGATGGAGCTTATAGATATGGTTCAAGAGGGTCAGATGTTTTACTTTTGATATACATAAAGTTAGTCAGGGTGACTTCTTACATAAATATCCAGAGCATATATGTGTTGGTCATGCGATCCAATGTAGACTAGTCCAGTGGAAGGATGCACAACTGCAGAGCTTTTCACAGCATCTTCAGTGGTAAAGATACAGTGTATTTCCCCATTCTGGCTTCTAAGTACATACACTAAGCCGTTATAGCAGCCTGCATAAAATAAAGTGCAATAGGGAAAAAACAGGTAATGATATTTGGATTAGCGTTTTCACTGCATCATTGCTGATCAAAAGATAGCTCATGAGTCAACCCATCACCTCCAAACATATTTCCCAGCACTTTTTGCATTCAAGCTTCTTGCTGAAAATAAAGCCTCACAAGTGCATTTGACATTAAGCACTCAGTGCTCTTCTTCTGAGTCATTTTAAAGCTATGCCTATTTTTACTGTGCTATTACTGTGAAGTTTGTTGGAGGATAGGGTGAGCTACTGAATATGGACAAGGGAAGTGCAAAGTTTGTGCATATTAATGAAATTACTTTTATTCTCATTTATGTTTCTGGCAATAAACACAAAGCTTGCCTCTCTCACCAACAGAATTGAGTCCAATAAAAGGTATTATCTCACCTACCTTGTCTCTCTAATATCCTGGGAACAACATGGCAACAACCGTGCATCTGGCAATAAAGACCCTCCATTTTGTTTAATAAAATCCAGGCTCTGCTTCAAGACACATTAGGGCATAATACAATATCAGCACAATTTTGTTACCTGCAGGCTCAACAGCAATCAAAATATCAGCCAAAACTTTGGTCACCACTACCTTATGTCAAGCCAAAAGGCAAGAGATCCAAGCTTTGTATTATTTAACCTGTTAGACCACAGGTGGTCAAACTATGGCCCGGGGGCCGCATCCAGCCCTTCAGACATTTTAATCCAGCCTTCGAGCTCCCACCAGGGAGCGGTGTCGGGGGCTTGCCCTGCTCCAACCTGTTATGGCTCCACACAGCTCCTGGAAGCAGCAGCATATCCCCACTCTGGCTCCTATGCATAGGGGCAGCCAGAGGGCTCCGCATGCGGCTCCCACCCCAAGCGCTGCCCCCACAGCTCCCATTGGCCGGCAACCGCGGTCAATGGGAGCTGCAGGGGTGGTGCCTGTGGATGGGGCCACGCGCAGAGCCGGAGCGGGGACATGTTGCTGCTTCCGGGAGCTCCTTGAGCTAAATGCCAACCGGAGTCTGCACCCGAGCGCCCCTTCCCCATGCTCCAAACCACCTGCCCTAGCCCTGATCCCCCTCTGAACCCCTTGGCCCCAACCCGGAGCACCCTCCTGCATCCCCAACCCCACCCCAGAGCCAGCACCCCCAGCCGGAGCCCTCACCCCCCAATCCCGTGAGCATTCATGGCCCACAATACAATTTCCATATCCAGATGTGGCCCTCGGGCCAAAAAGTTTGCCCACCCCTGTGTTAGACAATTTTATATATATATCTCTCAATGTGCATGCACCACATAGAAAAACAACATTAGTAAGTATTTAATTACTCTCTTTTCATCTAAGCAGATGACAAAAACCCTCCTGATTTTTCATGGGGAAGTCAGTTACAGGTGACATATTAATCCTGTATGAGGCAATTATGGCCACTTTGACATGCCAACAACAAACTGCTTTAAAATTCAGACAGCATACACCGATGGGGTGGAAAGTGCATTCACCAATATCTTGTATAAGTGACCTTTGCTCAAAGTACCCACAAAACGCTTTAAAAAAAGATTATTTTGCATCAGATTTAACTATCTGAGGTATCATATGCTAAGTTCTACTGTAACACCGAGTCTTCGGCAGGCAGGATTGAACCTGGGACCTCTGGAGCTTAGTACATGAGCCTCTACTGTAGGAGCTAAAAGCCATATGGCTGTAGAGCAGACTCAATCTCTCTCTCTAAGTGGTCTCAGTGCCACTAGATAGGACAGAGCACCGCACTCAGGAGGTGTGTGGGTTACACTACCTCGTAATTTTTAAAGCTTACTTTCAAGGCATTTTTAAAACTTATCCCATGCTTTTCTAAGCAGTTCAATGATCATGTTCTAACTAAATTCTTCAAACGGAACTTGTACCTGTTGATTATCATTGTACTAGTACAGTACAGTTAAGAAAAGGAGAATCCATTGGTGCATAATAATCCTACTTGATTGCAATACTTTAAATAAGTTGCCCTTCCATTATTTTTTATGCCTCCTGAACACCTACTCAGGGGACCTTAAAAAGTCCATACTGTCTAGATATTCCCTTCCCATAGTTCAATGTATTAAGTGCTGCACAGAGTCATTCAAAATAGAACTCAAACCTACAGAATCTTCACCCCAGTTTCAACATGGGCCCAGCCCGTCCTCCCTGAGTATCTGTCTTCCTTTCAGAGTTCAAACACAAACAGGCTCCTCTACGCAGTCCCCAGCTGAGCCCAGATCCTCCCACCTGCAGATCTGTCTCTCTAGGTCTCCAAAGTCTTCCTCTAACAGAGGAGCCTCACAGTTCCCCTCCTTGGAGCTGTGCTTATTCCTGTCAGCTGTGACCTTGGATCAGCTTCCCTCAAATGGTTGCTCCTTTTCTCAATCTTATTCTCTTCCAATCTAGAAAGGATCAGCAGACAGACCTCTTTCCCCTCTGCTGACTCAGGGCCCTGCAGGAGCCTTCTTTCTACCTGAGGAATCTGTAAACACCCACTTTCTCTCTCTAGGCCTCTTGCTTATCTGCCTTAGGGCTGATTCAGCCACCTGACCCACTTGTTACATGACTTCACTCACTATCACTCATCCTCCTCACCTGGGGAGATGAGCCACACTTGTCACAAGTGGACTGGAACCCACCTCCCTTTAAAGGGCCCAGCCACCCTCAACAGTGGCATTGAAACTGCTTTCCCCTTTTGTTCCCATTTACTGCAGTTTAATTTTAGACAGACACAGAACACGGGTTAGTGGAAGCAGAGATGCCAGCTACATATTGCTTGACATTGAACAAGCTGCTGTGTAATCTGGTTACAATTTTGGGGGTGGGGGGGGGTGGAAGGAAAATCATTTAAAATACATACCAACAATAATGAAGTTTCCACACTTAGACACACATGCAGACGATTCAATTCGATCTCCAAGGATTCTCTCCCACTTGATTTTTCCTGAGCATAGATCAATTGCCTGCATTGTGTGAGAATGGGACCCAACGTATACAGTTGCAGATAAATCATCCGTGGCTGGTATTATAACTAATGGGGAGGCATCTACACATTTGCCCATATTTGACTTCCATCTTACATGTAATATCAGCTTCTCAGGCATTTTTAAGAAAGTCTCTTCTGAAGGAGCTTGTTCTACAGAATGAGTACCTGTTTCATTTGCCTTCCTTGCAATTTCTGGACTGCTTCTGCTCTTTCCAGATTTATTCTCTGTCACTTCATATTTCATTGTATTAGAAGTTACAGCAGATGAATAAGATGCTTGTTGTCTTAACTTTTTTCCTGCCTGTCCTACATTATATGGGTTCATAAGAGACTCAGGGGAAGTCATCGACAACATCCGATTTCCTCGGTTTAGTGCAATAAATGCAACCAATCCTGCAGCAGCATTAAAGTACCTTCTAGATTTTTGTTTTGTGTGTTCTCCGTGGAATTCCCCTCCACTGCTCTCAGTCAGTGTTCTTTTCACAGTGTTACGATCCATTATTTGGTCCTCACTTGGGAATACAGCTTTAAGAACATGTTGGTAAACCTGAGCAATGGAGCTGCTGAGAATAATTTCCAGGAGCCCAGGGATGGCTTTGCCTGTCAAATTCTCAATCTCATCATGAAACCGTAGTGACTTCAAGGAGTCTCCACCACTGTACAGAAACAGTGAATCTTTGGAAATGCTGGGTGAATCATCTGGAAGATTCAGGAGAGACTAGAGAAGAAGCAGAGAACAGAGCTTGTGAGGTGAACAATGTCCCAGTGCCACAGGGAAAAGATGGTTACTCACCTTTGTGACAGTTGTTCTTCGAGATGTGTTGCTCATATATATCCATTCCAATTAGGTGTGCGCACGCCACATGAACGGCCGTCGGAGAATTTTTACCCTAGCAACACCCGGTGGGTCGGCTGTGGAGCCTCCTGGAGTGACGCCTTCATGGTGCTGTATATATACACCCCAGCCAACCCAGAGCCCCCTCAGTTCCTTCTTGCTGGCTACTCTGACAGGGGGGAAGGAGGGCGGGTTTGGAATGGATATGAGCAACACATCTTGAAGAACAACAGTTACAAAGGTGAGTAACCATCTTTTCTTCAAGTGCTTGCTCATATTGATTCCAATTAGGTGACTCCCAAGCCTTACCTAGGCGGTGGGGTCAGACTGAAGTACCGTGGATTGAAGGACCGCTCTACCAAACACCGCATCGTCTCTGGCTTGTTGGGCGATGGCATAGTGAGAGGCAAAAGTATGTACTGAAGACCAAGTAGTGGCTCTGCAGATCTCCTGGATTGGCACCTGGGCCAGGAAAGCCGCTGATGAGGCCTGGGCCCTTGTAGAGTGAGCGGTGAGGGGTGGGGGGTGGGGTTGGAACATCGGCCAGATCATAGCAAGCACAGATACAGGAAGTGATCCAAGAGGAGATCCGCTTGGATGAGACTGGGAGGCCCTTCATCCATTCCGCCACTGCGACAAAGAGCTGGGTCGTTTTCTTGAACGGCTTTGTATGCTCAACGTAGAAGGCCAGGACCCTACGAACATCTAGGGAGTGTAGCCGTTGTTTCTGATGAGTAGCATGTGGTTTTGGGTAAAAAACCAGGAGGAAAATGTTCTGGCTGATATGAAAGGTTGATTCCACCTTGGGAAGAAAGGCCGGGTGAGGTTGTAGCTGCACCTTGTCCTTATGGAAGGTCGTGTATGGTGGTTCCGAGGTAAGAGCTGCGAGCTCGGATACACACTGTGCAAACCCATTTTCCAACAGAGGTATAGGAGGGAACAGGTGGCCAACAGCTCAAACGGGGCCCCCATAAGCCTGGAGAGGACCAGGTTCAGGTCCCAGGTGGGGACTGGCTGTCGTACCTGTGGGTAGAGATAGTCCAGGCCCTTAAGGAACCTACTGACCATGGGGTTGGAGAAGACAGATCAGCCATTCGCTCCTGGGTGGAAAGCCGAAATGGCAGCCAGGTGAACCCTGATGGATGATACCGTCAGGCCCTGCTGTTTCAGGCTCAGGAGATCGTGCCTCTCATTTTGGACTGACGCCTTGGGGTGGGGGGTGGGGGTGCTGTGGTGAGTGCATAAGCATGAGAGTTGCTACTATTTAGCCATATATGTGGTCCGAGTGGAAAGTTTCCTGCTACCCAACAAAACCTGCTGTACCAAATGAGAACAGAGTAGCTCAGAGTGGCTCAGCCATGCAGCATCCACGCCGTGAGGTGGAGGGATCGTAGGTCGGGGTGACAGAGGCGGCCGTGATCCTGAGTGATCAGGTCCGGAAAAAAAAGGCAGCAAAACTGGGGCGTCCACCAAGATCTCCAACAGTGTGGTATACCAATGCTGTCTGGGCCACGCCGGGATGACCAGAATCAGTCATGATCTGTCCCTGCACACCTTGAGCAGAACCTTGTGTACAAGAGGAAATGGAGGGAAGGCATAAAACAAACTGCTCTTCTATGGGAGTAGGAAGGCATCTGTGGAAGAGCCCGGGGAGCGGCCCTAGAGGGAGCAAAACGCCAAGCATTTCCGGTTGCTGTGCGAGGCAAACAGGTTGACCTGGGGAAACCCCCACTTTAGGAAGATGGAGTGAATGACAACAGGACAGAGCGACCATTCATGGGATTGGAAGGACCTGCTGAGGTGATCCGCCAACATGTTCTGGACCCCTGGGAGAAACGATGGCACCAGGTGAATGGAGTAGGCTATGCAGAATTCCCACAGTCGAATGGTCTCTTGACAGAGGAGGGAGGAACGAGCCCCCGCTTGCTTGTTGATGTAAAACAAGGCCATGGTGGTATCTGTGAGGACCACCATGCAACGACCATGCAAATGCTTCCCTAAGGCTTGATACGCAAGAAGCACAGTCATCAGCTCCCATATGTTGATATGGGGAGAGAGAGAGAGAGAGAGAGAGATCGGATGGGGCCCACAGACCTTGCATCTGGATGTCCCCGAGGTGGGCGCCCCATCCCAGGGCTGACGCATCTGTGATGAGGGACAAGGAAAGCTGAGCGGTATGGAAGGGGACTCCTCCGCATACTGCCTTTGGGTCTAGCCACCACTGGAGGGAGGCCAGGGACTCCCTCCGAAATGATAACCACCAGATTTAGGCTGTCTCGACCTGGGTGGTAGACCGATTCCATCCAGGCTTGAAGAGGGCGGAGCCATAGTCTGGCATGTCTGGACATGTATGTGGAGGAAGCCATGTGTGTCCTAGAAGACTCAATAACCTTCTTGCCCTTGAGGTTGGGAAGCTTTGAAGGCTCCTGATGAGGCCTGAGAAGGCTTGGAAGTGAGCATCCGGAAGGAGGGCTCGAGCCCGCACGGAGCCTAGGAGCGCCCCGATAAATTCTATCCTCTTGGTTGGCTCTAGCGTTGACTTCGCCATGTTGAGCAGAAGGCCTAACTGTTGAAATGTGTCTGTGATGAATTGAAGAAGGTGAACCTGCACTTGCTCTTTGGTGCGCCCTCGGATGAGCCAGTCATTGAGATACGGGTATACCTGTATCTGTCATCGACGAAGGAAGGCTGCCACTATGGCCATACATTTGGTGAACACTTGAGGGGCCATGGAGAGGCCGAAGGGAAGGACCGTGAATCGATAATGTTCACAGTTGACAACAAAGCGGAGGAAGCGTCTGTGAGCCGGATGAATCGCAAAGTGGAAATACGCGTCCTTCATGTCGAGGGCGGCGTACCAGGATCCAGGGAAGGTATAATGGTGCCCAAGGAGACCATGCGGAACTTCAACTTTACCATGAATTTGTTGAGTCCACACAAGTCCAGGATAGGCCGAAGCCCGTCCTTTCCCTTGGGGATTAGGAAGTAACGGGAGTAGAACCCCCTACCCCTTAGTTCCCTTGCAACCTCCTTGATCACCCCCATGGCGAGGAGTGACTGCACCTCCTGGATAAGCAGTTGCTTGTGATAGGGGTCCCTGAAGAGGGACAGGGCGGAGAACAAAAATTGGAGAGAGTATTCCCCTTTCCACCGTGCGAAGAACCCAAAGGTCTGTGGTTATGAGGGACCAGGCACGGTGAAAACGAGATAAAATGATTCAAGAATGGGGTAGGATCCTGAGTGAGGTTGGGTACACCATCCTCGGGCGTCCCTTCAAAAGTTTTGTTTGGGACCCGCTAAGGGCTTGGAAGGACCTTGGGCCTGGCTGGATTGGTGGTTGGAGGGTTTTCTCCTGCCACCGAGCCCCCGTCTCCTATAGAAATCCTGCCTCGGCCAAGGAGGAGGGTAGGAGCATTGAGGCTGCATTTTAAATATGCCTCATTGCTATCCCTGAAGAGAGGGTCCGAGCAGCAGAGTCCGCAGTGTCCAATGAGGCCTGCAAAGCAGTTCGCGTGACCGTTTTGGCCTCCTCTACCAGAGCCCCAAACTCTTCTCTGGACTTCAGAGGAGCCAATTCCTTGAACTTCACCATGGAGTTCCAAGAGTTAAAATTGCATCGGCTCAGGAGAGCCTGCTGGTTTGCAATCCAGAGCCGGAGCGCCCCTGAGAAGTAGACTTTGCGCCGAAATAAATAGAGGCTCTTGGCCTCTTTTGATTTAGGTGCTGGGGCTTGCCGACCATGATGTTCCTTCTCATTCACTGAGGCCACCACCAGTGAACAGGGCTGTGGGTGAGTGTAGAGAAGTCATATCCCTTGGAGGGAACAAAATATTGCTGCTCCACCCCCTTAGCAGTTGGGGGAAATGGAGGCAGGTGTTTGCCAGATTGTTCCGGCCGTGGTTTGAATGGTCTGGATAAGTGGTAAGGCCACCCTGGAAGGAGCCTCTGAGGACAAAATGTCAACCACAGGGTCCTCCACCTTGACCACCTCCTCTGCTTGCAGGTTCATGTTCCGCGCCAACCTGCGCAAGAGTTCCTGGTGAGTGCGGAGGTCTATGGGGCGGGGGTAACGGGGGGACAGACACACCAATATAGTAGTCCCCGCCGCAGCCTCATCGGGCGAAGATGTGGAGGATGCCACAGGAGGGAGAGGATCATCCGGGGCCTCTAGCTGAGCTGTGCCAGTCCCGAGACCTCAGTGTTCGGGCTGGAAGCTGGAGCAAGAGGAGCTGGTGCCTGTAAGGACGACGCCACCATCTCCATGCCTCCAGGAGCAGGACAGCTGGCAGAGGTCTCAGGCACTTGCGGCTCGGACAAGGCCGAGCGAGAAGTCCCAGAGGGAGCACCCTGTGCCTGGTGGTACAAACAGGGTGTCCAAAAGGTCCACTGGGTGGACCCTTGAGCGGGCTCCAGTTCTTGTGCCTGCCACTAATCTGCCCCTGAGCCCAGTCGGCCGTGATCAGAGTGGTGGTGGTCTGAGAAGCGTGACCCTGCCTAAGACCGTGATGAGTGAGAGGTGGAACGCGATGGCCATGGTGGTGCTGAGTGGGTCTGCGCCAAATCATGTTGATGAGATGAAGTTGATCGGTACTGCAAAGCTGGAGATCGGTACTGAGATGGAGAAGAACGGTGCCGCGATGCTGGGGAGTGGTGTCTGAACCTAGATCGGTTCCAGGACCTGGACCAGTGCCTAGATCTGGACCTGGGTCTCAACGACAATGACTGGCGTCGGGAGCGGCGTCGGGACCGGGATCTACTCCTGGATGGCGACTGGCAGACGGAGCAGTGTCAAGACCAGTGCCGGGAGTCGGAGTGGTGCAAAGGCTCAACTGACAGTGCCAACAGGTGAATAAGAGTCGGCTTGCCCCTGGATGGTGCCACGGGGACAGGTGGCGGTGTCTTGGTCTGTCGAGGAGATGCTGATACCGTCAAGGCAATCAGATCCCTTGTCGCCACAAAGGTATCTGGTGTAGATGGGAACTGGACCTCAACCACGCTGTGAGTCGGGGAGTCCAGTCACACCGGACTCAACGGCTCTGTCCTTGGTTCCGGAGTCAACGGTACCGAGGCCGTCACCTGTGTCCCCGGACACTCTGCTGTGGGATGAGGTTCTGTAGGTGGATCCGGAAAGGGTGGTGCCTGCTGAGGTGGGCCAGCCTTTGCCGGCTTCCAGTGCCACTTCGGCACTGCTCTCGCTCGCCTGGTCAGGACTGAAGATGTTGGTTGCGGTGCCGGGGAACCTCAGTGCCGCGGCTCTCTATCAGAGTCCGACTGCAGTACCATTCCTGTAGCTGAAGCCAAGGTGCTGCATACCGAAGTGCTCGGCATTGGGTCTTGCCGCACCACTGGAGGCTGAGGACTAAGAGCCGCCTCCATAAGGAGCTGTCTCAAACGAAAGTCCCGCTCCTTCTTCGTTCGGGGACGAAAGCTCTTGCAAATCCTGCACTTCTCTGCCTCGTGAGATTCCCCCAGACACTTCAGGAAAGAGTTGTGGGGGTCACCCGTTGGCATGGGCTTGGAGCAGGATCCGCAGGGCTTAACACCCAGAGCTTTGGGCATGAGCCCAATCAAGTAGGGGGAGGAGGGGAAACCCCCTTCTCCCCCACTAATACAAACTACTATACTATAACAACAAACTATGAACAAACCGTAGGGTGAACTCTAGGGAGAGTAGCAAAGCCAAGCTCCACAGTTCCAACGACCATCACGGGCGGTAAGAAGGAACCGAGGGGGCGCTGGGTCGGCTGGGGTATACAACTAGCACCATGAAGGCGCCACTCCAGCCGACCCACCGGGTGTTGCTAGGGTAAAAATTCTGCGACGGCCGTGCACGCAGCGCACGCACACCAAATTGGAATAGATATGAGCAAGCACTCGAAGAAGAAGTAGGGTCTGAGCCTGTCAGTGTCTCAGACCCCCACTGAAATCAACAGGGACTAAAAATATTCAGCACCTTGCAGGATATTATTTGCACTTTTTGGTGCTCTTTGAGAAATGCGGGCTGATCAAGCCGTGTGGGAAGTGTCATTTTCAGCAGTGCTAACCAAATTTTAGGCTTGATTCCGATTCTGCAGTTCATTCCACAGCCAAAGAATTAAAACAGTTGCAAAGAACTCTTTAAAAAATGCATATCAGAGCACTTTACTCTAAGATGCATTTTTTAAAAAAAAATTTAAAGGAGTTTCTGCTGCTCAGATCAAACATTGTTGCCTTTGACAAACAATTTTATTTACAATTCCTGAAGCACTTTTTTAATGTAATTTTATTAGGGAGGCATGAGACTAATTATTATGGCTTTTTTATTGTTAAAATAATGTAACCTACCTGGCTCTGAACAAAAGCCCTAACCCCCTTCCAACAATGTCACAAAGGATTCTGGGTGCAGCACCCCCAGCACAGAAAGAGCAACATACTGTGTACCTCCTGCTGCCGCACCTCTGCTTGTGAAAACTAGGCCCTGTTCTAGAAAGCCCCGTTCTCTAGCACAGCAGATCTAGGCCTAGGATGTGTCCACCAAGATCTCATTCATGTCCAATCTCCCAGGGCTACTAGGGTAGTCATGCAGCACTACCCATTGCAAGTATCTGACAGGGCACAATTTATAGCCACATCTGCTTGCCTTTATCAGAGAGGCCTCACCCACACATAGGGGTTTGTGGAGAGAAGCTCAGGAGCCCACTTCTGAGGCACAATGAGCACTGTTTTCATTTGCAGCTTAAACTAAATACAGAATTCTTCACTTTCTGTCTGGTGATGTAACATTGCCATGTGCTGTGAAACAGCTGCTGTGCTCCATATCAGTAGTAGCTGAAGTGACTCTTGTAGTCATACGTGAAGGGCACGGCCTAAAGGCAATATGTTTGTTATTTTACTGCGATGCTGCTGCTGCTATTATGAACATGTATATCACCACCACAGGATTCAGCATATAACAAAACCAGATTGCTCACAAGATAATTATGACAATAATCTCTCATAAAAAAATTAAAAATAAAAAGTAATATATATAAATTGGGGGACGCTGGTAACACAGCAGTTTGTTTGTTAAAAACTCCATGCCCCAATTATTGGCCTCCCTTATGGATATCTTGCTTGGCATGGGAAGAAGTATTTAGAAACGGCTGACAGATTATGTGGTGGCATTCACCCTACATACACTAACATCTTAGCCCATTACAGTTTGCAACTTCAGCTTATGGGAAAAAATAAATGGCTCCCTCCTGGCTGTTACAGAGAAACTGTATTTAAGTATTAAATGAACGGATGGAGCTACAGTACATAATGTATGTGCAGCAAAAATATTCTGGTTGCATTAGTCACACTTATTAAAACTATTTAATTCCTGACATATGCATAATGATCCACTGGCAATGATAAAAAGGCAGCTTAAAATACTACCTTCCATAAATACTGCAATCTTTCCCACAATTCCTCTGCTCCACTCAGCTTACTGTCATGCCTTCTGAAATTTAGATGGTTACTGTAAATCTTGCTCAGCTCAGAAACATCGATTTTGCCTTCAAACAAAATAAAAAGCACAAGATTTTTTCATTGCATTTTAGACTTTGTATTTTCAAGTTCTTGTTATGGCCTACATGTTCATCTGGGTCTCAGTCTAGACCTTCTTTATTTGTGAGCAAAATTGCATCCATTTTTTTTACATCAGCAATCAACTGCACCCACAGAAAAGGGAGCAGGTTTTTGAAAATTTATCATATGACACACACCCACATATCATGCCTTATCCTGTGCCAACTGAAAGCAGTTGCCATAGACTTCAACGGAAGAAGAGGAGGTCAAGCAAATACATGTGTGTGTATTTTCAATATTAAAATGCTTTTAATTATTATTATTCAATTACAGAGAGTTTAAGGGTATCAAATAAATGCTATAGAGGAATGCAATGGAGAACAAATGAGAGCCAGGTAGATTTGCTACAGAACAGAGCTATAGCTTACGGTGATGGCTTAATACCATGGGTCACATCATAGCACAACGCCATAAAATAAATAATGGTGCATGAACCAGCTACTACTGTTTTGGGGTAAAGTTTCAGTAAAGAAGAAAAGACAACAAATTTAGCTTCTAAACCAAACAGAAAAGGCACACAGAAGCATCTGCACTGAAGAGCACTTGTTAACATTACTTCATTTACCATGCAATGTGAAAGGCAAAGTTTCTATCAGCACAAGTTCATCAGGGATTGCATAGGTTGGGAGATGTTTCTGGAGTTCCTTAAGAGTGTCTCTTGCTAAGTTGTCTTTAGGTACAACAAACAAGATTAACTTTTCCTGTTGATACCATGTCACTGCACAGGCTTCCACATGACAAAGACGTTCAGCAGCCTGCAATACAAGAACATTAGCCTTATTTGTGCTGAAGTGCAGGTAAAAAGCACCACCAATAAATAAGAAATTGTTGTGAAGTTTATATTTTGTCACTGGCAGCTACTGAATTTGTTGCTTCACAAACATCATGAAGTCCCCCTTGCCCATCCCCTTGTTTTTATTTTTGTTTAATTTAAATAAGGATTTAGCTCTCACAGAAAGTGTCAGAATGGCAGCACTGAAGAATGAATGTATTTAATCCCACAGTGCAACCACAGCACAGGCAGCAGCAGTACAAACTTCTCAATGACCCACACCCCTGTACCTCAGGAATGACCTGGAAGAGGCACATATAGGAGTGGGAACACAATTCACTCTCCATATTCATTCTATGGTTAGCATTTCTGCTGAGACTACTGACAAAGAGGGCAAATGTAATCCCAGTTTTATCATGGGAACACCTCCCCTCTAGAACAGGACTGACACCACCACTGTACACCAATCAAATCTGAACAACTTTTGTTACCCTACCTGGTTTGGATTTTATCCCTCCCTTGTACGGTGACCAGAGAGCAAGTGTGAAAAATCGGGACAGGTTGTGTGTGTGTGTGGGGGAGGGTGTGTGTGTAAATAGGAGCCTATATAAGAAAAAGACCCAAAAATCAGGACTGTCCCTATAAAATCAGGACATCTGGTCACCCTAATCCCTTGAGTCATCCAATCCGCTTAAGAATTTCAAAGTTAAAGCTTAGTCCATTTTACAGTAAGTGACCTTACATATCCTATTCAGTATATATTGATTTAGCTAGACCCAAAGGTTTAGACCGGGGTAGTCTACTTTTTGTCTAGATCCAAATTTCTTGGTCAAGGTATAATCAAGGTCCAGACCCCAACACAGCTTCCCTCCCCTACCTCCCAATTGCCCCCCCCAAGTTCCCTGATTGCCTGCCAGCTCCCTACCCGGAGAGTTAGGTGACCTTATTTCCCTTTACGGAAAATGGGACGCATGGGGCTAGCCCAGGGGTGGGCAAACTTTTTGGCCTGAGGGCCACATCGGGGTGCGAAACTGTATGGAGGGCCAGGTAGGGAAGGCTGTGCCTCCCCAAACAGCCTGGCCCCCGCCCCCTATCCACCCCCTCCCACTTCCTGCCCCCCCGACTGCCCCCCTCAGAACTCCCGAGCCATCCAACCCCCCCTTCTCCTTGTCCCCTGACCACCCCCTCCCAGGACCTCTGCCCCTAACTGCCCGCTGGGACTCCACACCCTATCTAACCCTCCCCCTGTTCCCCATCCCCTGCCCCCCCCAGAACCTCTACCCTATCCAACTGCCCCGTTCCCCATCCCAACCACCACCCCCCATCCAACCGCCCCCTGCTCCCTGACCGCCCCCCGGGACCCCCTGCCCCTTATCCAACCCCCCGGCTCCCTTACCATGCTGCTCAGAGCAGCATATCTGGGAGCTGCGCCGCACGGCCAGAGCTACACACGCTGCCGCTCCGTCCTGCAGGAGCGCACAGCCCCGCCGCCCACAGTGCTGTCTGCGAAGCAGTGTGGCTGCAGAGGAGGGGGGATAGCAGGGAGGGGCCAGGGGCGAGCCTCCCCTGCCAGGAGCTCAGGGGCTGGGCAGGACGGTCCTGCAGGCCGTAGTTTGCTGCTCGCACCCTCCCCCCACAAACATTCCTTCATGCCCTCAACTGAGCCAAGTGGCAGAGATGTAATGGCATGGGAGAGGAATGAGCATGGGCTAGGATCTAGGCAGCAAAGCAGGGTGTGAATGTGTGAGAGTACTTTTGAGCTTAGACCCAGCAGGTGAAGCTGCTGGACTATGATCCAGTTAGTGGTGCAAAGCACCTTTTGGGGCTGGGATAGCAGAGGGGCAGGAAAGAGGCTCCAGATAGTGCGAGGAACCAAGGAGACTCCAGACAGTAGCCCTGGGAACATGGGGGGAACCTGGGATGTGGCAGGGTAACTGGAGGCAGACTAGGGAAGGAGAGGCGGATTGGGGCAGTGGGAAGGGCTGGAGATGGCTCCGGGGACTGGCCCCAAAGAACTGGGCCTAGGGAGAACATTAGGCCAGGGTGGGGGGCTCTGAGAACTGCTCAGGGACAGGGGGCATGAGACCAGGGTGGGTGGGCTATGGGGACCACAGAGGGGCTGGGAACTTGAGGTGGGAGTGGGTGGGAAGGCTCTGGGATGGAGGCACAAGGTTGGTTTCGGGGGCAGGGAACATGGGGGTGGGGCAATGGGCTCCAGGGACCGTTTGGAGTACAAGCACAGCTCTGCATGGCTCCAGCCCCAGCCCAGCTTTAGCCTGCACGCAGAGGCGACACATACCTGTGACTAGTGAAAGGGGGAACCACATATGAAAGGTTCTGGGGGGTTCCCCCCCACAATTTATTGGGATGCCCAGAAGCGAGGAGGCAGCACTTCCCCTACAAGCCTCACTGTCCGCATGTCCATGCAGCAGGGCGAGAAAGCAGGGTGGTTGGCTGAGCTCCTCCACTCCCCCCCACCATGGGGCTGTTCGCCCCACCCACGCATCGCCTCTGTTGACCATGGTCCACTGAAAAACATCTTATGGTCTGGATTTGGACCATGGTCCACCTATTGACTATCCCTGGGTTAGACTAAAGATAAAACATCATCTTTGAATATGAATGTCATTGTATGTGTTCGAGTCAGATACCTAACATCAGATGCACTGATGCGAACTGAGGGCACAATCTGGAACATCCTTGAGGATGAGCTTTCTGGGTTAGACAGCAAAAATGGCTCCTACTGAAAAGATTAAGGAATGGACTCAGTGGGCCAAATTCTGCCTTCACATACATTTGTATCATCCAATTGAATGCAATTAAATTGAACCAGTTGTAACTAAGGGTAGACTTTGGTCCAATCATTTCATTTTTCTGTGCCTCATCTTATTGGACGAAGTTTTAAATTTTTTCTGTAGACACATACTTCTGATCACTTTATGAAAAACAAGAGCAACTAAAGCATACCTTCATTCAGCCACAAACATCCTCTTGTCCCCAGAGATACAACATTAATTTAGACATAACTACAATGCCCTATGGGACAGTAAGGAGCTACTTGTGCATTCAATGCAGTTACAATCCTAGTTCTACAGAAGGCTCTGTTTCCACAGTCATTTCCATTGGGTCACAGTAGGGAGAACTTCGATCATTGCTATCAAGCATTAAGAGTACTGTACATCTCTCTGCCTCATTGACTTTCCTAGCCAAACACAGCCCTGATGTAATAACACTGATTGCAACTGAGTTGTGCCTGCTAACAAGACAGCTTGGATTTGATCCTCTTCCTTTTCCCAAACTTCATATCCCTTCTTCTCCTTCTCCCTTCATCTGTTAATCTCTCTCTGCTGATATTTGACTCATTACAGATCTAATTCTAATCAACATTTAGTACTCATATAGTGTCTTTTGCCCAAGGTTCTCAGTGCTTTAGAAATATTAATCAATCCTCAGAGTACTTGGCTGAGGTAAGAACTTATTGTACCCATTTACAGATGGGTAATCTGAGATAAAGAGGGGTCACATGACTTTCCCAGACCACTTAAATTAGGAACAGAATTTAAGAGTCTTGATGCCCACCCTTGTGCTCTAAACACTACACTATCCTTTTCAATGACACATGTTAGTATTCTTCAGTTGTCAAATTCTTTATACTTAGTTTTGAGATTTAGTTTGCATAAAATAAACTATAAACAAAGGCCAGATTTTCAAAAGAGCTCAGCATCTGGTAGCATTCCTGAGAACAATGGGAGCTGTTGGAATGCTGAGCACTTTGAAAAATCTGCACCCAAAGTTTGATTCAACTACATTAATTCTTGCACTTTTTTGCTGATGAACAAGTCACTGTAGCTTTCCGTTCAAAATGTTCCACATTGCATAAGCTCTGAGCACTACACATCATATTACCTGCTGTACACATTCAATATTAAGACGTTTGCCATGACGTTTAATCTGACTGTCCTTCCGTCCTAAGAAAAACATCTCTGCATCCTTCACTCTCACAAAGTCCCCTGTTTCTCTCATTGTGTTCAAAGGGACAATTACTTCATCATCAAGGAAGCAGATTCGTTCTTTACCACCTATGCAAAAGAATGTAATATTATAGCTTATAACTACAAAATTATGAAGGTCCTACCTCATATTTCAGAACGTTACAAGTATTAAAATAACTTGGCAAAGAGCTGTTGACATTTGGCATACATAAAGGCACTAATGATTGGAACTAAACTTCTGAAAGCAGAAATATCAGTGGGACTCTATCCTACAATTAATTTAACTGATACAGTTAACTAACTTCTATTTATACTGAGCCAAATGGAAGCAGAAAACAAGTCTTTAAAATAAACTGGTTGTGTGTGTAAAATAATGGTAATTTCTTGCCTGTTAATCTGATTTCCCGAAGACAGTTTATATTGCTAAATATGTGGTCCCCATTAAGGTGGTATCTGCTAATTTAGATGCCCCACCCTGTTTCAGGCTGTAATGAGAGAACTTGAACCATTTCTCTGAATGTTGTGATGCAGTCTTTTTAGGATTTATGGAATTTTTATTCCCTGAGCATTTTCTAATTGAGAAGGATCAGCCACCATGTGTTGCTAGGAGGGTTTACATCCACCAACTGTGCTGGCACAGAGGGCCTATGGAGAATAGATTGATTCTTTCGCCACTGAAGAGCACATGACACTACTGAAGGTAGTTTTAAACTGAAAAGTTACAAGCAGTGGCTTTTAGATGTTAATATCTAAATGTATGAAACAATAATTCTGGCAGTCCTTTAAAGAACTTGGACAGGGTTTTATCACAAAAATCAGTATCCAGCCAGGTAAATTGTTTAAATACTGTACAAAATTTAAAAAGAACATTGCTAGAGAAAAACACCAGATTTCACTTCTGTATTTCAGAGTGTTTTGTTATACAGGCTGTGGCACTTTAGAAAACAAAATGCACAGAGATTAAAACATTAAGATATTTTTTGAAACTAAAAAATTAAGAGAAATAAATATAAGATAACCTATGAAAACTTGTCCCTCTCCATCTAGAACTGCAGAACCAGTGACATCTCTGACTTCAACTGTTGTTCCAAGCAATGGTGATCCCAGTGGCACAGGCGAATCAAATCTAAACATTTAAAAAAAAATGTAAAAGTAAAAATATTTTCCTTCAGATAGCAGACAAAACAAAAAATTCAAAATGCAGGCCAACCACAGACATTGCAGAGGTCGGTGGATATGTCTACACTGCAGTTGCAAACATGCTACCCCATGCTACACTCCTATTTTTAGGACTCCATGCATCTGAAGAAGTGTGTTCTTTACCCACGAAAACTTATACCCAAATATATCTGTTAGTCTTTAAGGTGCCACCAGACTCCTTGTTGTCTTTGTGGATACAGACTAACATGGCTACCCCCTGATACTTGACTCCTATTTTCAGTGCATCAGCTCAAACAGAGCTAGTGCATGTCAGTGTACCCAGGCTGTAAAGCATACACTGAACTGCAGTACAGATATACCCCATGTGAAGTGAGATTTGTGGGGCCCCATCCAGCTTCCTCCTCATCATGTTCCCCACTTAGCAGTTCCTCCACCAACTCCCACTATTTGGGCTGTGGCAACTCCTCCCAATTTCCTGTCTGCAACTCTGGTCCACCAATGAATTCCCTACCTCTTGCTGATTAACTGGAAAAGAAGCACCTTTGTGAAGTGAAGCACTCTGTGAAGTGCACCTTTGCCCCCAACAATAACCTCTCACCTCCTTTCCTATCCCACTCTGTTGCAGCAATTTGCAAATCGTTGGGTGGGTTCAAAGTTGACACGTGTTACAAGCAGATGGGGAAAAGACCTCTTTGTTAAAGAGTTAACACACCCACGCTTGGAACTGAAAGACCACCAGCAAAAACAAAGATGACAAGACTATTTTTCTTGTTTTTACTTTAGGACTATAATCTTATTTAAAAAAATGCCAAGTCTTCTATATACACTACAAAGCAGCAACAAAGGACACTCCCCCCACCCACAGGCACAGAGACACAAATCCACCCCTCCAGCAAATCACCTTTAAAACCCTGAGGCTACATTCATAGCTGTGTCTAGCATAAGCAAAACACAGAGAGGAGGAAGCCTAAGGAGTCAGCTGCAGCTCTCTGATCTTAGGGCAGGTATTCTGCTGGCCCCTACCATTAATTTACATTGGTTGACTATCTGCCCAAGGAGCCATTCATCACTCAGAGCACAGCATGCTCCAACCATGCCCCCAACAATGGGAGCTGCTGGGGATGGAGCAGGAGAAGTCTATATCAGCTCTGCTGCAGCTTAGAATTCTCCATGCCAGGGGAATCACCAGCAAAGGAGATGCAAAAGGAATGAAAAACCATTGTATCACCAGTGGCACACAGTGAGCAGAGTGAGGCCCAAGAACCAGAAGTTATAAATATTCCCAATTTACTGGCACCTTTGTAAGTAGAAATTAAAAGTAGCACAGCTACCTCTGGAGCGCAGCAGCCAGGCTGAAAGAAAACCAACATTTCACTTGGAAGTTCAGCCATTGGGGAAACGTTGGCAGCTGGACTTCCAAGAGAAACCACCAGATCATTTCTGCGGCCAGTTATAAATTTCTTCAGACTAGAACCCCAAGTAGGCAACAGAAATATGAGCAAATTTGTTTACAGAAGTTATGTTTTTCTTTTCACAAATGAGAATTTATTTTTATATAAATAACTGCCTAATAAAAAGCCATATTGCAACACCAGATTTTGAAGACAGCTCTTTACTGATTTCACTGGGAGTTTTGCATAAAAAAGTATGGGACTTTAAGACTAATCACCACCATTTGTTATTGAGGATCCAATTATATCAATATCAGATTAATAAGGGATATCATTTGTGCAAAAGAAGATGCTTGTTTGTATTCAGCAGACTTCAGAAAATACATCTAGCACAGGTTACACATGTAACTAAGGATGCCAGGCAATGAGTTTGCTACCCCATTTTCAGGGCCACTGTATTAAATTAATTGTTTATGTATGATTGTGTTCTATTCCAGGGGGGAAGGATTACCACCACTCGTACAAGAACTAAAAACAGTGGGAGGTAATTAAGGTGCGTCACTAAGATTAAACACCACAAACTAGTTACCAACCCCTGCAGTGATTTGCTTATACTGGTTTAAGATGGGTTTTCCAGGAACTAGAAGACAAAGAAGGGGCTTTTGGCATAAAAGGATGAGCTTGAACTGACACAGGGCCTTCTTTCTGATCCAACAAACAGACAGGACCTTGCAGAAAGCATAGAAAGACTTGTGCCGACTAGAGCCCCATGAGACTGACATGTCTTCTGGTATCCAAAGAGGATGGAGCTCAGCTGTTCTCAGTGGTGGCAGATGACAAAACAAGGAGCAATGGTTTCAAGTTACTGTGGGGGAGGTCTAGATGGGATATTAGGAAACACTATTTCGCTAGGAGGGTGGTGAAGCACTGGAATGGGTTACCTAGGGAGGTGGTGGAATCTCCATCCTTAGAGGTTTTTAAGGCCTAGCTTGACAAAGCCTTGGCTGGGATGATTTAGTTGGTGGTGGTCCTGCTTTGATCAGGGGATTGGACTAGATGACCTCCTGAAGTTTCTTCCAACCCTAATATTCTATGTTTTATGTGTTTAAATCTCATGATTGTCTAAATAAGCACATTAAGGTAAAAGCATTACAGAGAAAACATAATAAAAACAAAGATACATGGTAATTTGTAACTGATAGCAGCACACTGTTCATAGCCCTCAGAAAGAGAGCAAAGCACAGGCACTTGTCTTTAGGCAGACTGGCTTGCTGGAGATATCACAGTGTAAGGCATGGATCTGTGCAGACTTAAAATCCCTATCACAAGGGTAAGACTCAGGGCTCCATCCAAGACAGGTAATAGCTGGGAGCTGGAAACTTTAAGTGAATACCCTCCAGGGACCATAGAAGGGAACTACAGGGGCACTTAATTTGAAAGTGTGAGCATAGCTACATATTTCAGAAAGCAAAATGAAAACTGAGGGTCAGGAGCATCATGCAGTGCTTAAACATTTCCACAGCTCTTCTGGGAATTTCTAAACCCTCTGTAATTAATAAATTACCTGACCACAAACACCAGGAATTATATGAAACTAGTAGAAAGCATTGACAGAATGGTTAAAAAAAGTATCATGCCAAAGAGACCAAGAAAACCATTAGCAATTCATCATACATCGCGCTGAGGAGAGGATGGAAGCTAATTATAGTATTTACTTATTTTTACTGCTGGGTTCTGTACTGTAACAATATCAGCTGGACTCCCCTGTTCATATATATAAAGTTAACATGACCTCTGTTAAACTTCTTCCAGCATAAACAGCCTTCTCATTATTGAGAAAACCATGTGACCAGTGGATAGCGCACTAGCCCATGAAACAGGAAATCTGGTTCTATTCCCAGCTCTTCTTCTGAAGATATGTCTACATTGCAATTACACCCTCGGCTGGCCTGTACCAGCTGACTGGGGCTCGGACTGTGTAACTGCAGTGCAGACATTCTGGTTCAGGCTGCACCCCAACCTCTAGGACCTTCCCCCTTCTCAGGGTCCTAGAGCCTGGGCTCCAGCCCAAGACTGGGACATCTACACTGCAATTAAACAGCCCCAGAAGCCTCAGTCAGCTGGCACTGGTCTGCTGTAGGTTTTTAACTGCAGTGTAGACATACCCTGAGTTACTTCAGAAAATCAGTTAGGATCAATTTCTATTGCCCTTACTCATGGAATAATTTCAATGGAACTATCTGCTGAACAGTAAGGTATGCCATAATGAAAGGACGGGTGGAATAAATAACGCGTATGTGCCTCAGTTTCCCCATCTATAAAATGGAGATAACAATGCTTCTCTGCTTAGCAGGGCACTTTGAAGTGAATGAAAAAGCACTATATGTGCGCTAAGTATTGTTACTACATCTATTATTGGATTTTCAGGTCAACTTCTTACAATAATCTTGCTAAGAAACCACAGTGAAAATATAAAACATTTTGAAATTGATAAAGCCAAGCACCATTACTCTTTCTAAACCTATGTTCATCAGCAGTTATCCTTCCACATATGCAACTTCTAGCAAAGTGAATGGGAATTCTGCCTCCAATGGGCTTGCAATGTTGGGCCCTTAATACTTGATCATTGACAATTGCACACTTTGTGTGCACCAAAGCAGCAAGCAAAACAGTGAAATTTCTCACCGAAGATCAGAGCTAAGAACTTCTTCAGGAACCCTGTAGCAAGTGGCCCAGCTTGACACTTCTGTAATGCCATAGAGATTAAAAACATGTGTTTTGTTTTCCCTGCTTTTCCAGCTTCTCAAGACATTCAGTGCAGGAAATGCTTCTCCACCGAGGGCTAAGACACGGAGTGAAGTGCTGGCAGACAACACAGTTGACTTAATAAGTTGAGCTCCAAATCGTCTGAGAAATGTTGGTGTTGCCTGAGCAATGTTTAAAAAAAAAAAAAAGAGCATGTCACACAAAGATATTTATGCTCTTACAGGTTATGGAAAACTGCAGGCCTACAAACACACAGTAAGGTTTTTCCCAAATGCAACGAAAAGCCAAACGGATTCATGATTACAATAACATCCATCATCAAAGTACTGAACAGATCTGCTAATGATCCGAGTGGTGAGGAAGAATGTTTGTAAGGAAAGGAAGATTATCTTCAGTGGAATTTTACAGGTGTAGACTGTTATCCAGTCAAAGGAGTTCTTCAAAACGGCCTTATCTGCAGGTCAAACAGCAGCTGATTGTTGATCCACATGATACAGGCCCTGATTTTGCTTTGGGATTCACTAATACAAACCCCTTCATCAACAGGGAGTCCCACTGCATTGACATGGAATTCTGCGTAGGAGCAAGGATCACACAAATTTATTCTAATGTGGGATCAGGGCCATACAGTGCAACTTACATCTAAAAAGAAATTACTCACTTTGTGCAGTAATAGTGGCTCTTTGAGATGTATGTCCCCATGGGTGCTCCACTGCATGTGTGTCTGCGTCCCTCCGCTGATCTGAGAATTTTGGTAGCAGTGTCCGTTTTGCATGCACATGCACTGCCTCCCCCTCATGCTCTGCCACGAGGCTAACCAGTGCCGTGCAGGCAAACCCTCCCCAGTTACTTCTCTACCACAGAGTTTATTATGAGAACGCCAAAGTACAGGGGAGGGGGGGTGGGTCATCTGTCCGGGCCACGCGGGAGCGATCAGTATCATGTTTGCTTTCTCTTTTTATTTTCAACAGGACTTTTAGCAATAGAGGGAATGGGGGAAGACATAAAGAAGGCCCTTGTGCCATAAGAAGAGGAGAGCGTCTCCCGTGGAGTCCGGGCTGATGTCCGCTCTGGAGCAGTACCGTGGACATTTTTGTTCTGGTAAGTAACCAACAAGTCTATTATCAGCACCCCCCATCCTCAGAATATGTCTCAGAGTATCACTGAGTCTATCTCCCATTCGTGGCTGCGTGGGAATTTGTGGCTGAGACTGTCCACTGTCGTGTTGTGCATTCCCAGTAGGTAGGCCATCAATATGGCAACACTGTGGAAAATGTATCAGTTCCATAGCTTTAGTGCTTCCCTACAAAGGTAGGGTGATCTGGCACCTCCTTGATGGTTTATGTAATACATGCACACTATATTGTCTGTCATGACCTGTATGCGTGTACCTCTGATCAGTGGAAGGAAGCATAGGCGCTGACTCCGTGGGTGCTCCGGGAATGGAGCACCCATGGAAAAAAAAAAAAATAGGGATGACCACTGGGATGACCAGCTGTTTGTGGCCAGGGATGAGCTGTTTCATATGGGTAGCCCGCGCACAGCTGCAATCAGCGGTTTGTCAGGCAGGCTCAGATCAACTGTTTCATGCCTCCCTAGTCCGGCGAGTGAGTGAATCTCTCTCTCTCTCTCACACACACACAAAAGCCTTAGGGTTAGGGGCGGGTGGGAGAGCTGGGCTATCAGCAGCAATGCAGACAGCCCCTGCTCACCTGTGGCCGCCCCATACCTCTTAGGCTGGTGGCCATGGCGTCCACCTGTATGGTTGCTCCCTCCCAGCCAGGCTCAACTCCGCCACAGCAGGCATCAGGTGACCCAAGGAAGCCCAACTAGGCTAGAGCTGGGTACAGTGGCGGATTTGGGGGAAGAGAAGCCCCAGGCCCTGTCAGAAGCCACACAGGGCAGGCGGGAGAGGCCCCGGATCCCAGCAGGAGCTGCGTGGGGCAGGAGCCCCAGACCCTGACAGAAGACGTGGGGCTGAAGCCCCCAGCTCAAGAGCCCCAGCCGCCCTAGTGGCAGAAGCTGCAGGACTGAAGTGCCGAACCCCCCCTCTGTGCGGAGCTGGCCTGAGCCTCTCTCGCTGCCATCCCCCCACGCAGAGCTAGCTCTCACTCTCAGGCTGTGGAAAAATTCAGTCCAAATCTACCCACCTTAATATCTCCATTTCCCACATCATCACACAGCCATGAATGGATTTAGCCTAGGAGGCAGGGTCAGCACTAGCCCCATTTGGCAGGTGGGATCTAGGGCACAAAGGTATAGTGACTTTCCCAAGGCTAAGCAGAGAGTCTGTGGCAGAGCAGAGAATCAAACCCAGAACACCTGAGCCCCAGGCCTGTGCCTTAACCACTGGACAACCCTTCCCACCCGAGGAGGGGGAACCTCCTCTGCTGCTTTGAGTGCATGGGTGGGGACTAGACAGAACCACCAGGAGGTGGAGAGCAGAGAGAGATAGGAAAAGGGACATGGGTGGGAAGCAAGAAGGGGAGCAAGGACTCAGAGAAGAAACAAGAGAGAAGGAAAGAGGCAGGGAAAGCAGTAGGAAGGGAGAGGAGAAAGACTCCCCACTGCTTGTCCCTCCCATCCACCTTCTTCCACAGCCATCAGTGTCCCTCAGCTCCCAAACAGGCCCTAAACAGGTGTGAAGCACAGAGCAAACGTAATGTCTTTAATCTGGGATATTAGTGAAGACAGCTTGTATTTGAGCGTCATGATTTTAATATATTGTAATTCATGATAATGTAATGATATAATTCATTACTATTTTAATAATGATTATCATTGGTATCTTAATGTAGACACACATTCAATAACTAGAATATGAAAAAATGTATAAATATACTGAAAACTGCTAGTTTTGGGGGGGAAGCTGAGCCCCCCCAAACACTCACACCTCACCCTTAAGGCAGGAGCGGGCAGAAAGGAATAAGCAATGGGCAGGAGGCACTCAGGGGAGGGCAGAATGAGGGCAGGAAGAGGTGGAGTGGGGCAGGTCTTGGGGGAAGGAAGTGAAGCTGGGGTGGGACACCCACCGGCAAACCAAAAGTCATCACCTATGGAAGGAAGTGAGCACATGCGTTCCTGACTGTTCTGAGTTTGAGATATTGATGTGAAGGCATATCTTGGATGGAAACCATTTGCCCTGCACTGTGAGATCGTTGAGATTACCCCATCCTATGAGGGATGCATCAGTGGTAAGAAGTAGTGATGAGAGAGGCTGAGCAAACAGGATTCCCGTGTAGGCATTTGCTGGGTCTTTCCACCTGGTCTGGCTGACAACTGTGCCCTGGGAGGGCTGCCAAGAAGGACACACCAACTAAGGGTACCATGATGCACCCATTAGAGTGTTAGGTAAGGCAGTGTCTCTGGGAAGGAAGCCTTGGTGCTACAGCCCCATACCAGAGCCATGAGAAAGAACTAGACACTGTATGAGTCACTGAAGACCCACCAAAAGAACCACTGGCCAGGGTGGGGAGGGGGGAGAATGAGAGGGGGTGCGCTAGCAAGAGGTTTGTCCCACCATGTTGTAAGAACTGAAAGAAAAGCAGACTCCGACCTAACCAGAAAGGGGGCACCCACGAGAGGTGGGTACTGCCCCATTCAAAACCGAGTGATTGCAGGCACATATCTGCCAGAGAGGGGGCGCTTGTGAGAGGCAGATTTATTATGGTACCAGAAGTGAGATCTTTGTACTGACCCTGATCTACAAGGATGCCACCCCATTACAGGCGCTTCCAGTCTCGGTCATAGGGGGTGGATTTCAGGTGATGATGGCCTCTTGAGTTCACCACGTCCACAATGATCAAATTAGGGGGTGGGTGGGAGAAGAAAAATTCAGTGTCTTTTGCTGGCATGTAATTTTTTTTTTTAAATCAGGCCACTTGCATGTTCGTGGGACCAATACAGGGATCTGCCATATGAGTTTGGCAAGCTCCAAGAGTGCCTCATTAATAGGGAGGGCTACTCCAGAAGAAGCAGAGGAGTGTAAAATGTCTAATAGTTTATGGTGTATCTCGGTCATCTTTTGTAATGGTAGTTTTAATGCATCTGGGACCCTCTCAGCTGGCTCCTGGAAAAGCTTGAAGTCGTCTGCCAGTGACGATGGAGGGGGCATCACTGTCTCATCTGGTGATGACTAGGAGAAGTTAGTCTGAGACATAGCCTCCTCCTCGACTTCAGACTCTTGTTCCTTTCTTAACTGTTCAGGGGACTCGGATGTCCTCGATGCAGCAATTGAAGGAGGGTGTCTCGTTGGCTCCTGATAGGCCTGAGCTAGAGCCATGGTGTCTATGTGCTTGCCAAGGGTCCAATTAAAGCCACTGAGAGGGTGGGAAGGGTCCTGGAGGTGGGTACCATGGCTCCCCATACCCAGGGGCCTGAGGGGTGGTACGGTTGAGGTCCATACTGGAAAGGGATACAGTAGGGTGGATAAGAGGACCGATAGGAGACTGTCTTTTTGGTCACTGACTCAGCACTTGAAAATGGGGGTGCATTGCATGATGTCTCTGGCAAGCCTGGAGCTCTGGGTGGACTCAGTACTGTGATCCCTGTAGCAAGTATAGGTGAGTCCAGTCCATCAGACATTGAAAGGTCTGTCATGTACCAGAAGTCCAGCAATTTCATAGGCATTGGTACTGGTAGTGATTGGAGGTGCCAAAATGTCTGCACCAAAGGAGTTGGCAATTCAGTCACGATTGAGCAGACCACTGGTTTCTGGCATGCAACCAGTGCGGACATCTGCATACCAACTCAGATGTTCGCACTGAAGGAACCTTCCCCAGGGAAGTTCTCTTGTTTTCTCACGCCCTGTTGGTACCAATGATTCCCTCCCTGTGCCCATCAGGTCCTTAGGCAACCCAACACGTTCTGGGGGGGTGGTGTTGTGCAAGCTCTGGGTACCGGATTTAGATAGCTTCAATGCTGTCGGTACCGATGATATTGAACAAGCCAGAGATCGTTTTAGTCTTCATCAGGGCTTGCTGTGGAGACGTACAGCCCTTTCATTAGAAGCCTTGTGTGAGTGGCTCATAGTTGTTTTCTTAGGCTCACCTCAGAGGGTTGCAGTGAGGATTCGTGATGTCCAGAGTCTTGGCGTGGCAAGGATGGTGGTTGGAGGGCCGCTTCCATTAGGAGAAGCTTAAGTCTCTGTTTTCTATCCTTTCTGGATCTGGGTTTCAATTGTTGGCATAAACCATACTTCTTGGGGATGTGGTTCTCATTCTCAGTGTGTCCACTGCTTGAGAGACCATCACTCACTGGGATAGATTCTTTGCAACTGAGACACTTCTTAAAGCCCGGTAAACCGTGCATACCCTGTGTCCAGGGAGGTCCCTAGATGGGGTGAGGTCGATGAAAAACAAAGTTTTTTTATTATTAAATAAAAGATAAAGGAGCAAAAAAGGGAGCTCTAAAAGGGAGCTAGAGAACCAATTAGCAATTCTATAGAAGATGGCAGAGCATGGGAGGAGGGGAGGTGCATGCGTGGGCTGAATGGACAATGCTATTAAATTATCTGATCAGCAGCCAAGATAAGGCAAGGAATGAGTTATAATTGGCAAGAAATGTTAGAGACAAGAGGTTCTACAAATATGTCAGACAAAAAAAAAAAAAAAAGAAATCAGGGATGGCGTGGGCCCACTGCTCAATGGAGAAGGTGAGTTGGTAACAGAAAATAAGAAAGTGGAGTTGCTTGATGCCTATTTTGCTGCAGTCTTCTTACAAAAAATAACATGACTGACCTACAAGCGAAGTTACAGACAATAAAGGGGAAGAGATGCGGATTGGGATAAGTAAGGAACATGTCAGATCTTCTGACTAATTTGAATTAATTTAAGTCAGCAGGGCCTGATGCTATTCACCCAAAGGTGCTCAAGGAATTAACTGAAGAAAGCCGGTGCCACTGCCAATAATATTTGCAAACTCATGAATGACAGGAGAGGGCTCCCAAAGAGACTGGAGAAGGGCTAACATAGTGCCCATCTTTAAAAAGGGGAAAAAGGAGGAGCCGGGGAACTATAGTGCAGTCAGCCTGACCTTGATACATGGGACACTACTAGAGCAATGTATAAAATACTCCATTTGCAAATACCTGGAGGATGAAGAGGTGATCACTAGCACCCAGCATATATTTACCAAGAACAAATCATGCCAAACTGGCTTGATTTCCTTCTTTGACAAGGTAACGTGTTTGGTGGATAGGGGAAATGCAAGGAACATAATATACCTGGATTTATACCTGGGACAGCAGCCTTGAAGTTTGAGAAACACTATCACAGAAATTAATCAATTAAGCCCTAGAGTGTCATTTATTTCATTAAGGGCCCTTCCCTTTACTGATCAAGATAGTGATTAAACTCAAGGAAATGCAAATTAAAAGCTTCTTATCAAAATGACTCAACCACCATCAACCCTAAAAACAGTTCAGCTGCTTAAGAAACATCTGACTTGCTAATTATGGTTACAACTTAAGAGAAATAGGCCAGGAAAAAAACCATCTAAAAACATCAGGCAAGACAGTGGTCAAGATGTTTTAGTGTGCTAGAAAAGAGTCTGTAGGTATGTCTACACATGGCATGACTCACTGCTGTGGGTCTTTTTTTTTTTCCTCTGTGTAGAAGTATCCTGTAGTACCAGGATTTTACTTACTCCCTCCATTGTAAACAGAGCAGAAGAGGACCTGACCATTAATATTTTGTAACAGCTGGATTATTTTTGCTGTGGTGTCTTCACTTAATTGTTAAGTAAACCTGAATTTACACCCACAATCACTTTTCTCCAGGAGAGAAGGAAATCTTTAAAAAGAGTGTGTGCATGCAGGAGGGAAGGCTAAAAAAAATGACTTGGGAGTTGGAGGGAAGATATAGTGAGGCTGGAGACAGAACTGAACAAGAAAATACCTTTTCCTATGCTGGTTGTGTGTCTGGCTAGTAAAAGTATTGCAGTTGCAACGTTAATTAAAAGCCTGTCACTTTAAGAGGCTGTGTTGTTTCAATAATGGATACTCCTCACTAACCAGACTATTAACATATTACTGCCTATACATAAAACAGACATTCTGCTTCAAGTTTTAGATTCATGAGAACAACTTACATAGATCCACCTCTCCCGCAAGAGCAGAGATTTTTGAAGTTTTCTACTCAAGTATTAGCCTTTGCATAGTACCATATCGTACCACAGAACATACAATTCGGCTTATTCAGTTAGTAAGGATTACAAAAGACTTATTTCTAGTATACTTCATAGGCAAATTAGATTTTAGTCTGTTAAAATTCAGATCACACAGGAGTAGCTCTCTCTCTCTCACACACACACACAGGAAAGGAAGCCAGTGCAATCTTGGGTGAGCTAACAGCTTATAAATAGCCAAACTTATTGAGGAAATAACCATTCTGTTTCTTATTACTCACACTTTATCATGTTATAAATGGCACTATTGAGGGGTACTTTAGTTTATCGTGTTTCTGGCAACGGGACTATTTCCATGATTAAGAATTACTTAGGGCTGCAAGATCAAGCCCATTATTTGGTGCCAGAGTGAATGTCAGAAGAAATTAAAAAGCTCCATAATTAGCAGGCACCTTCGCTTCAGTCAAATCTCATCTGTCATACATCACTGAGAACAATCCTTTCAAATGGTAATTTCTTAGCTTTATGAAGCTCTAGTACTATGTAGCAAAGAGGATAACAGGTGCATAAAAAACAAAGGTGAACTGATGCTGCAGGAAAAACTTCTTTATCGTTACTGTCTGGTATCATGAAAAAGCAGCACACACAGGCAAACAAAGAAGAAGACACAAAATACATCCCTTGTATCTCAACAGGACCCCATTGTGAATGGCCTACCTGTAATACTGTGACCCTGTGACGGTGAAAAAGAGCGGCAGACAACTTCAGAGGCATCATTTTTATGGGGTTTGGTACTATAAGCAGAGAGGCTCCACTTATCAGAGAAACGAACAACTCAACTACAGATGGATCAAACGTCAGAGGTGAGGCCATGAACAGCATATCATCTGGTGTGATCTTAAATAGGGATCTAAAACAAAAATGGCCAGAGTTATTAAGCCTGGTGCATATAAATGCTGGTAACTGGTTGGCATTATTTAAAAACAGAAGGGGTCCTGAGTTGGAGCACTTGTATGGCATAACATCTGTACCCAGATTAATAAAAATTTAATGCCAGAAGGGACCATTAACATCATCTAGTATAACTGCCTGCATACACAGGAGAATTTCACCAAGTGATTCTTGCATCTTCAAACACGTAACTTCTGGTTGTGCTAGAGCATGTCCTTCAGGAATCTGCATCTACCTTCTGCATGCTCTGTGCAGATTTGAATGGTCTGTGCTCATTCATCAGTACCGCTCTATAGCTGCGCTCCGTATTGGGCTAGCAGTGTTTCCATTACTAGTATTTTCCAGCAGGTATTTACCAGAACAAAGAAAAGCCAAGAAAGCTAGAACAGTAATTAGGACTTACAGAGGAAAATAATTACTATATGAGAGGTGGAAAGAGGTATCTGAGAATCACAAGTTCAACTTCGAAGTTTCTGTATTTATTTCATTTAGAGTACCAGCAATAAAATGTCTGTATTATGATCCACATGATATATGGGAGTAATGAAATCAGGTCAAGCATGTTAAGAATAATGAATATCCAAGAAAAGTAATAAATATTATTCTATTCAGAAACTGACTGAAAGAAAACTTGGAGGGAGAGGGGGAGCCACCCACACACACACACACCCTCCCCCTAATGGCAGCTCATAGAATTTAAGGCCAGAAAGCACCATCATGATTATCTAGTCTGACCTCCTGCACATTGCAGGCCACAGAACCTCACCTACACTCTCCTGTAATAGACCCATACCTTCAGGCTGAGTTACTGAAGTCTCAAATCATGGTTTAAAAACTTCAAGTTACAGAGAATCCACCATTTACACCAGTTTAAACCAACATGTGACCTGTGCCCCATGCTGCAGAGGAAGGCGAAAACCCTCCAGGGTCTCTGCCTATCTGACCCAGGGGAAAATTCCTTTCCAACCCCAAATATGGCAATCAGTTAGACCCAGAGCATGTGGGTCTTCAACTCCAGTTGGCTTCAACTGTTTGCCAAATGAATCTGTGAAGAGTACTTCTACTGTACTGAAGTTATTCTTGCCTCAGTCATTCCTGGTAGTTCAAAGCCATATCTGATACTAGACTTTGGCACAATCCCCCCTTAATCACACTTTTGTAATTACCTTATTTTGCAATGTACTTTGTGAACGTAAAATATGATTACTTCCAAGTTAATAACACTTTCAAAAGGGCACCAAGTCTTGGCTTTATATACTTACTCAGCTGCAGCTAGCTTTTGCAATTTTTCCCTTTCCTTTGCAGACCAGTGAAGATCACCTCCAGTGAGGTGATTCACAAAATAAAGCAAGACTATAGCTATCAGTGACAAACAAATACAAGCACTGTTAGATATTAAGATATTTTGAAAATCTGGCCCCTAATTGTCAGTCCTTTGAAAAGTGAACTTACTGAAGATGAAGAATATTTGGCACAATACATGTATGAGGTACTCTGACTATTTTGGGGATCCCTGTAGTTCCTGACGTATGCAAGATGTATGCCAAGGAATGTTGCTGCCTGACATCCATGTACCCCCTTTGTGATGTCTTTGCTTTAAGTTGGTCCAGGTCAGCTACGTAATCTGTCTCCCAATTACTTGTAGCTTTGGAGATTCCAGTTTTGTCTTCTGCGCCATCTAACAGCAGATTTACATCAACATCGTTCCAATTAATTTGGAAAAGAGTTAAACCAACATGATCTATTGCAAAAGAACTCTGGTAAAACCAGCCAGCATGGGATATTTTGAATTTCTGTAAGAGAATAAAATAGTTTACAAGCAAGTTAAAGGCAAAGCTCAGTGCACAGTTTTACTGTCTCCATTCTCACATTGTACTACTAACAATAAAGATCGAATTTTTCAAAAGTGACTAGTGATTTTGAGCGCCTCCACTTTTGGGAGTCCAACCTGAGAAAGCTTTAAGAAGTCTGGTTTTCAGAAAGCAGCTGCTCACTCTTTTTTTAAAAATTGTGGATGAATTTAATACTCATAAAAATGATGATCTAATAATCAGTAGTAAATTAGATGTTGTGGAAGTTTCCTCAAAGAGCTCTGCATTCCATCTTGATGTGCAACACCTATGGGGAGGAATACTGCAAGGGTTCCTGAATACCAATACCCACCATTGTAGAATGTGTTACAAAACCATGGAAGTGAACAAGTGAACCGGAAAATAAGGTGATGTCTAGAGAAAAGCATCCAGATACTTCACATTATCTGAAAATGTCTGTGTAAAACCAAGGTAGATCACCATTGTCATGCTGGCAAACCAGGTGCCAGCTCATACCAAGGCCTCTAGGTCTCAACGGAACACCAACAAACAGAGCTGGAACCTCCTGTCCCCCGAGAGGTAGTAGTTCAACAGGAGAATTCTCCTCTTGACCTATCTAGTGCTGTCTACACTGGGGTTGTTGGTTTAACTATGTCACTCAGGGTATGGATTTTTCATAACCCTGAGTGATGTAGTTATACCAATCTAATTTCCTAGTATATACCAGGCCGTAGTCTCAAACAGGGGGTGTCTGTCCAATAAAGAAGGCCCAACCACACCAGAGGAACTACTGTGGAATATCAGAGGTCAAAAGACTTTGCCAATTCCACCCCACCCCCCAGGAAGAGGAGACATGCAAGTGAATTCCTCCCATTAGCTCATTGGCAGCTCACAGAAGACACTAGGGGACATATAGAGTTTTCTTATTATAGAAGCTTCTATTACTCTTTGAAACTTAAGACTAACATTTCTGTGCGTGTTCACCTGCTTTAACTTTGTAAATAACTATTTCCTTTTCCTACTTAATAAATCTTTAGATCTGTTATTATAGGATTGGTTACAAGCACTGTCTTTGGTGTGAGATCTAAAGTGCAACTAACCTTGGGTAAGTCACTCATCCTTTGGGACTGGGAGAAACCAGTAATACTGTTGTGACTTTGTGTGTAAGAGACCATCTATCACAAAGGCAAGCTTAAATGGGTGGTACCCAAGGAGACTGTCACTCCACATTAAGACTGTAATAGTGCCAGAGACGTTTACACCTGATAATTGGTTGGAGAAATCTAAGTACAGAACTCCAAGCCAATTTGGGGTTTGTGCCCTGTTTCTTAACAGTCTCCCCTAAGGTTGAGACTCATGTTCTTGACCCACTGCAGAACAGCTTGAAAACCACTCGCTGTCAAAATGAAGACAATTACATCTGAGCACGTGGTAAATAGAAGGCAATTAACTCAACTGCTGCAATTTTCTAAATCCCATTTTAATGTTCCTTTTAGTATTCTTAACACTTACATTTATTTTGTCATTCTCAACAAGGATATACTGGAGGCTACATTTCTTCATAAAATAGGTAGATAATACTGGTGGTGCATCTGGATCAAGAGGAGAATATGCAGCTGGAACTTGGAGGATTCTAACAAGGCAAAAATTCAAGTCAATTAATAGCATTGTAAAAGAGAGTTAAAAATATATCTTAAGTTTTACATAAATTCCACAGATGCTTCTTTTATGCTATAAGATCCCTTAGTTTCCAGACACAGGCGGAATGTGAGTCTTCCATTTGGGGAGGCTTAAACACAAGCGCCAGAAGCTCCCTAGAAGTGGGGGAGCCCCCGCCGGAGCCTGGATTGTGGCCCAGCCCCTGCTTGCACCTCTTTCCCTGAGGCTCCCCCATCCCCCGCTGCTCGCTCCTCTTCCTCCAAGGCCTGGGTACAATATATAGCACATGTGTACATGGAGCTGATACATAATACATGCTAGGAACATCAGTTTTATTCTCACTTGTTCATGAGATCTGACTTGTGAAGATTTGAGTTATATCTGCCTTTGTTTTAGGGAAGAGATTATATAAGTATCATCCCACTGTCATCAGTTATGCTTCTTTTATACTGCTGTGTTTCTTCAGTGCCTACTATTATCACTACTGTGCATATGAACCACCTAGTGGCTTAATTTACCAAATAAGAATTCTTGGCTTTTTGTCTTTATCAAAAAGCCTTGAGCATCCAGATTAATAAAACTGATGGTATATTAATCGGGTTTTTAAAATCTGAGGTTTCATTTTTGAAATAAATCAATCTATTTCTATTTGGCTTTCCCTTACAAATTAATTCTCATCACACTAACAGAACAAGGGATAGCTGGTGTAAAACACTACATGAACAAAACCAGCCAAATTTGGCAGAAAGAGCATATAAAGGGATCAGCAGTTGCTCTAAGAGCCTGAGCAAAACAGGTTCAGTACATAAAGCCTGTTTTAACTCACTGTTTTCTTGCTTTCCATCAGTGAAGTTGAGCATGTGCAGGAGAAAATGCCATTAAATCTAAAGGTGCATTACACATGCATGAACAGTTTGTAAGTACACACTCATTGGTCAAGGAACTTACAAGTTATATTGGTGAAGCCAATGGAACCTTTAAGCACTTGTCACTCAGTACGCATGTGTGGCATAATGCCTCCCAAAGCACCAAGAATTGTGTCCACTGCTGCACACATTGGTCACATGTTAATAAAATGTTATGGTTGTGACACACAGTTAAAACAGAGATTTAGGAAGTGCAAAAGTTAAGATTCCAGCAGTCACATGAATTTAGCCGTATTGCACAACCCATACGTTTGATATATTTTATGATTAGGCCTGGAAGAATACAATTTTTATTTTGTTACGATTTTGACAGATGTCTGTTTATTTGTAGGCATTTTTATATCAATTTAAATTTTCACAATTACATAAAATTATGGGTTTTAAGCATTTTTTAAAATCTATATTTTCACAGTTCTGGGAAATTGTGGGGCAATGATAAGACAGCTGAATAACTGATGTTGAGATTCAAAAAGTTAAAGCTTTATAAACTGTTAATACACAAACTGCCAACACCCCATGTCAAAATATACAAAGTATACTTAAATCAACAAATCATACCTGTTTTTAATATTTATTCACTAGTCCGTTTGTAAACAAGCCTAATTCATAAGTCTAAATCACTGGATTTTGACTCTAATATGTTCTCAAGCAGCATTTTTCTTACTTTGCCTGTCTGTAAATGTTGATTGTGATCTATGGAAATATTGTATCATCTTTTTAATATGAAGAGTGAAGTCAAACGTCTACTGACATTTACTGACAAAAATCGTATTCTTTCAAGCCTATTTCTGATGTATATAGTAACATTTTAAACTAGTTAACCAGAAAACAAGGGAACAAGGGAATAGTGCTTATGTGCAATATTCTTGAACTGACAGTGCTGAAGCCTCAACTTTTACATTTCCTCACTATTTGTTATTTTAATCGTGTGTCCTTATTGTTCCAACTTAATTCTGCATTTCATTTTCTAGATTTTCTTTTAGAGAAAAGATCCAAAGCAATCAGGCTACAGCCAAATCAGATGGATTTAAAGCCTGAAACTTGGACCTAGCCTTAATTCTGAATTAGTACCTTTGTTTGTTTGGGGAGGGAGGAGATGGAGAAAAGGACGGGGGGAGTTAACTGAACAGAGGTATGACTGTCTGGAAAAAAACCACCATATAAATTAGACTATATGCTTCTGTCTGTAGATATGCATTTAAACAAAGATGTGCTGCATATTCATGGACAGTTACGTAGATATGCACTGGTACAGGGAACTTAAAAGTTCTAATAGCTTTGCCAGCGAATCTAAGAGCCACAAGCCAAAGTGCTCTGGATTTTTTTTTTTACAAGAAAAAACACCACACCACACCTCACCCCCCCTTGGATTTACCAATACAGCAATAAGGATGCATAACATTCCAAACAGTTCAGCTAAACCAGTTTATAAAATCAGTTAATAAAATCAATTAATATGGGTCTAGCTACTAGTGCTCCACTGGTTTTGAAGTTTGTGGATTTAAAAAAAAAAATTTCTTTAGTGTAGACTGACTTTAGAGAAGACAAGAGCTAAAATAGAAGTATTACCCTAAAATCCAAGATGGTAAATTTATTCCAGGATAGCAGTACAGGCCTATTTCAAATGTTCCTCTGTGATCACAGTAGTGTTGCAGGAAAACCGTTAATTCTGTGGCAAGACTAACAACCTCCTTGTAAGTGTAGAAAATTGGAGGCTTATTACATTCATCAAAACATACTGCTTTTCTATCAGAATACAGACTGGCTGCCTGATGCACCATCTCCTGAAGAGTCATTTTAGGTGCATAATCTTCAGTCCCTAAACAGATAAAAATAATAGTCAGAATTCGTTGTAATCTTTTATTAACATTATGAATATAAAAGGCAGCTTAGTCTAGTGAAAAAGAAATCCAAGAAAACAGCATGAGACTTCTTCTAAAAGCTATTTAAAGGGACAGTGCCCAATTAAAGACTATCATTTAACAAAAAGTTATTCATATTACAAACCTTAATCTGAATTTTAAATGTTTTTTATTTTACTATTTGCTTACTTTTAAAATTAGAACAATTAAAAAAAGTCTATTCAATTTCCACTCAGGTTTTTATGCTCTAATGCAATGCTTAGATTGCAAACGCTGGAGGAAATTATTTTACTTTTGAGGGGGGAACGGAAAGAAGTACTTTCTATTGGATTTGTTTAAAAGGAAACCACTTCTACTGGTGTTCAGTTTTGTAAAAGCTTGTGTTTATAAAACGTATATTTTGGATCCTTTAAACTGAAATGCTCGTTTTAAAGAAATAAAATTTAAAGATCCCAGTCTTCCCACTGACTTCAATGAAGCCAGGATTTCTTCACCAGAGTATGTCTGCACGTAAACATTACAAACACTCACAATATAAATTAGTTTCCCCTTTATTTACCTGGCAAGAGTTCAATGTTCTGTTTTTCTCTAACAAGGACTGTAGACATCACTATTTTAGTAATCCTTCTTTCCCACATTCCTCAAGTACGTAATTACCACATTTGTATGACAAGTCAGTTTTTACAGTGTGAGATCTTATGGGTAGGGCCCTACCACATTAACTGCCATGAAAACCGTATCACGGACTGTGAAATCTGATCTCCCCCCCCCCGTGAAATCGTGTCTTGTGTGCTTTTACTCTATATTATACAGATTTCATGGGGTTGACCAGCGGTTCTCAAATTGGGAGGCCTGACCCAAAAGGGAATTGCACAGGGTCACAAGGTTATTTTAGAGGGATTGCAGTATTGCCACCCTTACTTCTGCGCGGACTTCAGAGCTAGGTGCCAAAGAGCAGTGGCTGCTGACTGAGGGCCCAGCTTTGCAGGCAGCAGCGCAGACGTAAGGGTGGCAATACCATACCATCCTTACTTCTGCGCTAGTGATGCTGACAGTTCTGCCTTCAGAACTAGGTTCCCATCCAGCAGCTGCTGCTCTCCTGCTGCCCAGCTCTGAAGGTAGCATTTCCCCCAGCAGCAGCACAGAAGTGAGGGTAGCAGTACTGCAACACGCCCCACCCTACACAACTCCTTTTTGGATCAGGACCCCTACAATTACAACACTGTGAAATTTCACATTTAAATAGCTGAAATCATTAAATTTACGATTTTTAAAATCCTACGGCCATGAAATTGACCAAAACGGACTATGAACTTGGTAGGGCCCTACTTATGGGTTGGGGCCTGGCTTCTATGTGTTCTCTGTGCAGATCTTATTACGTGTGTGGGCATGGTAAAACAAAATAATGAAAAACAACTAAAAAACTGCAAGGAGCCCAGCTGTCTGCATTGATTAGGGACTATGTTCAGTTTGCCTTACTTGTGCAAGCAGTCCTATTGATTTTAATATGACTTCGCATACAAATTAGGTGAGCAGAATTTGACCTTAAGTATTAGTGATGTGTACTGCTGCAGAAGAACCACGTACAATTCTCAAAAACAAAGCAATCCCGTGCACCAAGGAGCGAAGAGATCAAAGTTTTTAAAGAGGTAATTTAAGGCCATTTAAATAAAAGTGAAGATTTGTGGTATTAAAAACAGAAAAGTGCTTTCAAAACCAAATCTCCTAGGTTTTCCTCATACATATGTATCATTTACTTACTGTTATGAAGGATACATAGATTCTACTTCCAAATATTTGATGACAAACTCTTTGACATGTTTATAACTGCACAAATTCGGTTATTTTTTAATCACAATTGTCCACATATGTTCAATGTCATCAAGCTGAAATTCTGCATGAGCTTGAAGGAAACAAGAAAACTTAAGAGTTGATACAATTACTGTTAAATAACTGCTGGAGTTTTCCTGCAGGTTGTAATTCCACTCCCAGGCAATTTACATTGACTGTAAACAAATATCCACCACAAAAACATTACATAAAGATAAGAGTCTTTCTTGCATTAAAATAAGTGGCATATTCTCACTGATTTCAAGGGTGCAGAAACAGACCCGATGTTAGAGGAGAGATCGAACTAAAATTTCCTAAAGGGAAGATAACCAAACTTTCTATCATGCCTAGGCATTGACTTATATAGTGAGAGAAATATTATGAGGCATATATCCTCAATCATCTACACAGGCTTTTGCCTGCTTATCAACATTAAACAACATATTTTTATAAACATGGCAGAAGAACACTTACAAATAATACCCATGATCGCTAAAACTAAAAGAGCTTTCTGTTAAGATTAATGAGAAAAATGTTTCTAGTTCTTCAGTTTGTTTTATTTTGAATTTGCCAGCATTTAGTGTATGTGGATCTTTCACACAGTACCATTTTTGAAAAACCAGGAAAAATTTGAATTTAAAACCACAAAAATTGACAGGGGACAAGGAGGAAATTATTGTTTATGGAATTATTAGCAATGTTGAGTTGGCATTGCCTTTTAAAATACAGAGGGAATATATTTTTGTAACCAAAGCCACAAACTTCCAGTGCTAATGGCTATCACTCCATTTTATATGTTACAATATGTTTATATAAACCATTGTTTTCCAAAATAATATATATCACCAGATTACTTGCAAGCGCACACATCTTAAACTAGGAATAAATGTTTTTGCAACCTGGTTGGACAAAAGTAACCATGACCTGTAAAACTAGCACAAGAATACGCTTCAAAATGACATTTAACTACCTAAATGTATGACACAATCAGCATTGCTCATTACATCAAAAATATACTGTAGAAATTACAAATATACTTGGATTAAAGCTGATTATTTATTGAAGCAAAGAGCGTTGGTTGATTGTTATTTATTCAATTTATTGACAGACCTCAAAACAATTAGCAAGATGGTTAAACACATCTGTTCTCTCCGAGAAGGACGTCCAGGGCCCACATCCCAGCATATCTGGATCCAAGCGCAGACCATCTATTGCTTGGCCGGAAACAGAGCAGGACACGCTGGGAACGGCAGTCTCCCTCGGACGCACCTCACATCAGCCCAGACTCTGCAGGTGATAGCAGCCCCAGGGCCCCCGCAGACGAGAGCGACGAGGTGGGTGAGGTAGTACGGCCTGTCGGCGACACGCTTCCCAGCACCACCGAGCTCCTCTTCAGGGCGGAGCGGCTCCGCGGAGCGCCAAGGCTGGGGTCCCCGCACCCACCGTGTCCTCTCACAGCTGAGGGGCGGGTACGCTAGGCCAGCCTCTTCCCCGAGAGCGGTTTAAATCTCCCGCCGGCCGCGGTGAGACCCAGCGCCTTGGCTACCGCCCACGGCTCCTCTAGCCCACGCAGGGTACCACCGCCCGGGGTCCTAGGGACCCCGACAGCCGGGTGCGTGAGGGGAGAGGCTGCGCTCGGACGAAGGCGGCTACAACCCTCAGCCCCAGCAGCGGTTTAGCCAAGTGCCCCGGTCCGTTTCCACCACCCCCACCGGGCCAGCTCCCCCCGCCGACACCTGCCCGAGAGCAGCCGCCGAAGCTCGCACCCACCTGCGCTCGCCGCTCTCCAAGGCCGCCACCGCGACGCCATTGAGCGGCGGCAGCTAAGGAACGCCCTAGGCTCGCCCCCAGTCTTGACACGGCAACAGCAATCCGCCACTTTTGATTGGCTGAATGAAGCTCTTTTTCCGATAGGCTCCTTCTAGGCAGCTTCGGATTGGCGGAGCTCTTTCAGCGCAGCGGTGTTCGCATTGGTTAGTAGCTGCATTTTGATTGGATGCTGAGGCTCCAGGGTCGGGCTGTTCCATTCTCCCAGCAGCGGGGGGGGGGCGGGCCTTGGAGCGGACAGCTCAACACCAAACTCTGAAGTGAGCTGTAGCTCACGAAAACTTATGCGCTAATAAATTTATTAGTCTCTAAGGTGCCACAAGTACTCCTTTTCTTTCTACTGAGAGAGATTCCTGGTGATCGGGGATAAGCCATCTCCCCCCGCGCGGCGGAGATAGGACAGTCCGCAGCTCTCCGCTCGTTTAGAGGGGAGGTAGGGTTTAGTCGAGTGAGTGCCCCCCCCAGGAGCATGCGCGCTGCTAGCTCGGAGCGCACTGGGAGGCATCAGCCGCCACTAACAGATAGTACCTGACTCAGTCTGTGTCTTGACTCAACAGTCACTCTTGCAAAAAGTGTAATAAAATGACTATGCGAAACATGATCTTTTGTGTCTGCTATTTACAGTTCTGGCTCTTAAAAAAAAAAAAACACACTCTAAGATGACATAGGAAATGACAAGTAGCTAGAACTTCAGGCTGCAGAAAATTATTGTTAGTTGATTGAATACCAGTGACAGTGTACCTAAACTGAAAAAGTTTTAGGAGTGTAATATAATCAATGTTTTTAAAAAATTTAAAGTACTTTTGGCTATATATAAGTAACTGTGCTAGGGAATGAATCAGGACTTTGATGCAGATTCTTGGTATGTTTGAAAAGAGGGAACACTATAAAAAATATTGACCGCTTAGCAGACTCCACTGCAATGGAGTCTCCTATATTTTGATAGATGAACAGTGTCAAAGAAAAATGTGTATGTAGAAGGAAATAAAATGAGAAACTAGGAAGGGAAAAAGTTTAGGAAGCAGTTTTAACTGCATACAAGTAAGCTACCATACCATGCACTGAACAAGAAACATTGTGGTCTTGATTTTTCTTAGGCTGGTGTAAACCACAAGTGAAAGTCAAAACCTCTGCCTCTAAATGCAGAGGCTGATACTATGATAGCCCTTTATAGTCATATTTTTACATTTTAAAATGCACAGTTGTGATGTTCTGTATCTTAGGGGAACACCCAGCACACCCAAGTTCATCCTTATGATTGTGTGGTGTCTAATGCAAAGTTTTTCATGGCAAGTGTCTTCAGAAGGCTCATGATGTACTGAGCATTGTTATGGTAATATATATAAGTTTGAGGCTGAAAACGTGTCCTCATGGCTTAAAGCAAGCCCAGGCAAATACTGTCCAGCAGCAGAGGGGCAGTTCCCACCTCATCAGGGCATGTATAGGACAAACCTGGGGCCCAGCCTCACAGGAACAAAGGACACTGGCCTAGGCAACAACAAAAGGATCTGTTGGACTCTGAGTGAGTCACCCCCCTTCCTTTGGTCAGTTTGGGAATGCGATGAAGTAATGCTCACCAGACACGCTCACCAGACACTTGGGGGGGGGGGAAGAGAACGCGGAGGGAAGGGGGCAAAGCTAAGAGGGAAGAACGAACATGATAAAAGGGAGAGAGCTACAGACACCACACCAAGCGACTGAAGCGCTGATCAAAGGGGAGAGCATTTAAGTTTATAAAGGCATTGAAAGTGTTAAGATCAGCTTAGAATGTGTTTTGCTTTTATTTCATTTGACCAAATGCGACTTGTTATGCTTTGACTTATAATCACTTAATCTCTTTGTAGTTAATAAATCTGTTTGGTTTGAAGAGTGTCACTCCCCTTGGGATAACAAGCCTGGTACATATCAATTTTTTTGTTAAACTGACGAACAACTATAAACTTGCAGCATCCAGTGGGCATAACTGGACACTGCAAGACAGAGGTTCCTAGGGTTGTGTCTGGGACCGGAGATATTGTCTAGTGTCATTTGGCTGCACAATCCAAGGAGCAGCTTACCTGCCAGAGGGTGTGCGTGAACAGCCCAGAAGTGGGGGTTCTCACAGCAGAGCAGGGTAAGGCTGGCTCCCAGAGTCAAGGATTGGGGTGACCTAGTTGATCACCAGTCCAGACAACTCCAGGGGAACGTCACAACAGTATATGTGGGAAAAGGAGAACACTTGATCTTTAAGTGTTAAGGCACTAGAGAATCTGTCCTGAATGAAATCAGAACCATGTTAAATGTACAAACTGTGTTTACAGTTAAAAGTAACAATGCTAGTCAAGTTTCAGAGTAGCAGCTGTGTTAGTCTGTATCCACAAAAAGAAAAGGAGGACTTGTGGCACCTTAGAGACTAAAATTTATTTGAGCATAAGCTTTTGTGAGCTACAGCACATTCTAGGGTACATGCATAAGTTCTATATAATTTTGTTTGCCAAAAAGCATAATTTTTCCAAATTGTAGACAGGTTAAAACCCTCTTGGCAACATCTGTGATTAAATATGGCTTTAGATAAAGTTCTTATCCTAGAGTGGAAAGGACTCACTGTAAAAGGATAGGATATAGGACCAATTTACTCCAAGTCCTTCCCATAGAAATACCTGCTTTTTGGTGGTGGAGGAAAGGTAGGGAGAAAAAACTCAAAGATCTCAGAGTTTTCCCTAAATCATCCCTAAGGTAGAAAGGGTCAGGCTGGCATGGGATGGTACCATCATTCCTCACACTTCCATTTGTGGGATGCCACTGTTTGATTCTGTAAGAGAGGCTTACTACCCACTTCTTGGTGAGACAGAAGATGGACATGCAGCGAGCCTCTCGCTACACATGTGGACCTGAGCTTGGTGAGGAACAAGGTAAAGGCCCAATCTTGCTCTCATTAAAGTCCCAAGAGTCTGATCTTAAACTTCAGTGGATGCAGACCCTAAACCTAACTCAAACACTCATTAGGCAAAGTACTTAGCTATGTGCTTAAATCTCAGTGACTTCAAAAGCATACTTAAAGTGAAATCCTTATTTAAATGCTTTGCTGAATTGGGGCGTTAGTTCTGAGGTTATGCATCACACACAACTAATAATACTTGAGTCAAAAGATCGAGGTTTAATCACCATCACTCTGGCTCTCAACTACATCATACGGGGGGGGGGGAGGGAGGGAATAAAGGGGGAGACTTTCTAAACTTTCTCTTTTGTAAAACAGTATTTACAAGCAACCTTAACACCAAAAACATTAAAAACATCTAAATTAAGTTTCTGACATACATAAGAAAAGTCTAAGGTATAGTAAACATTTAAAAAATGTGAAAGTTCATAATTAATAGTTTTGTGAAAGGTGTTCATTTTAGCCAATTACTAGCTGTTCATTGAGAAGTATATACTTTGTTATCTGTAACATTATTTAAAAAATATAATGCATTTTGCCACTTCATAACCAAAGTAAGTGTTCTTTATAACCCACTCATTTCATGATAAAAACATTACATTCAGTAACCCATACAGTACTGCTGGAAAGCAGTAGACTAATAGTTGGAAATACAACTTAGTGTATTTCTCATGAAAACTCATTCCTCCACCCTTTTGCAGTTTTTACAGTACTCTATTGACATATCATGTCGGTTACAAGCTAAGCAAAATGTTATTTTACTTTTGATTCTACCTGGAAGGCCCATTTATAAAAACACATTAGCTCAGACCTCAGAATTTTTAAGGATTTATATTGAAATAAAATAATGAAGTGATGGAGAAAGTTAGCAACTTTGCAATGCAGGTCTAATCATACTTTCTAGGTTTGTAAATATCACAACTAGTTTTCCCTGTCATATCCCAATGACATATACTAAAAGCAATTATGCTGGGCTTCAATATGCTTAAATTAAGAAAATATCAAATTAGAGAGATTTTTTGTTTAGTATTTTCCTGAGTCTTCTGTTTTTAAGGTCACATGCTATAAAGATAGCGTTCACTGAATATGGACACATATTAGATGTAGATACATAGCTTGAATATAAAAGCCTTTTAGTAACATAAGCAAAAAACAAACAAAAAAACCCAAACACTTAAGTACATCTCCTGTTCTTTACAATATAATATTCCACAAAGTACGAGATAAGAATTCCTTGGAAAGCCATTTAACTCTTCAGAATTGGGCATTTTCTTCAAAAAAAGCAAAGTTCACCTTTTTCTTTTGCACTAATATGGTTTGATAATTATAAATTATTCTGTATGATCCATGAGCTGTATCCTAAATTGGTTTTTAAATAATTTATCAATTTTGTGAATAAGCCTAAAAAGAACATCCAACTTCCTTGACAAGATTAAAACAAAAAACAAACAGTTTAGCTGGGACAACTAAGTAATCCAAAAGACCGGGTGGTTTTTACATTACATCCACGAGAAAAAAAAACCCAAATAAAAGGCACTATTGTCTGTGATTTTTATTTTATTTATCCAGGTACTTACATTATATAGTTTTCGTCATCATAAACTTTATAGAAAGTCTGCAAAGACATGTCTGTAACAGCAATTAGACGTCACTAGCTTTAAGTGGCTTGCTAAATGTAAGAAGATGCTATGTGCTGTTAGGTACAACATACTTCTCAATTCAAAAAACTACATTCAGCAACGGTACTTGGGCATTAAAGTCACCAGTCGAGCTCTACTGGGTATTCCCCAGTAAGACATGCTGTACAGTGGCCAATCTTTCTAACACGAGACTTATTGGTTTTAAGGCTGTTTTGATTTTCTTGCTTTGCTTTGATACTTTCTTGCACAGATGATACCAACCCTTCCACAGAAAGATAAACCACACTGTCCGCTCCTAGGGGAAATAAAAGACGACAATGAAACATTAAAAGCTACACTAGTATTAAACAAAATAAAAGCATCTTGAACATGTAGTCATGATATTACATGGGTTCTCTCCCTGTGGGTCACCTCCCCTGCAAGGAAAAGACTATAAAACAAGGTGTTAGGGGGTCACAATCACCTTGTCCTTTCCATATTACTAAACTGGAGTAGGGGTTCCTTGTTGGCTAGACAGGAGGCGGGGGTTCTGGTATGGAAAAGACTGAGAACCACAATGTTACTCATTTTGTCAAAATGGAAACTAAATCCAAGCTGGTCATTGAGATTCTGAGCTCATAGCACATTGCCTCCCTGAATTAGCAATTATTCCAAGTTCACCTTGGAAGCAGCCACACACATAGCTGTTTCAAGCTGTCTTTGTTCCATAAGCAGAGCATCCATGACTTTTGTTCTTCTTGCTGTATTTGGCTATTGGGCCTTTGAGATAATGCAGTAAGTGGTTCACATGAATGCTCTAGCAGGAGGAGAGAGTGTTTCACCCTCTCATTTTATCACTTTTGTAAATTACATTGTGAATAGATATTAAAATGTGATCCTCCAGCAAATTCATAATGCTTTATTTGTGCCATCACAATTAATGCCATGGGGGGGGGAAAAGGCAGATTAAAAGATTAGACAGAAGGAGCAATGAAGTCAATCTTAAAAACATTAAAAAAAACCCTGTAAGTTTAAAAAAAAAGGAGTACTTGTGGCACCTTAGAGACTAACCAATTTATTTGAGCATGAGCTTTCGTGAGCTACAGCTCACTTCATCAGATGCATACCGTGGAAACTGCAGCAGACTTTATATACACACAGAGAATATGAAACAATACCTCCTCCCACCCCACTGTCCTGCACTGTTCCTCTGAAACCTGTAAGTTTAAAGGCTTTTAACTACAGCTGTGTTTTTAAATTGGTAAGTTTTTAAAATCATTGCGACAGCACAATACTATATATGATAATAGGCATGCCCATTCACAAGCCATTACTGATCACTATTGCTCCATCATGATAATGCACATCTGTTATTTGCAATGGCACAAATAATAATTTTGGCATTTGTTCTCATTTTTTTTGTTCTGTAGCAAATATTGCTTACTGTAAAGATTCTAAAATACACTGCATTTATTTTATTTGTTTAAATCTTATAGTTTTAAGAGGAGATGCCTTCAGCTCAAGAAAAATATTTACATAAATTCTACAATTTGAGTTTTAAGCAAAACCAGCAAGCATTTATAAATTTAGTAAGAATATTTTATTATGCTTAAATTTTCATCACTACTCTGTCTTCAACTTATCTTCCTGAAATTTTGCATGCCACAGCTCAACACAGGTAGAGTTTTTCTGGGAAGTTTGGCAAGAATCAATACAACTAGAACTCTGGAAGTGTATTTGTTGTTTACTTTTTGAAAGTTATTTGAGTGCTCTATATTTTGTAAAGGAAGAACTATGAACTGCAACAGACAAAACATACAGCTGGTATCAATGTGATCTGGTGTGAGCAGTTCAACAAAAAATTCAGTAGCTCAGTTTTGGGGTTTTTTGGTTTGTTCTTTTTGGGAGAGCGGGGATGTCAGTTTTTCCCCACTGAAAATTTGTGATCATGTTTTTCCTCATGACTGAAAAAACTCAAGGGTCGGGGGGTAAAACTATAGCATTTACCTATGTATTTTGCAAGGTCATGAAATTCAGGTCTGTTGGCAATGAGTTCTTCTTTTGTTGGAATATTTATTCCCATGTAACAAGGAAATTTTATGGGAGGTGAAGCCACACGAATGTGCACCTGAAAGAAAATGAATTTTCAATGTTACATTACCAGTAAAAACTTGCATCTTGATAAAAGTCATTGCTGTTAGTTAATGTTATACTCAGACACGAAAGCCCCAACCCCTGAAAGGTGATCAGCAAAGGCAAAGCCCTGCCCCTATTTGGAGCCCCACATACGTATAAGGATCCACTGTGTGCATTACATTTCAGGATCAGGGTCTTCGGTCTCTCCAGACTCCAAAATATCAGTACGGGTAAAGAAATTTAACAAGTAACATTATTAAAGCCTTTAAAATGGCTTCTTAATTTTCAAATAAAACTATTTTGTCTTCACAACTTTTCTATTAAAAATAGATTTAAAGTGTGAGTAATCCAATTTAAATTAACAGAGCTACTCATGGTAATAAAAATAAGCACACGTGTAAACGTTCACAGGCTCTGTGCTTAGGCAGTGTCTACTCATTGACAGCTTTGGTTATACAAAGCACATTTGCTTCTGTGACAGACTAGCACATTCTATTTCATATGTAAATCAAAGAAACAAATTAAACCAGAAGCAATATTTTTCTTGAGATTTAGGACAAATGCCTATTTACCTAAGAAGTAAGGTTAAAAACAATACCACAGCAGGAATAAGTAGTCGAAATATATAGCCGCCACACTGATTTTTAGATAAAACTATCAGTTTTCCATTCATTCTTGATTTGTCAGTTACATCTTAGGCCATGTCTACACTACCACTTTTGTCAGTATAATTTATTTTAATTCGGGGGGGGGGGGGGGGGGACGGACGGACGACAAAAAACAAACCACCACTCCTGAGCAATATAAGTTACACCAACAGAAACGTTGGTGGGGACAGTGCTATGTTGATGGGAGAGCTTCTCCCACTGACACAGCTACCGCCACTCGTGGAGGTGGTTTTATGTCGACAGGAGAGCTCTCTCCTGCCGGCATAGAGAGTGGCCACACAAGCGATCTTACAGCAGCGCAGCTGCATCAGTACAGCTATGCCCTCGCTAGTGTAGACGCACACTTACTTTAAAATAGAGCAGTACCCCCTTTATTCAAGTTTTTCTGCTGCAGATTTTCCTAAGATCAAGCAATCACACAAGAAACTTTTCACACTATTACATATTATTAACATACTATTGTTGTGCATTTGCTTTCTTTGTTTTTATGGCTCTCTTTCTACCACACCTTGTGAGTGCACTAAGGGAAATATTCTGACGTGTAACTGAAACACTCCAACTCGTGTCTCCATCAAATTTCCCTTTACATCTGCATTACAACTGCTGAAAGTGAACTTACCTCCTTCGCACCAGATTCCCTGAGCAGCTTTATTATGGGTGAAATGGTATTGCCCCGCACAATAGAATCATCGATTAGCACAATTCTTTTGCCTTTAAAGTTATCAGATAGGACTCCAAATTTTTTTGCCACTCCAAGCTGTCTTAATCGCATGTTTGGCTGAATAAAAGTTCTTCCGACATATCGATTTTTACAGAGTACTTCAACATATGGCAGCCCACACTACAAGCAAAAGACAATTATACACACAGTTAAATAAAATAAATACATTAAAAAATAAGGATTAGGAATTGTAAAGATTTTTTTAAAAGATGACCTGCAGATTAGGGCTAATCAAAGGCCTTTAGCTTGACCAATGTAGTGGCAACAGTGCACTGGTGCAGCATACCACAATATGAAACCCAGCTCACAGAAGACCCACATACACTATCTGACAGGAGGAAAACACCAAAACTAACTTACTGTAAAGGAGAGTCTAGCGTATTTCACAGAAAGTTAGAAACATTGGCGGGGAGGGGAAGAAATAAATATTAAAAATAATCCATCCACAATACCTTTTGTGCATAACCTAGTGCTGCTGGTGTTGCAGATTCTGGTACTGTGCTAACCAAGTCTGCTTCCACTGGTGCTTCAACAGCAAGCTGCTGACCGCATCTTCTCCTGACTGAATACACCATTTGACCTATGGACATTGAGGAAATAATAATTCTTTTCCCTTATGTAATTATGATTTAACTTTCAGTTTGCACAGTACAGGAACTATTCCTATCAAATAAATTCTACAGTAAGTTTTAGGTAAATAGGAAGCCTCTAAAAAGTAATGAGAAATATTCACCACCACCAGTCACCTTACACCTTTCATCTCCTCCCATAATATCCATGTTGCTTTCCATCTTTCAGGCCACTGTGAGGACCAAATCCTTCTTGCCTTATTCAGGTGATCAGTCCCACTGACATTAACAGAACTATTCACTTGAGCAAGACCAGCAGGATTTGAACCTGAATTTTTACTCTCTCCACATCCTGTTTTTGTTCTTGCATCAGATGGTTCTGCTAAGTAGCTTGACATTAGCACAGAATAGAGGCCTGTCCTATGAGAGCTTTACCAAGGTAGTGATCATAGGACAAGATTGATAGCTCCATGTACACTGAACATGTACAGAACTGAAAATTTAATTAGAAAGAAGGATCCACAGGAATGGTTGCTTCTTGTAAGGAAAGATAAGATAAGCCACACTTCAAATGCTTTAATAAGTCCTAAATATTTTTTTAAATGTTGTCTAAAATGATACAATAGTATCTTATATATTCATACATTTTAAGGCCAGAAGGGACCACTACATTATCTAGTTAGACCTCCTGAATAACACGGGCCACAGAATTTCATCCAGTCACCCAGGTACTGAGTCCAATAACCGGGGTGAAAGTAACTTAAAGGATTTACCATTAGGCTGGAGTCCTGAGTGGGGGCGTGGCCTCAACCTGAAGAGGTGGGACCTTTAAATCAAGATTTAAATGGCCCAGGGCTCCCCGCAGCAGCCCGAGCCCCTGGCCCTTTACATCACTGCAGGAGCCCTACCGCTCCCCACAATGGGCAGGAGCACCTGGCCCTTTAAAGTGCTGCCTGAGTCCGGCTGCCAGAGCCCCAGGGTAGCGGCGGCAGGGCTCCGGCAGGGATTTAAAGGGCCAGGGGCTCCGGCCATTGCGGGGAGCCCCTGGCCCTTTAAATCACCTCTGCCAATAACTTGTGTTTGACTACAGCATATCTTCCAGAAAGGCATCCAGTGCTGTTTCAAAGACATCAAGAGATGTACAATCCACCACTTTCCTTAGTAGTTTGTTCCACTGCTTAATCACTCTCACTTTTAAAAAACTGCACCTTGTTTCTACATTAAATTTGTTTGGCTTTAACTTCCAGCCATTGGATCTTGTTATGCCTTTATCTACTAGATTAAAATGACCTTTAGTTCCTGGTTTTCTCCCCAGAAAGTTACTGTGTTATAAGTACCTACGTGCAAACACTTCTCGACCTTCATTTGAGAAGTTAAACGTATTTCACTCATTTAGTCTCTCACTGCAAGACCTTTATTTCCAGTCACTGAATCATTTTTGTGGCTCTTCTTTTCTGTACCCTCTCCAATTCTTCAACATCCTTTTTAAAATGTGATCACCAAATCTGGATGCAGTATTCTAGTATTGGACTCATCACTAAATGTATACAGACAGAAAAATCTCTTCCTTCTTCCCTCCTAGTCACTACTCCTGTTTATATATCCAAGGATCGCATTAACCCTTTTTTGACACAGCATCACAGTGTGAGCTCCATGTTAAGCATCTTGTGCACTGTGACCCCTCAACTGTTTTCAGAGTCACTACTTTCCAGGATACAGTCCCCCATTTCAATAACGCCTGCATTCCTTGTTTACTATAGTTTATCTTCATACCTTCAAAAATGCTGTCGGGCCTTGCAAAATAAACATATTCAAAGATACAGAATGCTGATGGATCTCCTCCAGGTCTTGGTACAACATCCAGTGTTTGGACATCATATCTGGATATCTTCACAATCTCTCCAGGGAGGACTTCACGATAATACCTTGAAAAGATATTTGGGGTATTTAGAAATTTCCATACACTTGCATGTTAGTTTTAGAATATAAACAAAGCCATGTTCTGCTAAACCCAGTCAACTTTCTGATATTCAGCAGTCACAAAATATTAGATTATTATTTTAAAGTTGACCCTTTGGCTCCTAGCATTGGACTTTGCCAGCACTAATGCAAGACTAGTGCAGTAACATTGACAGCCTGCATTAGTACCTGAAAATGGTAAATTTCCAGTCTTAGCACTAAATGGTTAAGGACATCTTCCCATTACATGAAACAGCCAAGACGACACTGAAATGCTTTATGTATATTAGTAGCAGTTATAAATTTAAGATAGAGTCAAGTCCCGGCCATCATGAGATGAATAAACTGGCTCTTAATTTAGTCTTGACTAGTTTAGTTACTTTTCTATGAAACACAAATCATCCCATAAAATCAAATGGCCTGGAATGAGGAATGTAGTCATAAGAGCTGTCACTACAGTCAGTAACTAGGGTCATGTCAGTATCAAAATAGAAGGTGGAAGGCAGCTACAACTGAATAAGGGCAGGATTACTGGAATATAGGTCTGCTGTTCCATATGCTTAGATTATATCTTTTCATAATTAGAACAAAAATTGAATATGGAGCCTTAATAAAAATATAATAAGCTCAGCGATTGCATTATTAAACATATTCTTAGATCTTCTATAAGCTGATCTTCTAACTACTGTTGTTTAAGTATACTGCTTCAATTGACACTCCTAGAGGAATTCTGCACCACTGCACATGGACCAGAATTCATGTACGGTACAAAAAATTTTTCTTCTTTTCCCCACAAAAAATAACTTTCTGCCTGGAAACTTCTGCAGTTCCACCTTTCACACCTCAGAGGCTGCTGTGGCGCCAGAACAGCCAGCAGACCGCTCCAGTCATGCTCCATTCATCCTGCTCACGGAGCTATGTTAGGACTGACAGAGTGGGGCACAAGTGATGGGGGTGGGGGGGGGAGGGTGGTGTCATAAGCTGGGGTTCAGAAGGGCTAGTGAGGGGCACAGACAGGGATGTGGGCTCAGGAACTAGTGGGGTGACAGCTTTGAGTCAGGGACCGAATGCAAAAGGTTCCGCAGGGCCACATGGGGACGGGAACAGATGTGCCTGACTGAATGGGAAAGGCTTGGTCAGCCAGGGTCTGCATGGGGGAGGCTCCCCAGCTCCTTAACAATCCCTCCCTCCTGCCCAAAATCACGTTCCGTACTTCTCCCACCCACAGCCAACAACTTTCCAGCTTTACTCCCAGGCTCCTTCCCCCTTCCTCAGCTCCTCCATTACCCTTGGACTCCCCCAAGCCTATAGACTCCTTCTGAAGGATGCAGGAAATAAGTTTCGGTATTGTAGTTTAAATGAATTGCTCAAAGTTCTGTATTAATACGCTAGTAAGGAATCTGTCAAAAAAAACATTACCTGAATCTTTCTTTTTTGGGGGAATGTATTGTTACAGACATACTTGCTGACAGGTATTTTGAAATAAATTACAAAAATAATTGAAACTAGCATGATTAAATTGTGTTATTTTGACAAATAAAATAAATATGCAGAATTTTAAAATATTGTGTGCAGAATTTTTAGGCACAGAATTCCCCCAGGAGTAAATTGAGTTTAGTTATCCAATTAACTGCATCCTATCACTAGAAGTTAAATGGCAAAAAAAAAGAACCAGGAGTTCATTTCCTAAGTACTTAGATTTTCAGTTTTACTAAACATGAGTCAAGATATTCATATCTGAGTAATGTTGAAAAATATTCACTGCACATATCACACACCAGCAAGTCTTAAAACATGCAGATTAAGTGACTCTGATGAATGCTGGAGATGTAATTTAGAAGGGGATGCATATTCATTACCCAGATACTAGAATTAGTGGGCTAGCTGATAACATTGAGAAAGCTCTACGATACAACCGCATTTGCTCCAACCCCTCAGACAGAGACAAACACCTAAAAGATCTCTATCAAGGGGAGGGATAGCTCAGTGGTTTGAGCATTGGCCTGCTAACCCCAGGGTTATGAGTTCAATCCTTGAGGGGGCCATTTAGGGATCTGGGGATTGGTCCTGCTTTGAGCAGGGGGTTGGACTAGATGACCTCCTGAGGTCCCTTCCAACCCTGATATTCTATGAACTACAATACCCACCTGCTGAAGTGAAGAAACAAAATGACAGAGCCAGAAGAGTACCCAGAAGTCACCTACTACAGGACAGGCCCAAAAAAGAAAACAACAGAACGCCACCAGCCATCACTTTCAGCCCCCAACTAAAACCTCTCCAATGCATCATCAAGGATCTACAACCTATCCTGAAGGACGACACATCACTCTCACAGATCTTGGGAGACAGGCCAGTCCTTGCTTATAGACAGCCCCCCCAACCTGAAGCAAATACTCACCAGCAACCAGACACCACACAACCGAACCACTAACCCAGGAACCTATCCTTGCAACAAAGCCCGTTGCCAACTGTATCCACATATCTATTCAGGGGACACCATCATAGGGCCTAATCACATCAGCCACACTATCAGAGGCTCATTCACCTGCACATCTACCAATGTGATATATGCTATCATGTGCCAGCAATGCCCCTCTGCCATGTACATTGGTCAAACTGGACAGTCTCTACGCAAAAGAATAAAATGGACACAAATCAGATGTCAAGAATTATAACATTCAAAAACCAGTCGGAGAACACTTCAATCTCTTTGGTCACTCAATTACAGACCTAAAAGTTGCAATTATTCAACAAAAAAACTTCAAAAACAGACTCCAACAAGAGACTGCAGAATTGGAATTAATTTGCAAACTGGATACAATTAACCTAGGCTTGAATAAAGGCTGGGAGTGGATGGGTCATTACACAAAGTAAAACTATTTCCCCATGTTTATTCCACCCCCCCACTGTTCCTCAGACGTTCTTGTCAACTGCTGGACATGGTCCACCTTGATTATCACTACAAAAGGTTTCTCCCCCCCCCCGCTCTCCTACTGGTAACAGCTCACCTTACCTGATCACTCTCCTTACAATGTGTATGGTAACACCCATTGTTTCATGTTCTCTATGTATATAAATTTCCCCACTGTATTTTCCACTGAATGCATCCGATGAAGTGAGCTGTAGCTCATGAAAGCTTATGCTCAAATAAATGTGTTAGTCTCTAAGGTGCCACAAGTACTCCTTTTCCTTTTGGGATTTATATGTAGTGCAAAACGCCCCCGTTGATGATGATTATTCTTAGCAGAAGTATCTCAGTCTCAGAAGGTAGGTCCAGCGTAAAGCAACTTTTGTTAAGAAAACAAAGATGGCACCAACAGTTAATTATTGGTACATGGAAATGACAGAACTCACCACAGAGGAACATATGTTGTAGCTTGTTTCTAGAACATCTCTCAATGTAATAGATTACTGAAGTTCAGACATTATTGGTTTCCAGTTTTTGCTCTGAATTTAATTTTTACTTCTTGCAGTTTTTGCCTTGTTTTTCCACTTTAAGGGGACACAATTTTACTTACCAACATAACACTCAATTAGTGGCAGATTTGTTAAATGTCGGATTTACAAATTAACTGTAAATTCCTCATTATAGGTATGAATGATTTTGTTGATTTGACTGTAGTTTTTATTTTCACTGAAAATTAAATGTTTTTGCACAGAGAACATTTCTCCTGTTTCTTTTTTAACTATATACTGGGCTTGTCTTCACTATAGTTAACTTCAGCATTGTCCCAACTTGAATGCTGCCTGCACATAAAAATCCATAATTTGAGTGTGGTGGAGCGGCCAGCTGAAGTGTCTAGCCTATCAGGAGGTATAGGCTACACTTTGAGTCAACACACCCCACCAGCTGCTAATACAACCACTCTGTAGTTGGAGTCGAAACAGCAGACTGGACTTCTACATAGAGTGCTTCCGCCGACGTGCACGGGCTGAAATTGTGGAAAAGCAGCTTCACTTGCCCCATAACCTCAGCCATGCGGAACGCAATGCCATCCACAGCCTCAGATACAACTCTGACATCATAATCAAAAAGGCTGACAAAGGAGGTGCTGTTGTCATCATGAATAGGTCGGAATATGAACAAGAGGCTGCTCGGCAGCTCTCCAACACGAGTTTCTACAAGCCATTACCCTCTGATCCCACTGAGGGTTACCAAAAGCAACTACAGCATTTGCTCAAGAAACTTCCTGAAAAAGCACAAGATCAAATCCGCACAGACACACCCCTGGAACCCCGACCTGGGATATTCTATCTGCTACCCAAGATCCATAAACCTGGAAATCCTGGGCGCCCCATCATCTCCGGCATTGGCACCCTGACAGCAGGATTGTCTGGCTATGTAGACTCCCTCCTCAGGCCCTACGCTACCAGCACTCCCAGCTACCTTCGAGACACCACTGACTTCCTGAGGAAACTTCAATCCATCGGTGATCTTCCTGATAACACCATCCTGGCCACTATGGATGTAGAAGCCCTCTACACCAACATTCCACACAAAGATGGATTACAAGCCGTCAAGAACACTATCCCCGATAATGTCACGGCTAACCTGGTGGCTGAACTTTGTGACTTTGTCCTTACCCATAACTATTTCACATTTGGGGACAATGTATACCTTCAGATCAGCGGCACTGCTATGGGTACCCGCATGGCCCCACAGTATGCCAACATTTTTATGGCTGATTTAGAACAACGCTTCCTCAGCTCTCGTCCCCTAACGCCCCTACTCTACTTGCGCTATATTGATGACATCTTCATCATCTGGACCCATGGAAAAGAAGCCCTTGAGGAATTCCACCATGATTTCAACAATTTCCATCCCACCACCAACCTCAGCCTGGTCCAGTCCACACAAGAGATCCACTTCCTGGACACTACAGTGCTAATAAACAATGGTCACATAAACACCACCCTATACCGGAAACCTACTGACCGCTATTCCTACCTGCATGCCTCCAGCTTTCACCCTGACCACACCACACGATCCATCGTCTACAGCCAAGCTCTGCGATACAACCGCATCTGCTCCAACCCCTCAGACAGAGACAAACACCTACAAGATCTCTGTCAAGCTTTCTTACAACTACAATACCCACCTGCAGAAGTAAAGAAACAGATTGATAGAGCCAGAAGAGTTCCCAGAAGTTACCTACTACAGGACAGGCCTAACAAAGAAAATAACAGAACGCCACTAGCGGTCACCTTCAGCCCCCAACTAAAACCCCTCCAACGCATTATTAAGGATCTACAACCTATCCTAAAGGATGACCCAACACTCTCACAAGTCTTGGGAGACAGGCCAGTCCTTGCCTACAGACAGCCCCCCCAACCTGAAGCAAATACTCACCAACAACCACATACCACACAACAGAACCACTAACCCAGGAACTTATCCTTGCAACAAAGCCCGTTGCCAATTGTGCCCACATATCTATTCAGGAGACACCATCACAGGGCCTAATAACATCAGCCACACTATCAGAGGCTCGTTCACCTGCACATCCACCAATGTGATATATGCCATCATGTGCCAGCAATGCCCTTCTGCCATGTACATTGGTCAAACTGGACAGTCTCTACGTAAAAGAATAAATGGACACAAATCAGATGTCAAGAATTATAACATTCATAAACCAGTCGGAGAACACTTCAATCTCTCTGGTCACGCAATCACAGACATGAAGGTCGCTATCTTAAAACAAAAAAACTTCAAATCCAGACTCCAGCGAGAAACTGCTGAATTGGAATTCATTTGCAAATTGGATACTATTAATTTAGGCTTAAATAGAGACTGGGAGTGGCTAAGTCATTATGTAAGGTAGCCTGTTTCCTCTTGTTTTTTCCTACCCTCTCCCCCCCCCCAGATGTTCTGGTTTAACTTGGATTTAAACATGGAGAGTGGTCAGTTTAGATGAGCTATTACCAGCAGGAGAGTGAGTTTGTGTGTGTATGGGGGTGGGGGGGATGTGAGAAAACCTGGATCTATGCAGGAAATAGCCGGACTTGATTATGTAAAGAGTTGTCACTTTGGATGGGCTAGCACCAGCAGGAGAGTGAATTTGTGTGGGGGGGTGGAGGGTGAGAAAACCTGGCTTTGTGCTGGAAATGGCCCACCTGTTGATCACTTTAGATAAGCTATTACCAGTAGGACAGTGGGGTGGGAGGAGGTATTGTTTCATATTCTCTGTGTGTATATAAAGTCTGCTGCAGTTTCCACGGTATACATCTGATGAAGTGAGCTGTAGCTCACGAAAGCTCATGCTCAAATAAATTGGTTAGTCTCTAAGGTGCCACAAGTACTCCTTTTCTTTTTGCGAATACAGACTAACACGGCTGTTCCTCTGAAACCTGTCATTTTACATTGTGGCTGTACTCACTTCACTCCTTTTCAGTTAGCTTAGCTAACTCTACAGTGAAGAGATACCCACACAGTCTTCTTTGCAGACGATTTCTGAATACACTATTGCCATATTTATTTAAATCCATAAACTGATAGATATAATCTTTTATACTGTATGTGAATACTATCATTTGGCTATTTAAATCTCTATTCACTGTTTAAAGTGTTTACAGATCACCTTGTATGTGAAGGAACTTACTGTGCACCAATAGATAAAAAGCTGCAGGATTCAGAGGAGACCACCCATCCTTCTGTTTCGCTGTTTTTCTTCCCTATAATAAAATTTTCAATTATAGTTACATTATCTCCACAGGTCTTGGAATTATAATCACTAAACATGTTAAATTTCTGCAACAGTACTGGCCTGTTACATTTTGTAATCATGTACTTGGGCAAGTCAAATAGTCAAGATTTCTGAATAGAAAGTTTGGAATTGAAAGTTGCTGTAACATTTGTTGAAAAACTGTTCTTTGGAAACATCATATAAAACTTGTCCTTGAGAGATTAGAAGAGCCAGTTTCACACAGTCACTGTTCATAAGGACAATTCAGAGAAATAAATTCCTTATCTCCGCAGGACTTTTCCCCCCTACTTCCATCTCAATAAGTTTTTGGGGCCCTGGTGTATACACATGCTTTTTGTTTAGATAAGAAATTCCTTACTCTCTGTATATTAAGTGGTGCCTCCAATGCCACTGAAGTCAATAAAAGGGTGCCCTTGGACTTTAATGGGCATTCACTGGACCCACAGTGAGAAGAATTCTCAAAGATAGGCAAATGAAAGGGAACAAATGGGCAGATTAAGAACATAACAGGATACAAACACTAATATACAGTATTTGGACATTGCGAATATTTTCTAAGAGATTACAAAAAATTCTCACACACAATCCTCCATGCCATATCAATTTCTTTGGACAAAGAATGGCTTTATACATTTTTTCCTGCAGTTAAAAATGTCAAGTTCCCATATCTTACAGCACACTAGGTCTTAAGGTTTTTCCTTGAAAATCACTGGTATCACTCAGGGCACTGAGATGGGAAGGTATGTACAATTCTCCTTTGGGATTATCTTCCACGAAAGACCAGATTTTATCCTGACTCAGAACATTTTGGTTTACAAGAACATGCAGAACTTTTATTCAAATTCCTATATTTGCGTTTTCACATTAACTCCTTGCCATAATATGTGGACAAGTGGGTTTCCCAGCTCCTTCCGGAAGAATCCCCCCCAAAAAATAATTTTTCCTTCAATAAAACAAATAAGCACCAGTAGCCCAAAGCTAATAAGTAACCCTACAATAAAAAGGAGAAGAAATAGGGCCTGTATCTAGCCATCCCCACTTTTCTCCCAGGGCAGAGGGGAGAAATCTCTCTCCAATTATCTCTGCTGCAACTAGGCTGCCTCTCTCTGCTGCTGCCATGGGGGAATGGGGACTTACTATTGTCAAGAGAGAAGGGGTGCTTCTGATTTCCTTTAAATTTGTTCCCACCATCAAAATGTATTTTGTATTTTATAAATCAACCAATAGTGGGATATTACTGCATCCGATGTTCAGAGAGAGCAACATTTTAAAGAAAAGTTGCTCAACTGCATGAATGTGGACATGATTCCCCCATTAAGTGCAAATGTATTATTTATCTAGCTTTGCAAATGTAAACATACTTATGGCTGGTTACCCAGTCTTTACATAGGATTTACCTTTTCCACTCATACTGCCTACTGAAATGAGACGACCAATGCAGAGTGGACGATTCCCATAGGGATCACGTACTGCATAGATTATGTCTTTATGCATCATTAGTAGTGAATATGAAGTAGGGGTTTCATTCATTAAATTTTTGATTCTGAAATGAGATTAAGTAAACACAATGGTATGTTACAGATGGCTGTATTCTGTTACTTACTACTGCTGTATTTTACACTCAGACAATACTCTTGTTTCTAATTCCAGCCCCTAACCGCTTACCTTGCCACCCAGTCTGGGGTATCATCATTCTCGAGTGGAGGTGTGAATGCCAGCAGCTGGGTGATCAATTCGCTGTCAGAACTGGTCGATAGTCCCACACCATGTCTCATCAGCTTTTTTTTTTTTTTTTTTTTTAAAAAGATAAAATATAGTGTTATCAGTCTACGAAACCATTGCACCATTTTTAGTTTAGCAAGGAGTTACATGTCTGAAAAGTTGTTTTAATGTAGAAGTCACCAAGAACCAAAGAACGTGGATTGTACTTTTGTCCAAGGAGCTGGTGCACAACGTCGGCTCATATAAAATGACACTCTGAACTGCATCTCTCACGCTTCTTTTCACTGCTTTGCTTTACTGGTGACCAAAGCATAAAGCAAAGTTGACATTCCCTAATATCCACAGTGCTACTCAGGGTCTGGGGATTTTGTCACCTTCTCACTGCTGCTTACACATGGCAAACTGAAGCAGGGCACAGAGAACAGGTGAAGAGAGGAAGCACAAGTAAACAATGAAAGAAGAAATGACTGAAGACAGAGTAAGGGGAAGGAGGGAAAAAACAACAACCTAAGATGTGAGAGACTGAATCAGACTTATGGTCCTTTTAGTCTGGTGCGCTCAACACACACGTTGCATTTAAGGAAGAGGAGAACCTGCAAAGTATCTAACCTACTATTCATGCCTGTTCAATGCTTTGCACAGGAGGGTTCCTACCTAACCTTTGTAGATCTTGCATCCTGAAGAATAAGACTGGATACCATTTTTACCATTATCACATTTACAGTGATGCTTGAACATAAAATTAACCCATCATTTTGAAACCAGTCACAATATCTGTCTTGATACATTCTTGCAGCAGTGGTGGCATCCACAGACTGACTACATTCTACATAAAGTTCCATTACCTTTTCCAAGTCATAAATTTACATTCTTTGATGTAGTAGTATGTTCCCTTGTTCTTTGAACAGGGTTAAAAGAGAAGCATCTGTGAGGTTTTAATTCTGCTCTGCAATATGTCCACTTCCTTCTTTACGGGCTATGATATCCAATTTTTGACTGTCTCCTTATGTGCTCATATCACTATAAATTACTATTTTCTACTACTATTTTCAATATTCACTATAGCTTTCTCAAGGTGATGACAAAAAGAGATAATATTGCAGATGAGGACACATCAATGTATTAGATGATATTTTCTAAGCACTCTTTGCTTTCTCTAATGACTGCCATGCAATGGGCAGATTCAAACTGAGCTATTCATAACTGTATCTGGATTAGTTTTCCCTATTGGATCAACATTAACACAGAAAAGAAAAGAAAAGTAGATTACCCCCCCCCACCATGGGAGTTACAAATTAAAAAAACTTTGTTTCTCAGTGCACTGCCCAATCCATTAGTTTGGAGTTCCTCACCATTCTCTGTAGTTTTCAACGACCTAAAGCATTGTATGTCAGCTAGGAGATGTGACCAAGTTTTTGTCCATGTCTGCCTCCTACTCATTAATAAATGATACTGGAAAACCCAGGACTGATTCCTACCTTTCTTCTGAGTTGTTTAGCATTTATTAATTCACCATTGTGTGCCACAGCAATCTTCCCATGAAGAGTTTCTACAACGAAAGGCTGGCAGTTCTCTAATTCAGAGATTCCCGACGTGGAGTACCTGGTGTGGCCAATTCCAAGATTTGAAACATACAGCTTCTTCAGATTGTCTTCACTGAACACATGATTAATAAGACCCATTCCCTTGCAGGGAGGAAAAAAAAGACTGTGTATTTATTATTGTTTCCAGCAACACACTCATTATGCCAGCACTTTACAAGCAAAAACCAACAGCAACAAAACAAAACAAAAAAAAAAAGAAAAGAAAAGAAAAGAGCTTACCTCTAGAGAGACAAGACAGACAGGCAGGTCACAGGAAAGGGGAACAACATAAGAAGTGGTCATGGAGGCAACTGGTTACATCAGGATAATACACAACATAAGGGGGAGATTGTTTTGAGCAGATTTTATTTTCAGATAGACAGACTGTCCCCAGTTACCACTCAGTAAGAAAATATCCTTTGAAAAACCACTAGCAGAAGAAAATTTGGGAATACTATATGTATTTATATTCAAATGTAATTTTAAAAGCTCAACTGGCTGTGTTCTTTTAATGCTATTTTAAAGTTTAAAAGCTCAACTACATTTATTCTTTAATGCTATTTAGAGAGAACACTATAAAACAAATATTTCAATATATTCTGTGCTTTTTTCCCTGAGAAATAGGATAATACATTTAATCACCAGCACCATAATGAATTTATGTTTTTATACCAGCTTCAGATTAATGTTTAAAAGACCCCATCATTTGTAATTCCGGCCACTGCTATAATTGGCACTCAACCTGAAAGAGCCAGAAAACTCTGTTGAAAAGTCTTCAGGTATCCAAGTTGACTTCTATGGCAGAAATGACTCAGAACTTTTATAGATAGGCCCCAGGAGATTCTAGCATATTCAATAGCCAAGGCAGTGCTCCTGTTGGCAACAAGCATTGTGAGGGAGGAATTTAAAAGCATGCAGGGTCTAAGTAATTAAAGTACAGGACTGGGAAACAGGTGCTCCAATTTCTATTCTGAACTCTGGCACAGACTTTTTTTGTAACCTTCAGAAAGTCTCTTTATCTGTTTAAATCTCTTTATCTCTCTAAAATGTGGATGATATTTACTTCCCTTGAGTGTTATGAAGATTAATTCATTAAAGAGCTTTGAATGCCTTAGAGGCTCAGAATTATGTTTGAATCTGATAATTAGAGGAAGGAGAAGAGAGGTTAGCACGAACAGAATTTCAATGTAAAACGCTACTGTGGCAACAGATAAATACAAGGCAAGGCAAAAAGAGCAAGCTCTGGCCTACACACCAAGCTACACTGGTTTAACTAAGGCCATGTCTACATTACAGCTGCTACAGCACCACAGCTATGGCACTGCTGTAGCACCAGAGTGTAAACGTTTCCTTCATCAATGGAGTTACTCCCCCTCACCCTGGCTGCATTTACATTGACCTAACTATGGTGCTCAGGGCACAAAATTTTTCATAGTCCTGAACGATGTAGCTAGGTTGACCTAATTTAAGTGAAGACCAGACCAAACAGTGTGGCTTTAGACCAATTTAGTTACATCAGTGCAGAACCCTGCATAGACTCTTAATTTAAAATGGTCTGAGAGTCAGGTCAGTAAATTAAAAAAAGTGCAAGCTAAGCAGAAATAACCAATTTTAAACTAATAAAAGTATGTTCTACAGGGATTTGCACCAGTTTAATTAAATCAATTTTTAAACCAGAACAGCTTCAAGGACAAGACCATATTCACTGGTTTGTGCCCTTCAAGTTTTCTTTTTTAAATAATAGTAACTGTAGAATTTAAATACTGCAGCCAAGACATATCCCAAGGATAAGAGAAATCTTATTATGCAACTGCTGTAATATCAAAACTTCCTGAGATGATGCAGTCATCATATTTAATTCTTAATATTGATATGCTTAGATGTCATTCTCCACAGCTCTTATGGAATCAATATAAAGTATTATAGTGTCTGCCAACATTTTATTCTCAGCGCATTACTTTTTACTCAGAGGCAGTGCTAACGGTAGAAGTGGAAATCTCTCATAACCTAAAAAGAAGTGGAAGCTCAAAACAAGAACAGGGTCTGTCATAAATATAAAGGGAAGGGTAACCACGTTTCTGTATACAGAACTATAAAATCCCTCCTGGCCAGAGGCAAAACCCTTTCACCTGTAAAGGGTTAAGAAGCTAGGATAACCTCGCTGGCACCTGACCAAAATGACCAATGAGGAGACAAGTTGCTTTCAAAGCTTGCAGGAGGGAAAGAGTCTGTGTGATGCTTTTGCTGGAAACAGATCAGGAATGCTCTTCAGAACCCCTGTAAAAAGTTAGTAAGCAATCTAGCTAGAAATGAGTTAGATTTTCTTTTGTTTAATGGCTGGTAAAATAGCTGTGCTGAATGGAACGTACATTCCTGTTTTTGTGTCTTTTTGTAACCTAAGGTTTTGCCTAGAAGGATTCGCTATGTTTTGAATCGGATTACCCTGTAAGGTATTTACCACCCTGATTTTACAGAGGTGATTCTTTTACTTTTTCTTTAATTAAAATTCTTCTTTTAAGAACCTAATTGTTTTTTCATTGTTCTTAAGATCCAAGAGTTTGGGTCTGTGTTCACCTATGCAAACTGGTGAGGATTTTTATCAAGCCTTCCCCAGGAAAGGGGGTGTAGGGCTTGGGGGGAAGACGTCTCCAAGTGGGCTCTTTCCCTGTTCTTTGTTTTACATGCTTGGTGGTGGCAGCATAGGGTTCAAGGACAAGGCAAAGTTTGTACCTTGAGGAAGTTTTTAACCTAAGCTGGTAAGAATAAGCTTAGGGGGTCTTTCATGCAGGTCCCCACATCTGTACCCTACAGTTCAGAATGGGGAAAGAACCTTGACATGGTGGCAGTGGTGGGATCAATTTGAGATTTTTTTTTGGGATCATTTTGAAACAGAAGCACAGTAGGATTTCACACATTAGTACCTAGAACTGCCAGCACCAAACCCTTTCAACTCACCAGAGCTAAACACGTTAGAAGAAAGGGGCTCTGGTGTTGACAGCTCCAGAACAGATTGCTTTTTACTGAAGCAAAAGATTAATTTCAGTGTTGTTGGAGCTGTATTGATCCCAGGATATTAGAGAACAAGGTGGGAGAGGTAATATCTTTTATTGGACCAACTTCTGTTGGTAAAAGAGACAAGATATTGCCTCACCCACTTTGTTTCTTCAAAAGCTTGAAGTGGACTTGAAGGATAACCTGGTCTGAGTTTTGTTGTTGATTTTTTAAAAATAAGTTTAAAGCTTGGTCTATACAACAACAACAAGTTAAGGAACTGAACTCGGTACTCTTATTATGACAAATTCTTGTCATTTCCTGTCTCTTGCTTATTATTCCTATTTCCTGGAACAAGCAGAGACTCTCCTCATGCACCTCAGGTGGAAACGTGTTATTTTTTCCTCCGACTTTTCCTTTGAGTACTCCTTATTTCGCTCTATTTTAAAAGACTGGATTTTTATGTAAAGACTAGATCTTTACTTCTTAAAAATGGCAACAAATTAGTAAAAAGTCCTTAAAATTTTACCTTGTGCACTTTGAATGTTTGGGCTGAGTCTCCATCACTTGTCACAATTCCACCACTTTCTTGGCCCCTGTGGACAAAATTAGCATAAATACTGAATGGCTCACTGAGCACAACATCCAAACAAAATATTAACTTGTAAAGCGTAAAAGAACATAACCGTTTGTGTTTAAAATGTCTTAAGTACTCCATTTTTATAGACTTATCAAAATTATGTTTTTTGTATGTTCATGTTGCACTTTATTGTAAAATATTTAAGGCTCAATCCAAAGCACACTGAAATCAAATAAAAAGTCTTTCCATTAATTTCAATGGGTGCTGGATCTGGTCCTTACTGCTGACTTTCTATAGTCTAAATTTCAAGGTGAACATAAAATACTACCAGATCCTTAAATTGAAATGCCAGGTAGCCCAATGGCCAGTCACACCAGCCACTTGTGTGACCCTGCAGCCAGCCGCACCAGCTACACTGGCTGCTGCTAAGGTGGCTGGGGAAGGCAGCTGGCCCTGGAGGGGGCCTCCCAGAGCAGAAGCCCCCCAGCTAAGATTTAGTCAGGGGTATTCATAGTACAAGTCATGGACAGGTCACAGGCCATGAATTTTTGTTTATTGCCTGTGACCTGTCCATGACTTCTATTAAAAATACCTATTACTAAATTGTAGCCTTAACAATAAATCGATGCAGATGTGGTCTTTGGGTTACTGGTAAATTCCCAATGCAACCTTTAATTGCTCAAAAATTGAATACCCTGAAATAAAAATGTCTGTAGAATGCGCTTACAAGCTGTAGCCAAGGAAAAAAAACAAACAAAATGTAACATATATATACTAAATGAAGTACTTTAATGAAGATGAAAGGGAAAGAAAATATATCTATTAGATTACTTAAATATAAAACAGCTAAAGGTCTTGTACAATAGGATGTGATTTTGCTCTCACATTAAACTAGTTTAACTCAATTGGCATCATTGGAGTCATTCTCGAGTTATACTACTGTAACAGCTCGTCTACTTGAAAAGACAATTCGGATTAAGGCAGGGCATGCATTTAAAGTGCAGTAACTATTCTACAATAATTTTATGTATCGAAAAGACCTTATAAAAAACAGGAGAATAAGGTGCAAATGTTCAATATGCTTGATCCCAACAATAACTTAATACTTTCCACCACTGATTATGCCCAAGTCTCAAAGATATTTTAGAAGGCCATGTCTACACTACGAAAGTACTCCGATTTTACAGAAGTCGATTTTTGGGAACAGACTGTATAAAGTCGAGTGCATGCGTCCACACTAAGCACATTAATTCGGCGGTGTGCGTCCACAGTACCGTGGCAAGTGTCCCACAGTTCCCACAGTCCCCGCTGCCCATTGGAATTCTGGGCTGAGCTCCCAATGCCTGATGGGGCCAAAAATTTGTTGCAGGTGGTTATGGGTAAATGTCGTCAGTCAACCCTCCCTCCGTGAAAGCAACGGCAGACAATCATTTCACGCCCTTTTCCCTGGACTGCCTGAGCAGACGCCATAGCATGGCAAGCATGGAGCCAGTTCAGCTCACTGCGGCAGTTATGACCATTGTAAGCACCTCGCGCATTATCGTGCAGTTTATGCAGAACCAGCACCTGAAAAACCAGGCGAGGAGGCGACGGCAGCGTGGTGATGAGGACGTGAACACAGATTTCTCTAAAACCGTGGTCCCCGGCAATTTGGAGATCATGGTGTTACTTGGGCAGGCTCATGCCGTGGAACATCGATTCCGGGCCCAGGAAACAAGCACAGAGTGGTGAGACTGCACAGTGTTGCAGGTTTGGGATGATTCCCAGTGGCTCCGAAACTTTCACATGCGTAAGGGCACTTTCATGGAACTTTGTGACTTGCCTTCCCCTGCCCTGAAGCGCAAGAGTACCAAGATGAGAGCAGCCCTAACAGTTGAGAAGCGAGTAGCAATAGCCCTCTGGAAGCTTGCAATGCCAGACAGCTACCGGTCAGACGGGAATCAATTTGGAGTAGGCAAATCTACTGTGGGGGTTGCTGTGATGCAAGTAGCCAACGCAATCATTGAGCTGCTGCTATCAAAGGTAGTGATTCTGGGAAATGTGCAGGTCATGGTAGATGGCTTTGTGCAATGGGATTCCCTAACTGTGGTGGGGCTATAGATGGAACGCATATCCCTATCTTGGGACCAGACCACCAGGGCAGCCAGTACATATACTGCAAAGGGCACTTTTCAATGGTGCTGCAAGTACTGGTGGATCACAAGGGACATTTCACCAACATCAAAGTGGGATGGCTGGGAAAGGTTCATGACGCTCGCATCTTCAGGAACTCTGGTCCATTTAAATGGCTACAGGAAGGGACTTACTTTCCAGACCAGAAAATAACCGTTGGGGATGTTGAAATGTCTATCGTTATCCTTGGGGACCCAGCCAACCCCTTAATGCCCTGGCTTATGAAGCCATACACAGGCACCCTGGACAGTAGTAAGGAGCTTTTCAACTATAGGGTGAGCAAGTGCAGAATGGTGGTAGAATGTGCATTTGGATGTTTAAAGGGTCGCTGGTGAAGTTTACTGACTCGCTCAGACCTCAGCGAAACCAATATTCCCATTGTTATTGCTGCTTGCTGTGTGCTCCACAATCTCTGAGAGAGTGAGGGGGAGACGTTTATGGCCGGGTGGGGGTTGAGGCAAATCGCCTGGCTGCTGAGTACACGCAGCCAGACACCAGGGCAGTTAGAAGAGCACAGCAGGAAGCGCTGCGCATCAGAGAAGCTTTGAAAACCAGTTTCATGACTGGCCAGGGTACTGTGTGACACTTCTGTTTGTTTCTCCTGGATGAAAACCCGCCCCCTTGGTTGTCTCTAAATTCCCTGTAAGCCACCTGCCCTCCCCCCTTCAATCACAACTTGCTTGCAAAGGACAAAGTCACTATAGTTTAAAAAACATGTATTCTTTTTTAATTGGTTATAAAAACAGGGAGATATCACAAGGTAGCCCGGGTGCAGTTTGGAAGGAGGGAAGAAAAAGACCACTTTAAAACTTGTTGAAAGCCAGCCTTCTGTTGTTTAGGCTGTCCACTGGGGAGGAGAGGTTGGGTGCCCAGAGGCCCCTCCTCCCCCCCATTCTTGGGCATCTGGGGGAGGAGGCTATGGAACTTGGGGAGGAGGGTGGGTGGTTAAACAGGGGCTGCAGTGGCAGTCTGTGATCCTGCTGCCGTTCATTAACCTCCACCAGATGCTGGAGCATGTCCATTTGATCCCGCAGTAGCCCCAGCGTTGCCTCATGCCTCTTCTGATCTTCCTGCCACCACCTCTCCTCACATTCATCAGCCCCTTTCCTGTACTCTGCTCTTGTGTCCCTCCACACATTCTGCTGAGCTCTGTCAGGGCCGGAAGACTGCATGAGCTCAGAGAACATTTCATTGTGCGTGCATTTTTTTCGCCACCTTATCTGAGATAGCCTTTGGGACGGAGGAGGGAGGCTTGAAACATTTCCAGCTGCTGGAGGAAAAAAAAAAGGAAGCGAAGATACATTTTACAGAACAATGGCTATACTCTTTCACGGTGAACAACACTATTCACATTACATAGCATATGTGATTTTGGTACAAGGTCGCATTTTGCATCTTATATTGAGTGCCTGCGGCTTTGGTGTTAGAGATCACACATGCAGTGCCAGGCAACAGAATTCGGATTGCAGGTGGCCATGGTAAGCCATAGTCTTTCAGCTTCTGCAGCCTTCCTAACAGCAGTGCCCTCCTCTCCCATAGCAAGCAAAGCATGCTGAGTTGGCCATTTAGTGCTGTGGTTTTCCGGTTAATGTGCAGCAGCAGAAACCAAACTATCCCACCCCCCACACCACCCCCGATCCAATTCTCTGGGATGACTGCTTTACTCCTCACCCCACCATGAGGCTGGTATCAGGGAAGATCCCTGCTAGCCAAACATGAACGGCTCAGCACCAATGCCCCCCCGCCCCCCACCCCCTCCACATGCTAACTGCGGGGAGGATTTCTTTTCAGCCATAGGCAAACAGCCCAGCAGGAACGGCCACCTCCGAATGTCCCCTTAATTAAATTCCCCTATTTCAACCAGGTTACCATGAACAATATCACTCTCCTGAGGATAACACAGAGAGATAAAGAACGGATATTGCTTGAATGCCAGCAAACACCGGGACCACATGCTGCCAGGCTTTGTCACGCAATGATACCAGATTACTTGCTACTAGCATAGCGTGGTAAAGTGTCCTACCATGGACGACGGAATAAGGCTGCTCTCCCCAGAAACCTTCTGCAAAGGCTTTTAGAGTACCTCCAGGAGAGCTTCATGGAGACATCCCTGGAGGATTTCCGCTCCATCCCCAGACACATTAACAGACTTTTCCAGTAGCTGTACTGGCCACGAATGCATCCCAAGTCCTCAAGGCTACTTAATCATTAAAAAACGCCTGCTTTTATAACATGTATTATATTTTAAAAAGGTACACTCACCAGAGGTCCCTTCTCCAGCTTCGTTGGCTTGGGAGGATATTTCAGTCAGGGTCATAAAAAGATCCTGGCTGTCAGGGAGAACGGTGTGCTGTGTGCTCTCCTCCAGCTCCTCCTCATCTTCCCCGTCTGCAAAATCCTCAGGCATGGTGGAGAGTACCCCATCACTGGAGTCCACGGACGGGGTGGGGTAGTGGTGGCAGCCCCCCCAGAATTGCATGCAGCTCAGCGTAGAAGCGGCATGTCTGGGGCTCTGTCCCGGAGCGTCCGTTTGATTCTTTGGTTTTCTGGTACATTTGTCTGAGCTCCTTAAGTTTCACACGGCATTGTGTTGCATCCCTGCTGTAGCCTCTGTCCCCCATGGCCTTGGAGATTTTTTGAAACGTTTTGGCATTTCGTTTTTTGGAACGTAGATTGATAGCATGGATTCCTCTCCCCATACAGCGATCAGATCCAGTACCTCCTGTGCGATCCATGCTGGAGCTCTTTTTCAATTCTGGGACTGCATGGTTACCTGTGCTAATGAGCTCGCCTGACCAAACAGGAAATGAGATTCAAAAGTTCCCAGGGCTTTTCCTTTACACCTGGCCAGTGCATCCAAGTTCAGAGTGCTATCCAGAGTGGTCACAATGGTGCACTGTGCGATAGCTCCCAGAGGCCAATACCTTAGTATCTACACTAACCCTAATTCGAAACGGTGGTGTCGATTTCAGCGCTAATCACCTCGTTGGGGAGCATTACAGAAATCGGTTTTAAGAGCCCTTTCTGTCGAAAAAATGGCTTCGTTGTGTGGATGGGTGCAGGGTTAATTTGATTTAACGCTGCTAAATCCGACAAACGCACAGTGTAGACCAGGCCTAAGTCATTAATACCACCTGTGTGTAAAGTTAATTTTTAAAAATATAAAAATAAACTAGGGCTGTCAATTAATTGCAGTTAATGCACGCTATTAATGCAAAACAAATTAACTAAATTAAAAAACAAACAGTCATGAATAATTGCTGTTTAATCACACTGTTAAACAATAACAGAATACCAATTTAAATTTAATATAAATATTTTTGGATGTTTTTCTACATTTTCAAATATATTGATTTCAATTACAACATAGAATACAAAGTGTACAGTGCTCACTTAATATTATTTTTGGTTACAAATATTTGAACTGTAATAAAGATAAAAGAAACAACATTTTTCAATTCACCTCATACAAGTCTACTCAGTCCTACTTCTTGTTTAGCCAAATCAGTAAAACAAAACAAGTTTGTTTACATTTATTAGAGATAATGCTGCCCTCTTCTTATATACAATATCACCTGAAAGTGAGAACAGGCAGTTGCATCACACTGTTGTAGCTGGCGTTGCAAGGTATTTATGTGCCAGTTACATTAAACATTTGTATGCCCCTTCATGCTTTGACTTGTAGGCTCTAAAGTTTTGCATTTTTTAACATAGCTGTACTCAAAAACAAAACGAATTGACATCTGTAAATTTCACTTTCAGGATAAAGAGATTGCATTACAGTATGAGTACTGTACTTGTACGAGATTGATTGAAAAAAACTAGTTTTTAAATTTTTTTACAGTACAAATATTTGAAATAAAAAATACAAATTGAGCACATTTTGTATTCCGTTTGTTTTAACCTCATAATTGTGATTTTTTAAAAATCGTTGACAACCCTAAGACGAACACTTTTGTCCAAAAAATTATTTGCTATTGTTTCTTGTACTACCAAATGTTATTATAACAAAGAAGTTACAGAAAAAATTCTTTCCTGCCCTCACCAGTTTACTTTGCTCAGAAAAATGCACCTGTAGACACAAAAATTGACAGAAAAACTTAAAGGTGGGTACAGTACACTCATCGACTTTAAACAGAGTTTTTAAAATTTAGGCCATTTCTATGTTGATCATGGCCCTCCAAATATCATAGCAAAATCAAATAAAGGATGGTTGCAGTTAACCTTCAGTGTAATGCCTCTGATTTTCACTGATTAAAATTCTGAATCCAACCCTCACCACCTCCCCCCGCCCCCGGCAACCCCTGTCTCCCCCAACACACACACACAGACCCCCTAATAGGCAGTGAACCCTCTGAGATAGGCTGTGCAAAGCTTGGCAGGGGCTCTGTACCCCATCCAGCAAAGCTATACTCGATAGGTACTTTTGAAGTCAGTAATGGCTGGGAAAAGAGTGGAACTGGTAGAATCATGGCTGTGCAGATCAACTAACCAAGCCAAGCAACCTCCTTACTCTAGTGAAAATATGCAGCAAGGGGCCTCCGCTTCTAGTCTATGAGATTCTGTTCTCCCCTTTTGCTTTCCTTAGAGTTCTCCAGCATAGAGCCCATATACCTGAGCTGCGGGCAGGAACTAGGATTTGGTCCTTAGTACAGTACCCATATGGCGCTAAAAAGGTCAGTTTCATTAACATGCAGCCTATACCATCATACCTCTTTAGCCTTAGAGCAGGTCTACTCTACTGCTTAAGTCGACCTAGCTTACATCATTCAGGTGTGTGAAAAAGTCCCCCGCTCTCCCAAGGCAACTCAAGTTTTTTGCTGTCCACACTGGCGCTATGCTGACAAGAGTGTGCTCTCTCATCAACATAGCTTCCACTTCTAGCCGAAGCGGAGTAATTATGCTGATGGGAGAGCACTCTCCTGTCAGCATAGTGCATCCTCACCAGACGCAATACAGCTGCGCCGATGTAGTGCAGTAGTGTAGACCTGCCCTTAGTTTTCAGCTTTTTTGTTTAGCTCAGTTGTACTCATGAACAATGCTAGAATAAAATAGGAGTTTTATAAAATACAGACACACAATTTAAAACGTGGATGATTCCAATGTGTATTTTTAATGCTAATAAAATACCAAATGCAATCATAATTTGTAACTTAATGAGAACTCTTACCAACATCTTTTAGGTTCCAAAATGTAAAACTGGCTGCAAACAAAAACTGCTACAATGTCGAATTAATTCCTAACAAACTACAACACGAGATAATCTTAAAAAAAAGAACGCATTTACTTTCTTTCTTAAAATATTCATTAAAAAGAGTGATCATACTTAAAACATTGTTCATAAGAAGGGTTAAAGCAAGTAGACACCCTGAGTTTATTTTTTATCTTGTGGAATACTGGGTACTAGATTACACTTCATTTGTGCAGGAGCGGTTTTATTTGTCTGCTTCTAATATAAAGCCTGCTTATTTGGCAGTTTCTCAAGTTACTCCCCTCAGGCAGTTTGAGCCAGTAAAACTAGATCCTTTCATCTCTGTGGAGCTTACTGACAACCAGCCGTCTGGTTTCCAAGGAAACAAAATCTTGGCTAGAAATAGTGAATCATTTCCAGGTCACTTTCAACATGGAGAGTGGAGCAGGAAAGCATTGGACTGAAGAGGAGGTTAAAGCCTTGCTAAGCGTCTGGTCAGAAAAAAACATAAGAAAGCAACTTCATGGAACACTAAGGAATAAAGGAATATTTATCTACATTGCTAAAAGACTACAGGAGTTAGGAGTTTGCAGAGACTGGAAACAGTGCCGTGCAAAGTATAAAAATCTGAAGTATGAATTCAGAACAGTTAAATATGCCCACAACTCTGGAGATGCCACTAAAACCATGAAGTTTTTTCATGATCTGGATGCCATACTGCAATATGAACCAGTCACACAATTAACAGAGGATGAAAACGGCAAGTGCTCTGCAACTGAGAGACAGCTGAACATAAGCACTACCACAGAGCACACTGAAGGTAAAAAATAATTTCTATTTCTTGTCTTTGCACAAAAAACAATAAATCTGGTAAGATTAAAAGCCACATTATATAGCCCTAGAAACAGAGTCAGAACAGCAACTGACTTGATGCATCCCCTGCAGATGGGGAAAAAAGAAGGTTAGCACCACCAGTGTCGAAGTCTGTAAATACAGCATAATCCTAACAAATTTCACTAACTGCTGGAAAGGTCCAGTCCTGCAGAGGCTCTGTACCTTGTGCAACTGGGTCCTAATATTCATCTAAAATTTTTTCTTTGGAATATAATTTGTAATACTTTGCAACAGGTTTTGAGAGCTTCAGTTCAAAAAGAAACTAATTATTATAGCATATACTGTATTACAAATTTCCCAACTCAATTATAAATTTGGTTTTGTTTTTTTTTTAAATAAATAATTACTGTCAGGTCTGAAGTCAAAGAGATGTTTAATTTTAGCATACTTTTATTACTATTTTAAGATTTACCCCCTTAAATGCAATATTATTAATTGTGAAGTATGTGAATACAATGAAATGGAAATGCATGGCTTACAAAATTGTATTACATTTGTGCACTGAGTATTTGATAAACATTTTTGAATGAAGCTATTAGTGTATTTAGTCATGTAAAATTGGTTATGTTTAAAAATATATAAACAGAGACCATTCTGAAGCAAGACAAATAATTTAAGAGACATTTTTAAACACGAAGAAATGGTGGTATTTACCAAACCAGTTGCACATCAGGTTCTGTTAAACCCCCTCAGTGTGCATAAGCATCATTAGCATTACACTGGGATTTACCATATCACAGGGAGAGGTGGAAGAGACAAGACAATTAGAGACAGGCTGAGACAATGTTTTGATCACAATTAGAATTAGGTGAGGGTTCAGGTTTGAGGCTAGATTAGGGCTGCAGTTGGTGATCTCACAGTGCCAAAAGTCCCTGTGATGCTGTTACAAGATTTCAGTCACATCCCAACTGACATCAAGAAAAAGGCCCCCCCTTGGTATTCATTATCTACAGCAGTACCAGAATCTTTGTTGGGGGTGGGGAGGGTGAAGGAGAGATGAGAGATTCAAATCAGAATCCAATTTGCTCCCACAATGTGAAGAGGTTTGGATTAAGTTACAATTGTGAATCATTTTTACAAAACAAAAATCAATTAAAGTATAGGGGAGATTTTCAAAGGCACAAAGGGGAGTTGGATGCCTAACTCCCTTTTGTCCCTTTGCACATCTCCCTCTACAATGGAAGTGGACAGCTCTTACAGTTGGGAAAGTGATTTTTCCCATATTTTAAGAAAAGACTCAAATTTTTAGTTTTTAATCTTAAAGAATTTTTAAAAATTTATATGAATGTAGTTCTATGATAACGTGTCATCCATTTGAAGATATTTAGTTAAAATAAAATTATTAAACACATGTATTGTGAATTGTACACTACTGTAATCTGTGCATTATTTAAAACAAAAATCTAAAAATGGAAGAAGTTCAGGGGGCAGATCTTAAGCTGGTATAAATTGCTATAGCTCTATTGACTTCAGTGGAGCTATGACCTTTACACCAGCTGAGAATCCACCCCTGAACTCAAGGTTATCCTGCATGTTTTAAATTGCTTTGCCCAAATGGTTAGTTTCCTTTGAACCTTAAATCATTAAGGGGCATTTTCAATTAATGTTTCACATCTCTTACCCTTAATATCTTTAAGATAACTTCAGAAAGGACCCAATAATCAGCCAGCTTTTCTGATGAACCCCAATCCAGGATATTAATTTAAAAAATTGCATCCTTGGTGGAATGTACTGCATTTTGGGGCATGTGAAAAATCTGATTTCAAAAGTATGATGTAATAGTGGTACATTCAAATGTCTATACAGAAAAGGAAATAAGGGAAGCCTTTGTGCATTTGGTTTTAATTCTTCTTTATAAAAAGCACAGAAATTAAATACAGTCAACGGCAATAATGTAGTAGGAATAGTTCAGAATTGAAATGCAAAAATTCACACAACCATAACTCAGCCACAACACACACACACACACTAAAACATAAATGTAACCTACAACTAGTATATAGGTAACAAGGGACAAACCGTGATAAGACTAGTATCTAAGAATTGTCCATTAAAATACACAAGTCAGAAAAGTCACACAATACTGCATTATGGGCCCAATCCTATTTCATTAAAGTCAGTGG